GGGAATCGAACCCCGGACCACTCCCATGCTAAGGGAGTATTATACCACTAAACCACAAGCCCAATTTGATGAAAGGCTCTGGCCAGTAGTGCTACAGGAGCCAAAAAACCCCTGTGTGAAGAATTTAGCTTAGGACAGACTAGCGTCCTCCATAGCGAGCCAATGAGCAGTCTCAACAGAGCCTCCCGAGGTCCGATTCCAGGGTCGCGTGGGTCCCGATTAGGAAGATGATCTACGACCGATCTGGAAGTCGCAGCTCCCTTTTGGGGTCCAAAGGCTTGGAAACATCCAACCTTGGAACCATGTTTGGACGTCCACGGAGTCAGGGCTGCATACTCTGTAGGAAGCGCAAAGTGAAGGTGAGTGATGTGTTTGGAATCAGGGCTTTGGACAAGAGGTTGACCTAGGCAGTGCGACGAGGGGAAGCCTACTTGTGGCAATTGTGCTGTATATGGCAGAGAATGTCCGGGGTATCAGAAAAGCCTGCCCCTGGTATTTCGAAATGAGAATGAAAAGGTTGAGAAGTTGGTGAAAAACACTCAAAAGGGAGTCAGGAAGGACCGCCTGGAGCGAATAGACCAGACAGAGCCTAACATTTCATCTGTGGTCGCTCAAGTGACCAAGGCTATTACCGTCCCTCCGTTTCTACTGGACTCTTCGTGGGAACATCACAGCCACTGCTACTTCTTGGATCAGTTCACATTACCCACTGAGCCAGATGGGAGCCCTGGCCCACTTGATTCGATCCCAATGCTGTACACATTGTGCCAGGGGAATCAAGCCGGGGCCCCCTTAGCTAGCTTGCGCGCCGCCATGGATGCAGCAGCTTCTGCTTCTATGGCAAATCATGCCAATGTATCCTCTCTGGCAGTCCGGGCTCAAAGGAAGTATGGCCAGGCACTGCAGCACTTGAGCATTGCGCTGTCATCAGTGCAGGATGCCCTTCGGGATGAAACGCTGGGGGCGATCGTTTTGATCATGCTGTTTGAGGATATCAACAGTGAGCGCCAGAGCCTGATGAGTACTCACGTCTCTGGGATCCAGTACCTTCTGAAGCTGCGAGGGGTCAAGCAGCTCGGTGATCCCGCCACCCGATCTCTGTTTCACTTTGCATTTACACAGATGGTATGGCTTATTGTGGCAAAATCCCTGTGTTTGACTGACAATTACCCAGTTGATCCAATTTGTGGGCCTGAAAGACCCCGTGCAAATTGACCTTGATTGGTTGTTGGAGGTGCTTACGATCCCACACCCGATCTATCAGATGATGGCTGGAAATATTCAAATCACCAAGTTCTGTGCCACTGTCGCCGAATTGCTTTCAAGGGAATATGCTCATCTGCCCGATGCATTCACACTCACGTCTTGGCTTGAAAGAGGCGAGCATCTGGATCTAGAATTCAGCATGTGGCATAGAGGACTACCAGAAGCGTGGATGCCAAGGAGGTTTCAAACGCCCGGCGGGGACACTTTCATGTTATACCCAGACCTCACGTCGGCAGGCGTTTGGAATTACTATCGCGGGACACGAATTATCCTTCAACAGACTCTGTTGGATATTTACAGACATCTTAATAATTCCCAAATGACACCGTGGGCCCAATATGGTACCTTCGCTCTGCGCCCTCCAGAGGAGATCATCATTGATATGGCAACCGAGATATGTGAGACTATCCCCTTTGCCTTGGGCAAAGTTGACACATTTGGCTGCCCAATATTGCGGTCTGGCACCAAGGCAGTGCAAGGCTTTGCACTTCTCTGGCCGGTGTTCAGCGTGACACAGTGTGGCTATGCGACTGAGGCTCAAGAAGCTCAGGCCCGGTCAGCACTGCAACATATTGCATCCACACATGGAATTCGGCTAGGAATGGATCTGAGCCATGCAGTCTTCCCCATGAGCCGCTCTCAGTCGGAAAGCTCAAAGATCTCAGAAATCTAGAGCCCATAAGAAGGTCCACGGAGGGTAAAGTTCCTCTCGGACATACTTAAAGTACACGCATATACCCATGACATCATTTAAAAGAATATGACAAAGAACAATTTTTAAAAATAACATTTTCCATTGGATAAACACAAAGGCGCATGGCCCATGGGAATCGATAAAGTTGAATACGAAATGCGAAATGCGAGCGAACCCGAGCCTCTGGCCGCGCCCCGTTGATCGTCGCCGAAATAGGCAATGCTCGTATTCCTCATCTCAGTATATAGTAACGAGTCAACGGGCGCAAAATTCAGCATTGAAACAAGATACAACAATGACTACTACTACTACTCAACTGAAGGAAGAGGTTCAATCCTCTGCTTTGTCCATTCGGTCCGAAAGCACTCTCTACACGCTTTCCGATACCAATTTCCAACCCTCGCGCATCTTAACTGTAAATGCACGGGGCATCGGTGCAATTCGTTTGCCCATACCACCCCGACAAACCGAGATCTTTATATACAATCCCGATGCCACAGAGGCGTACGTTTCCACCCGCGACAAAATCTGCTCGGGCAATGCAGTCCTGTCCCACCCCAAACGCGGGGATCTCATCCGGACCGAATACTTCTTCGGACCGAACCGAGATCCCGTGCTGCAGTTGCTGCAAGCCGAGTCTGCCGATGTGACCGTTTCTGGGAAATGGACATCACGGACTATGCAGTTTGTGATGCCGGGAGGAAGACGATTTGAATGGGAATATGCGAAAGAGAAGAGGGCGGACGGACAGAAAGTGAGACTGATTGTTTTCCGCGCCGTCGAGGCGGAGAAGACACCGAGGAGAATTGCGCAGCTGGTCCGCGGGGACGATACTCGCACTCCGGGGACGTCGAAGTGCACCGCCGGGAATGGAGGGGAGTTGCAGATTGATGAGGCGGCCTTGCAGGATCATGATTTAGATGAAGCAGTCATTGTGGCGACTTGCTTGGTGATGTTGAAGAGGGAAATGGACCGTCGAAGGATGTTGCAATTCGCAATGATTGCCGGAGTAGTTGGTAACTGAGACTGTTTATTCGCTTTCACATGTAGAATCAATTGCTGAATTTCATAAGTTCTTCTCAATTCATCTGGTATCTATTCTCTATCGGATGTCTTTTTTTCTTGTTTTCCTCTCGTTTCTATATTCTTTGCCTCACAGGGGTGCCAGCCCCTCACTTGAGATGTCAATTGGCTCATTTGCGTTGTTCGACCAGCTGCGCAATGTGGGGGTTGAGCCAGTATCCGGTCAATTCATCGTTGGACATGGTTTTGGCTCCAGAGATCCAGCCTCTGCAGTTCCCCTCACCCGCCCCGCAGGTGCATTGGAAAGCTTGGTCCATCTCCCACTCTGTGCTGGGGTAGAAGAAAGTGAGCGCATCACCTGCCTTGAGGGGACGGGTGTCCACGACGCGCACTTCCATGCGATGCATGTCGAAGTTCAAGGTGGGTGCGCAGGAGTGGTTGCAGAAGACTAGGTCGGAATTGAGCTCGATGTGACTGTCCGGACCGGTCTGCACGCTAGTGTAGGCCTTCTTGCCGGGGGTAGCCGTGGTGATCTTGGCAAAGAGGGCACCTGCGGGGAGGTCGACGAGAGAAGTGGCCCCACTTCCAAAGGCTTTGGTGCTTCGGTCAACGCGCAGACGATCGGGATGGGTCGGAGCAGGGAAATCGGACGAAGTCACGATGGGATCGGCGGATGGGGCCATGGTTGGAGAGAGGGAGAGAGGGAGAACGAAGAGAGGGCGAGAATGCGAAAGTTAGAGATAGAGAGAGAGAGAGAGGAGGGGTAGAGAGAGGTAGAGGGAAAGTTAGAAATAGTGAGAATGGCGCCGTGCTATTTAAGACATCCCTTCAACCGAGGGAAGTCTACAAGAAGGACAACGAGAGGACCGAGGCCCATGACGACAACGCCGCGGAGAGCAAGCCTAAAAGCGATTAACCCGCATCCACTATAGCCCATTGGCATTAGTCGCGTCCATTAGGCTCAATGTGGGGGATGTGGGATCTTCTAGCGGTTGATCGGACGTTTTCAGTCGCTCGGTGAATTCCGCTCACATGCAAAATACCCCCCGTTTTCGGCGTAAACAAAGGAATTCTGTAGTATCATGTCGCTAATCTACATCTATACAAGTAGTCTCAAATGCTAGTTCATCTTCCGGAGCAGCTCTTCCCCACTAAGCCACCGCTCCAGGTTTTCCGCTGTTTCGCGATACCATCCGCGCAATAGATCCTCCTCCCCGTATCCCATGTGAGGGGTCAGTAGCACTTCACTGCGCCCATCCTGGCCCCAGGGGGTAGTCCGCCAAGGACTATCAAGAGGCAATGGCTCTGGGTCGAAGACATCTAATGCGGCGCCACGAATACGACCTGCATTTAAGGCTTCAAGGAGTGCCTTCTCGTCGATCAAAGGCCCGCGAGAAGTGTTGATGAGGAACGACGATGGTCGCATACTCTCCAGTTCGGCTGTACTAACAATGCCACGGCTCCGATCAGAGAGTACACTGTGGACACTGACAATATCGGCCTGCTGGAAAAATTCCTGTTTGGATGCAGCGACAACGAAGGTACCAGCAGGTAAACCTTGAGCTTGAGCTTGCTCGTCGGCCTTTTCCTGGGTCAAGTTGGTCGACCAGGCCAAGACCTTCATTCCAAACGCCAGGTGTGCAATATTCCCCACTTGCGATCCGAGTTTGCCCAAGCCCAGCAGTCCCAGTGTTTTCCCCGATAGATTGACACCAAGGGACCCTTGCCATGCCCCGCGCTTGACGGCTGCGTCATCGCGGGCCAGATTCCGCGCCAAACCCAGTATCAACGCCCAAGTGTGCTGCACGGTCGAATTGACACCGGGCGGTCGACCCTCAGTGCCTGCCACGGCAACATTGGCCCGCGTGAATGCCTCCAGGTCTAACGCCAGGTTGCGAGTACCGGTTGTTAACAGGAGTTTCAGATGAGGGAGGGCGGCAATGGTTTCGGCGGAGAAGGGTGTCCGCTCGCGCATTGCCAGAATCACATCAAAGTTCAACAGTCGCTGAACGAGGGCATCGCGCTGGGCTGGAATGCGGGGGTCGAGGGTCTCGGGGAAGCTGGAGATTTTGACGCGCGGTTTAAGGTGCTCAAAGTATGCGGGTGCAATACCCTGGTAGTCATCCAAGATTGCGAAATTGACCGTCATTTTGAGATTGAAGAGAGAAACTGAGAAAGAGAGGGAGTCTTGAAAGGTCAATATCCCCGCGTCATGACGAAACCTCGGCACTGGATTTACCCGGCACACTTGAACAGCTGGGTGAAGTCAATCCCGAACCCTACATTTTTACAAGATGAAGGAATACAATTTGATAGTTCTATACATTTGAGACTCAGTATAGATGATCGAGAAATATTCCTTTCTTCCCCTTTAATATCCAACGATGCCTATTGCATACAGACCTCGGGACCTACATCCATAAGACAGCCCCGGATGAAACGAAGTTAAAGTTCTATAGGTACATTCCAGTTGTAATGGCTACCCTGAAAAGCCTTACAAAATTGGATCCCGGATCATCAGGTAAAATGATTCCTCTCCGACGCCTCCGTGATCGTCGTAGCTCATAGTAACCTCCTCCAAGTGTCTCCATCCATATTTGAGGTAGACCGGAACCCCCTCGGGAGTGGCTTCCAGGTAGATGCGCGACTTGGCGGCGTCTGCTTTCTCAATTCCCCACTTGAGCATGGCCGTACCATACCCCTGGCCCTGATAATCCGGTAGAGTAGCCAACAAATCCAAAACTGGAGAGTCAGCAAATTGTAAATGCGGGGTCGATCTTGGAACTGTACCAATGTCGTCTTCTGTCGTGTATCGCTTGCGACCCTCTTCCAGTATCTGTTTAAAGGCATCAAATGCCTTGTTATTCATTGGTTGGGGTGCGAAAGCAACGGGATCCTTGGCGGACAAGACACCTTGGTCACTTAAAGGAACCTGGCTCGGACCGAACGAAGCCGGAAGCTGCCAGCGGCTATATGTGACCAATTCACCATCATCGCTGTGGATTTTGAGAACGTGCATGCTGGGATTGGCGAGGTGTTTCATCCCGACGTGGATCTTATACTCCTGGAGTAGGGTTTGGCTGGACCCTGGAAATATCTGGTGAAGGAGCAGCCGGCCCTGGAAACTTTGGACGTTGACTTTGGCAAACGCTGGGCCATCGGCTTCGGTGGCATATCGAATAAGATGCATATTTTTTCTAAATTTGTCTAAGAGAAAGGAAGAGCACGAAAGAAAAAAAAAGATAACGAGAATGAATGAAAGAAGTCGATGCAACGGTGGAGAGGCGCTAACATCCGTCGGCATCCCGATTCGAACTAGTTTGAGTCATAAATCTCATTGCATTGTATCTAAATGTGCAGCGTGGGGTGAATAAGAGAGACATAAAAGAGAGAAATAAAAGAAAATGAGGAAATGAAAGGCAAAGATCATGGTTACCCACAATTCACTTGGTTGGACGCTGTCCCATTTCGCATTCAGACAGTAGCATATGTGCGGAGTTCCTTTCACCAGACTCCTCGAACATACCATCCTTGGCAAGGCGACGAGCTCTCTTGATCAGTCGACCGGGGTGGTAGATGATTAGGACAAGCATTGCGAAAAACATCAAAAAGGCATCAAACACATAGATGTAGACTTCCTTGGTGTTGACGTCGGTTTTTTGGCCGGCTCCAAACTGAATGGTCCGTACAAGGTTGCGCACCATCAACGCAACACAAGAGACATAGATTGCCCACATATATCGCTGCCAGGATAAATCGGGGTAATGGTTGAGAATGGGAGTCGGCTTCTGCTGAAGACGTCGATGGAATTTGGCCGCAATATAGATGAAGAAGGCAAAGACAACCAAGGAGAAGATCAAGCCTGCCAATACAACTTTCTTGCCGATCTTCATGATGTTTTCATCTCCCGTTACCTGGACACCTGCACCTCCGAGCTGCGTCATGAAGCACAAGACATCATTCATGACGAAGACAAAAGTAAGCCACTTGACGCGCATGCTTGAGAGATGTTCGGCACCGAAAGATCGTATAATGCGACCGAGAACCATGTAAACCGTGGCTGCGACAAGAGGTGGTGCACACAAAATGAGCATCTCCTGTAGAGCCCATGAACTGATTTCGAACCGGGATTCATGGGACCAGGCTCGACCATAGTAGCCGAAGGTTTCACCTACGTGGATCGTTAGCCCGCCGCTCATGTTTTAGCGTGAGAGAACAGAGTAGTCGTACATATCCCACCCAATATCAAGGGAATGAAATAGGCAGCGCGGAAGGGGAACATCAGAATGATGTGTGCCAGGGTTGAAATGCCAAAGATAGCCATGAAGGCATACCCAGCTGTAGCAGATGGCGTATAAGGGTAGAATTCTACCACGGGAGCGGACCCATTCTGGCCGGGGTGAAATACAATATCCATTTTGAATGCTTGAATGATATTATTTCATTCGATTATTGAGCAAGAAGGGCCAAGCTTTATATTAACGAAGTTTGAAATTTTGTACAGTTCTAATTCTGGATTCCCAAATAGGAAATTCTGCGAGCGAATACGTCTGGTGGGCCCCGGCCCCACCTCCGAGTAGAGCTTGCGTTTATGCTTCTTTTTCCAAGGGTTCAGTGGGGATTGCTACGTTGTAATATGTTATTTTTAACACAGTACGAGTACATTGACGGGCCTTATTTAGTCTAAACAGAGCGAGTACTCCGTAAGGGGCCTTGGGGAAAATTGTCTAAGTGGATACTCATTCTCCATACTATTTGAGATCTTGATCATAGTTAGAGCATGGTTTCATAGGATCATCCTGTGGCTTACCATCAAGTAAAATTATAGATTTATCTGGGCTTGCCCATGGAATAACTTCATTGGAGCAACAGCAAACCTAACGCGGTGTTAACCTTCCCATGTTGGGGGTGAGAGAAAGAACAAGTACAGAGTATTCCAATACGAGTACGCGAAGGCCTACCTAATTTAGTACCGATCAACAGTTTCAACCGCTCAATCGCACAACATACTCCGTACCCTGGAAGTTCCTCGATTAGCTCTATTCAATTTTGTTGCCTGAATAGAATTATGTAGGCACCTCAAGAGTCAAATCTACCTATAATCGTCATGGTGGATACAATTCCTAGGTCGTGTTCGTATACTTCCTACTTCACAAGGCTGGATGCCGCTTGGCATTTGTATTTATGAGAAGACAGTTCCCCATGTTCCACGGTCTATTCTACCGCTCCAAGCCTATCGATCTAATGTTGCAATATCTCAATCTCTTCCTTGTCGCATTTTTGGTATTGACCGCCACCGCAAAACAAATTTGCAAAGTCTCCCCTAGCGATTTGTCTTGGCCGTCACAGGATGCATGGAATTCTCTCAATCAGTCCATACAGGGGACCCTCATCAGGACAGCCCCAGTCGGCTCATCGTGCTACTCTGGCAATCCATTCAATTCCCCTGAAAATTGTACTGTGGTGAAAAACCATTGGTCTTCTGCTGCATACCATGCTGCTTGGCCTGAGAGTATCGACTACTCAATCTATGCAAACAATTCATGTTTGCCTCCCGGCGTAGATGGATACTCAGCTGGAAAAGGTTGTAGTATAGGCGGTTTACCGCAATACATCGTGAATGCCTCAACAGAACATCAAGTTGCGACTGCGATGAAATGGGCATCCCACAGAAATATCCGGATCGTTGTGAAAGGAACGGGGCATGATCTAGGTGGACGGTATGCTGATTCAAGTTGATTCACACACGGAGCTGGGCTAACTTTCCACAGATCGACCGGTGCCTTCGCTCTTTCTATTTGGACTCACAACTTCAAGCGCATCCAAGTACACCCAAAATGGAATTTACCCGGAACGAACGATACGGCAGATGTGGTTCTTTGCGGCAGTGGAAACAACTGGGGGAATGTTTACAACGCAGTGCACAAGATCAACCGAACGGTAGTGGGTGGGGAGGATGCTACAGTCGGCCTGGGTGGACTCATCCAGAACGGCGGACACGGCCTTCTCTCGAGTCATTATGGACTTGCATCAGATCAAGTCTATCAGGTCACTGTCGTTACCACCCAAGGTCAACTCCTTGTCGCCAATGATGTACAGAACCAGGATCTTTTCTGGGCCGTTCGGGGTGCAGGTGGTGGTCAGTACGGAGTGATCACAGAGTTCGTCTTGAGGACACACCCCGTTCCCGAGAATGTGGTAACGGGCGGCTTCTCGTTTTACCCCAGCCAGAACTCAAAAGCCAGTGAGATCGCATCTTGGAAATCTCTCGCTGAGATTGCGGCCCAAATCCCAGACTTGATGGACAGTGGCCTGACGGGAACAGTCACAGCGCTGAACAAACAAAAGGCAGTTTCTTATATGGGATTGAAGCAAGAGATGCCAGGTGTATCTGGAATGATAAGTTTCACGGGCTTCAACATGACTATCGAATCAATGAATGCATCGATCAGCAAACTGGTTGCCCGACTCGATCTTGACAATGCGAACATCACCCTCCAATCACCTTCTACCAAGAGCTACTGGGACTCTACCAAACCAGACCCTTCCACCAGCAATGCCGCTGGATCCTCCAGCCTAATGACAAGCCAACTTCTCGGTAGACGTGAGCTTTCAGATATCTCCCGCGAGAGGCTGATCGACTATCTCCAGCGGATCATGGTCTCCCAAAATACAACCGCAGGCACCATGCTTCTTTTTGGGCTACAAGCTGGAAAGGGACCGGCTGGTATCCCCGAGATGAGGCGTGGCAGTACTCTACCTGCTTGGCGTGAAGCATACGTTCATGCTATGGCATACAGTGCTTCAATCGATGCGATTGGTGACCCTAGCCGATCTTTAAAGTCTGGTGCCGATTGGATCAACAGCGCTCAAGAGTCGGTCTGGAAGAATTGGGCACCCCAATCCGGGTCTTATATGAACGAGGGCAACCCATTCAGTATCAACTGGAAGCATGACTTCTACGGGGCAAACTATGAGCGGCTCCTCAAGGTGAAGCGCAAGTATGACCCCAGTGGAAGCTTGTTCGTTTGGAGCGGAGTTGGGAGCAACGAGTGGGACTATAACTTGAACAGTGGTCTGCTGTGTCGCGTGTAAGGGGAAAAAAAGGGAAATATCAAAGAGCGCTCTCGGCTGTCTGTCAAATCGAGATCTCTCTCTCTCTCTTTCCCTCTTATCATAAATACGAAAACAAGTTTTGAGGAATATAGAAAGACTGTAGAACCAAGGCTTCTATATGCATCTGTTGTTCAGCAATCTAGAATTCGATTTAGCTATTTCATCTTAGAATTATGGTCTTTATCTGAGGGCCTATTGATTATCTCTAGTCGTTAGGCCGCTGCGTATTGCCGTGCATAGACGCTCTGGTTTTGCCACCGCCCCGCCTTAAGCTCTAGAGATATTCACTCCGAACTTTCTTTTCTTCAACATTCCAGTCCCAAAAACCCAAGGGCTGTCGCGATGTCTTCACGCGATCAAGAGGGTGGACAACCGCCGTCCAAACCTTTCTCTCTGTCACTCTCCAAATCAAATGGTCCGAAGAAGACGGCCTTTAACATTCAATCCGCAAATCGCGGGCGTCCCACTGGCCCAGCTCAAAGCCGGTCCCTTCCTCAGCGGCCGCACCAGCTCGGCAATGATGACGACTCCGAAGAAGAAGAAGCCCCGCCGGCCCACGAAGAAGTCTCGGGCTTCGACACTCACACCGGTGGAGCCATCACCGCCGATGGAAAAGCGGTCGAAGATACCAACAAACCATTGATCATTCCTGTTACAAGCAAGAACAACTGGCGCGATCGAGCGGGTATCAATGTCAAAAAGGGAAAGAAGAATCTACTGCCGCGCGAGGTGCAAGCTATGCAAGAGGCCGAGAAGATTGGACAAACACCGGGACAGCCTACTATGGAGACAGATGCACCGAGCATGGCATTCGGTCTGAGCTTTGCGAAGGAAGGCGAAGAAAAGGCCCAAGACAGCGAAGCAGCGAACGAAGATCAGCCTATGCCCGATGCAACACCTGTTGAGACCAAGCCTCTTACAGACGATCAGATTGCCATGCAGGCGCTGATCAGCGAGAGTAAGGGCGAGGTTGAGCGAAGGTCTGATCTAGTCATTCAGGCTGCAGCTAAAGACGGGGATGACGACGATGAAGCCCCAGTCCATTACTCCGAGACTGGCTCTTTCCGCGCAGACATCGCAACGCGGCCCGAGTCTGCGACTTTGGACGCCTACAATGCCATTCCTGTTGAAGATTTTGGTGCTGCCTTGCTACGAGGAATGGGCTGGAAAGATGGCCAATCCGTCGGACGAGGCAACTATGGCAGTGCTGCGGCGGCAGAGAAGGCCAACAAACCTCGTGTCCCAGAACGACGACCTGGATTCCTCGGTATTGGTGCAAAAGATTCATCTGGCGGCAAAGGGGCTGAGACCGAGCTTGGTGCCTGGGGAAAATCGGCAATGCGCAAGGCATCCCGGAAACAGGGCGAGGAAAACGACAAGGCCGAGGGTGTTTATATGCCTATCACCATGCGAAACAAAAAGACCGGCGAGCACCTAACTGAAGAGGAACTTGCTGTTTTACAGAAGGAGGCCAAGTCTAAACCTCCCCAGGAGGACGACTGGCGCGAGCGAAGAGATCGCAACCTCGAAAAGAGCGGCCGAGACAAGGATCGTGACCACGAATATCGCAAACGCGACTATGACGACGAGGATCGCTCTCGCCGACATACTAGCTCTTCGCGCCGTGACCGCAGTCGATCTGCTGGCCGCCATTCCTCGAGCCGATCTTCGCGATCTCGTTATGACGACGATAGGAGTAGGGATGACCGGTCCTATCGTGACCGTGATCACGACCGGGATCGTCGCCGAGACCGCGATGACCATAAGGATAGAAGAAGAAATGGAGACCGAGACCGCGATGGGGATCGGAGTCACAGATCGCGAGATGAGAGGTATAGTAGCTCCAGGCACTCGTCCCACTCATATCGACATGACCGTGACCGTGACCGTGATCGCGATTCCCGCCGCAGCCGACGAGACGATTAGAACAGGACCTCGAGAGATGGCATTCACTCCGGGCTGTATATGAAAGTGTTGTCTTGGGGCTGCAGTCGCCCCACCCAGCAACTCTGATTAGAAATTGTTTCAATATCAAGATACCCAGTACAATAGAAATCATCTAACTCTGCCAGAAGGCAATAACCATGATACACTGTTCAATTCTATAAAAGAAGAATGGCTTTTATCCTTCCCACCCATGGTACTCCAAGAACGAAAGCGCCGAATTCAATGTACAAACAGAAAGACTAGAGCCAGATTATGCTTCCAACATGATGACATCCTTCTCGTGCTCTTCCTCAACATCCCCGACGGTCAGATCACGGAGTCCACCGAGCCCAACACCGCCATCCATCTCACCAAGAACCCACTCCACCAGATAGCTGTCATCGACCAGCTCTTCAACACGACGGTAGTGTCTCTCGGTGTATGCAGCAAGTGCCTGCAAGATGTCCTTCAGACCCGCAGCAGCGCGACCATTCTTTCCGCGCACGGATTGAGTCGCCAGCTCCACGAAAGTGGAAGCAGGGTAAGAACGGAACAGAGCATACAGGATACGCTGCGAAACGCGAGATGTGCGAGCGTTGGTGTTCCAGTCACGGAGACGGAGCAAAAGAGTACGCAGATGGGCCGGGTCCAAGTTCTGCAGTACCTCGTCGATAGCCGGGTTACCGGAGAGACTAGCTGCGGCCTGTTCACGGTCTTCGGCCGATGAGGTGGGGTCATCTGCGGCATTGATGGCGGCCGTGAAGAGCGAGAGTAGTCTACCGGGGTGGTTGAGCTGAAGCGCCAGAGTGATGGCTTCGCGATAGGCACCGGCACGGATGTAGTTCTGCAGCTCTTGGTCTTGCTCAACACGAGCAGAGTTGGCGTTGACAGCGGCGGTATAGGTGGCTGATGTGGTATCGGTCCAGAAAGTCACTGTCGCATCGGCAGAGCCGGAAGCGATGGCGTAGGGAGTGGTATTGGGGTTGGTTTGCTTCACGTCTGAGCGTGAACCGGAGGGTGTGGGGCTAGCCAGAGCCCAGACTCGGTCGATGTGGTTGTCTAACGTTGTTTCGAGCTCGCCGGTGTAGGGAGACCAGATCTTGACAAGACCGTCCGCAGCAGCAGAGGCAACGAGGGGACGGGCCTGAATCGCTTCGTTCTTACGTGCTGCAGCCGCCTCATCGTCCTCATCATCATCATCATCTCTGTTCGAAACCTGAGGAGGGGGAAGCCAGAGGACTTTGAGGACACTGTTGGTGTGGCCCTCGAAAGTCAGGAGACAGCTGTAGTCGGACAAGCTCCAAAGCTTGACGGTCTTGTCACCCGATCCTGTGATTGCCAGGCCACGGCTTGCGCTTGTGCGTGAGTCTGAGTTGATGATCGGAGTGCCCTGGGGAGCGAACCGCACGGACCAAACACCTCGCTTGTGACCACGCAGAACACCCACTGCTGTGCCTTCATCAGCAGCCCAAATCTTCACAGTGCGATCCTGTGATGCCGAAGCAAACAGTTCGGAGGTAGAATCGACATCAATGGCGTTGATGTCCTTCTCGTGAGCTTTACGAGTATAGATTGCCTTGGGCGAGTGTGGCTTTTCTTCCTTCAGGGGAGCAAGCTTGCTTGTGTCCCATCGTTTGATAGTACGGTCTTGGGAACCTGTAATCAAAAATGAAGGGGGGTGGTTCACAGGGTCATTATAGGCGGCACTGCCAACAGCTGGGGGCACACGGGGAAGTGCAATTGCTCCCAACGATTCGGCGTGACCGGTGAAGATAGCAAAGCAGGTATAGGAGGAGTTCTTGGGGTCAATACGCCAAAGGCGGGCTGTGTTGTCCTTGGCACCAGTTGCAAGCCAATGTCCTGACCAGTCAACGTCCAAGCAGATGATAATATCGTCATGGCCCTCAAGATGTGTGATATCAGCACCAAAGTATTCTTCTCCTTGGGCCGAGGGTCGATCTTCAGACGGGGCACACGAGACCACACGAATACTCTCGGTATTGGTGGCCAAGGCAATCATGGATCGATCAGCGCCAACATAGGCCAGATCAATGATTTCATCGTCGTTACCAGAAATGCGGCGAGTGACCGTGAGCGGCTCGAGGGTGGTCCCTGGCTTATACCCGGACAGCGCCTCTAGCGAGTGAATGCGCAAAGTTTGGTCTGCGTGCACAGTAAGGACAAAAGATAAACCGGCCGAATATTGGATGGCGACAACGCTCTCGAACTCTTCTCCAGCTTCTTGTTCTTCTGTAACCTCACTTCCACGGTTACAGTCCCAAACTCGCAACTTGCCATTCTCTCCACCAATCACACACAATGGGGTATCCGCGATGAAGGCAGCGGCTTCCACACTCTCGAGAACAGGAATGATCCGACGGGTCTTCCAGGTGCGAGCATCCCAAACGATTACTGTCTTATCTCTGCTGGCCGAGATCAGTGCATTCTCCGATGGAGAGAAAGACAGACTTCGAACGAGGGACACGTGTGACTCGAGCGACGCAATGGACTTCCTTTTGTGAAGATCCCACACACGTAGCTTGCCATCCTCGCTACCGGAGGCTAGGCGGAATCCTGCAATGGAGCCAGTTGAGGTGGATCCTTCATCCATATCTTCATCTTCGTCACCTGCGGCCTTTCGCTTAGATTGAGTGCTCTTAGACCCCTTGGCTTGGCCGTCGGCAGTGGGGACTTCGAAAAAGCATAGCGCTGAAACAACACCACCGTGACCGTGGAAGGTATGAGTGACGAAGCCACCTCTGATATCCCAAACCTTGATCGAACCATCGGCACCACCTGTGGCAAGTAATGTACCGGTGGGATCCACAGAGATGGTTACAACGGGCGCCGTGTGAGGTTTGAGAGTGCGAAGAAGCTTTGCTTCAATGGTTTGCGAAGATTCGTCGAAAGTTGTGAGAGAGTAGATGCGCATAGACATCGAGCGCGAGCAGACAATAGCGTGCGAGGCAGACGGTGTAACTAGAATAATTGTCAGCGGTTTTATCGCAGCCATAAATGCATCCTAATACTTACTCGCCAAGCCAGTGACAATTTCTCCATCCTGCGGTGCTTATGCGATTAGCGCTTTGCAATTGAAGACATATATCCAACAATGGTCCACTCACTCCTTCAAGACTGGCCAGCTGATTACCAGTCTCTAAGTCAACGATCAGGGCATCCTCGCCCACGCAGCTCAGCAAGATGCGGCCACTGGCATCCAGCGCCGTGCTACCGCCGGTGTAAATGGGGCGGAGCGTGCGGGACGCCTCGAAGGTTGTTTTGACGATAGCTTTCGACATGACTTTATAATACTTCAGCGTGAAAACTTAGAATTCAGCACGCCATTGCCCAGTCAAAGAGCCTTGTTAATCGAGTCGCAAAAAACCGGCAGCTTGAGCGGGCAACTTTTTTTTGGTGTTTGCACTGTTTGTCTGGCGATAAGATAGGGTGTCTGCCTCAGGCAAGCAGCCGCGTTACTGCCACCTGCGACTGTTTCATCTTCCTCTCTCATGTTGATCTTTTGCTAAACTTCCAAGGTTCATTCTATCAAAGTCACAATCCAGGGCTTTATTTAACTTATCTACTACGGATGGTGATGTAGCCGCGGTGGCACAGTGCTCCTGAGTTATGGGACGACAAGCCTATTTGAATCGGCTCGCTTTGGTAAGGCCACCATCTGTGCAATACACCCTCTGCTCCCTAAACTAGAGTCTATCGGTCCAAAATCACAAGACCTGATTTGTGCTTTTGGACCAGATATGGTCTAGGATGGCTTAGAACCTGAGCGCTTCCACTTTGCCCCACATTATTGCGTACACTCTATATACATAACAGCCAGCACAACTGCGTCGTCTTCCACATGGTTGAACTCATCATATTAACTTGATATAGGGCCGGTCACCATATGAAGTCCCAGATAATGCGACAGTTGATCCCACAAATCCCGTCAGACGGGTCTCCGAGGTTCATGCAGACAATTACATGCAGGAGTATGATGCGCGAGGCCATCCTGTCAACACCGAGTCTAGAATTCTAGGGAAAGGCCTCCGGAGAGCGAAAAATGACATTCTTTCAACAATGGGAATTGTCGTGAGCAGAGAAGATCGAAAAACAGGCAATCCCAATGTACAGCAAAAGCTCGACCAGATCGCCAGCGAAAATGACTTTGGGTTGGTCATAACCACTCTTGACCAGCTGTTCATTTTCTTTGGTACCTGGTGGACGTCGTCTCTCACTGGTCGAGTTCAGGTAATTACCCCCAGCCTAGCTTCGTTTTCCTTACGGTTAACCATGAATTCTGTTTAGACCTATAAACATTATGCGCATTCTGCGTTGATGAATGCTATTCAACTGGAGAGAGACTCAATGGGGGTCCTCAATTTCTACTTCGCAGGAATTCCAGCATGGGCAGTGTCAAGTGGTTTGGCTATAGCTCGAGAAGGTCCGCTCAAGCGCGTTTTCGTGTCTCTTCGAGACTATGCTCAGTACTTGACGGGCGAGTCAAGATTGGTGCGGTCTCTTTTCGGTGCGGCCTACACAGTGTGAGTGATTTACGTTCAAGTTTGGCCAACGCATACTAATCCCAGACCTAGGGCGAGAAACTCGGTACTCATGCTTTCTGTAGAGTTCTACATGTACTCCACGCTCCAATCTCTCTCGCTTGTGTCTCCCTACTCAACCTCGGGATTGAAGCTCCTGATTCCATTTGGCGAGCAGTCTCTGCTGCGGTTACCAACTTTGCCCACCGACTTTTCTCCTTGCTCCCTGACTACATCGCTTGTCGGTTTTTTGACATCTCCTAGTGTTCTAGTCATTCTCTATGGCTATTACCTCCGGCCACAGCTTGAAGAGCGTATCTATCGGTTGATACGAAGACGCCTTCCGAAGCCAAGTCTTCCAGATGAGCTTTCTGTCCGAGTGGCATATGAAGAAAACCTGATAGAATGGGTGGTACCAAGTCTGGGTCGCAGGTCAGATGAAGAATTGCATCGATCCAAACTCACACTTTTTCAAGACATGAAGTGTGAAATCGAAGTTTTCCGAAGATGGTTGTTCTCATTCTTTGGGCTGATATCGAGCAATTCGACAAATCAGCAAGACCAAGATCAGCAATTCTTCAGAGAAGAGCGGGTTGAAACCCTGCAGAACTCTTTTCACATGCTACGGCAACAACTTGAGGAGGCCCAGCGCAATCTTCCGTCTGAAGATGGACCAAATCAAACTGCTTCTCGCCCACCGGGCTCGACAGATGCCCGAGCTGCCGCAGTAGCACTGCAAACCCAAGACGCAACCGGAAACACCTCCCTGGATCAGGAGACAGCAGATGTCGTTTTGAATCAGGTGCTTACGAATGAAAATCGTATGTCTCAATCACCCGGGGAAATGAGCAATGATTACTTCTCCGAGACGGCCACTGCTGGGCGAACGAACGGTTTATCAACTACTTCAAATCCGCAAAACTCATCGATTGAGCCGCAAGATGCCGAGAATGTTGCCCCAGGTCGACAAATATCGCGATCTAACACACTTTTCTCTCGCCCGTCTTCACCGGAGACATCTCCGCCTACTTCACCTCGTGTCAGAGCATCACTAATTCACCAGAACTCCGACTTAGTCACAATGCAGCTTGAGCTACTGAGTAACAGTGCCCAAAACCCTCAAAATCACAGTCTCCATAATTCCCAGCTGGTGGAACGCGCTCTAGCGGGTGGTCCTCTGTCATCGAATGAAGTTCTAGCTACCATGGACGAAGAGACTATAACCCAGTTTGTCCAAGCTGCCACGATGGCCGCTGTTCATGATGCTCGTTCGAGGAACAGGGCAGCTCGTCTTGAAATCATGAGGTTAGCTAGTGGCGGGGAGACGACCCAGCTTTCACCGGCTGGTACAGACGACCTCTCAAATGCCATTGCCAGGGCTTCCAACACAACTCCCGCCCACTTAGAGGCCCCCGAATCAAGCTCTCAACACTCGACACAAAATATCCAGGCCAGTCAGGTCACTTCTGCACCGCGCTTTGAATCAATTGAAGAGGCCCTAGAGGCGGTTGTTCCAAACATTTTACCGGATGGGGTGGAGGAACCAAATGACGAGGAAGCATTCAACGATTCACTTCCAGTTGCAGTCGTAGAAACCAACGACGATGCCGAATCAGAGACCCCCGCACAACCACTTTTCCCCTCCTCTCTCACTCCTGGACAATCGACAAATAATCCTCCAGAGGCTCACCGTGTCACCCTTCTTTCGGCTTACCCTGTGGACTCGCTCGCTTCACACCTCGCTGCTGCAATCAGCGGAATCTTACTGGCACCTATTGAAGCACTTTATCTTCGTTCATTAGCTCAATATTGGCTGACCACACATCCTTCCCCTACCACACAGCTCTCAGGGCTCCACCCTCTGGGTCTCTGGTTTGGAGGCAGGACCTGGTCAGATGTAAGTGCCTATACTTGCCGACTGGTCCTTATGAGAGGCATGCAAGTTGCGATGAGGGCGGGGATCTGGGGATTTCTTGTCGGATCCACAATGAGAATTGGGAGAAATTTCTGTGGGTGGGGAAAACTATGAACTGTCTGCAGGTCTCTTTTCGGGCGTTATTCATACCCATCCAGCTGGGCGGCCCACAAGGTCGCTCGAGTTGTCTTTTGACACGTAATTCTTGCACAGTTCTTACTACACCCTACTATGATACTGGTACGGGGTAGATAAATTGACATAATTTCGTCATAGTAATTATGATACATGAGCTCTGCTCTCGATGAAGAAGCACATAGAAGACATTGGTAGCATTGAACTCCTAGATCCCTCAGTGGATTTGTACTCGTCTATGCACCTTTCCCTTTTTGTCCAGGGATCTTGCGCCGCTCCCAAACCATGAGGTATCCTTCACGTGTGAACAGCGTTTCACTCTCTGCACGCTTGACAAACAAGTCCTGGATTTCAAGCCACTCTGGGCCACGTTGTTGTTGTTTCCCTTGGGAACCTGCCTTTTTCGTTTGTGAGTTCTCCGCCGACATAGCTTTGTCGTGGAGTTGGACATGCCAGGAAACCTTTTCGCTGCCACCACCGGCTCCGGTGGAGGAGCCACCGGCGCCTGATGCAGCGTTGGTGCCCTTTTCGGCAGCGTCATCCATTCCACCGGGTGCGGCCATAGCTGGGTCAAGGATGATGTTTGCCACAAGATCGTACAGAATTGGTTCGCCGGGTGACCAAACATCTGGGTTCGGCTCGACATATGGGGACATGTCCAAGGAGCGGGGGGAGGGGAAAGTGACAATAGTTGGGTTTCGCTCAGAGACGAAGCGATTCTTGCTGAAACGCTTGATGTGGAAGAAGAGATAAGGAGGAAGAGGATGGAGAAGACGGTGTCGGACACGGTGGTCTAATTTCTCAGATGCTGTGTAGCCGTTGTACTTGTTCAACAAGGTTGTCAAGGGAATCTGTGGAATGATCGACTCTCGGTTGACAGACTGGAAGAGAGGGGTGGGTGGTAGATCCAGTGTCAAAATTAGGAAGGGTGTGACTTGGCTTTTAATGGTACCGGAGTCAGTGAACACCAAGCGGGCATTCTGAGTATCGGAATGAGCAGTGATAGCTTGGCTTTCAATCCGCACTCGACCCTGGAATGCCGCATGAACAACACTTGTTGGAGTAGGGGAAGGCTTTTTAGATCCGCCCAGAGCAAGGTGAAGACTGTTCAAGAACCAAGACAAGAAGTCGACTGGGTCGGCCTGATTTGTGAGCGTGAAGCGCTTGGAAGATCGCAAAGCAATCTCCTGTAGCAGCTCGTGTGGAGATACGTGTGAGCGGAAAGCTTTTGGGTTCCAAAGCTTGCGAACAAGTGTGCTGAAACGCAGAACGATCTCCGGAGTACCAGGCGTAGGGAAGTTTTGGAGGAGGAAGAAATTGCGTATAGGCAGAACGTGTGCTAGCAGTTGAGCTACAACATTCACATAATCGTTGGCTTTGATGTTGTTCATACCGACGAAGCCTGCAGAAAAGAATGTTAGTCTTCAAAACATTTGTATTCAATCGCCTCTCGGGTTTCTCACCTGGTCTGTATCTAGACCCTGACAGATCCCAAGCATCGTGGACTTCTTTGTCTAGCTTGATCACTTCGCTTTTAGTGTAATGGGGATCGACCACATATTTGATGTCTTCCAAACTCTTGTTCTGTACTTCGTATCCTTCTGGCAACACATAGACTTTCTTTGTGCCAATGTTGATGAAGACGTGGTGTCCAACCTCGAGCGCGTGAAAATACGCATGCGACTTGGGACCTCGGCCTTGGAAGTATTTGCCGCAGACGAGACATGCGTACACATTGATGTTTGACAGACTGACCGAGCACAATTTCTCGAAGTCGAAGTCTAAGATCTGGCGATTGATTGTGTCGAGATACAGGTCGCCGTAGCCTTCCATAGGGGCGCTTTGTCGCTTCGGTGCGCTGAGTGCAGGCGCATCCTCGTCAATATCCAGGATTTCCGACGGGTCCTTTTCGCCCTCCTCAAGCTCCTCTGCTTCTAGCTCGGCTGCTCCTTGCACGTCGACATCATCTGCGCCGCTGGCGGAACCGTCTGCGTTGGCGTCCTCGACACGAGCTTTTTTGGAAGCGGGTGAGCCGGAAAAGTCTCGCTCCAAAGGGAGCTCAGCGGGTCTTTTGGACATTGCGAAGGGGTTGCGATGAAAGATTGGCGACCATGGAGTTCTCGACTTTCCGAAAGATCAAGCGTGCAAACAAGACAAACAGGACCCAACCTATGGCATCACGATAATCCCCAGCTTTTTGTCGATGAAAAGTACGGAGTAGATCTCCAAAAGTTAACTATTAAGCTTGTTTCTAATATCATTCAAGTCGTCTAAAGCTCTACTGTTCACTTGAGGTTGCTACAGCCTGAATCATGCCGACCGTTTGAAGACTATATCGGAATCAAATAAAAACGTCATAGGATGCGGTACTAACGCCGTGGTATGTCGACCTTCAAGCACTCCGAACAATCTTATCGTTATCGAAAGGAATCTCCTGCACGCCGTCCTTCGTGATCACCTTCACCAAAACCTAATAAGCTAGTCAGAGACATTCACCACATATTCGGATTAGAATACTTACACCCTTGTAATCAATGGGAAGTCGGCGCTTCAGCTCATCTGTACACAAGCCGAGGAGCTTAAGACCCTCCTCAAGCGAAATGTCGGGGTTGTGGTGTTTGTCAAGAATGGAGAGGCAGTAGTATCTATGAGAGTGAGTATGGATCCTCTTGGAGCTGTCTCATCCGTCGCCAGGATACGATGGAACATACTGTGCGTAGCCGTGGGCGGCATATGGTAGGGGCGCCAATGACGCAAGGTAGTCAACCCAGTACAGATGAGGCTTCTCGGAGACTGGATCTATACCACCAAGCAGCAGGTTTACTGTGTAAGGACTCCGTGATCGTAGACTGCGCGCCAGTTCTCCTCGGACGAAATTGGCGACTGCAGAGGGGCTGAGTTCAGTATCATTGCGCATACTGTAGAGTGCAGCGTTGGCTTGGATGTATTCGGCGAATTGAACTAATCGCGGCAGCTTGTTAGTATCTTGTTTGGTCTTGCGGAGGCAGCTTACATACTAGTGTCTCCAGACTCCCCAGAAAAGGCCATGACTGTGTGCTTGTTCAACTGCCTTGTCTTATCGTCCTCAGCCTTGAGAACTGTCGGCCCTCTCATTGCGGCCTTGGATGCAGCGAGAATGACGAAGTCCTTGCCGGCGATACCCAAAAGAACCTCCCTGTTAACTGCTGTCAATGATCGTCTTCAGACAATATTCCATCAAAAGTGAACATACATGTTTGCGGTTAGTTGGGAAATTAATTGAAAATAAAAGAATAGAGCAAGTTAGATGATCAGGACGAAGGGAAGTAGTGATCAAGTGAGGAGCGCCGCGCGGTGAGCTTGACGCCTGGAGCTTCCGTCCAGCTACACGCTGAGTCAGCCACCGCTTTGGCGCTTTTTTTTCTGCCAAAAAAAAGTTGAAGTTTTGATCTCCGCAACCCGAGTCTCTTGAGAACGCCATACTTCCGATTTCTCTTCCACGGTGATCAGGAAGCGACAGGCTTGACAGAAAATCGCCATGTCGTCGTTTTTCACTGTACCCAATGCCCAGCGCAAGAGGAAGAGAGACGACCGCGCTGCGCCTCCAGGATCGAAGAAGCGAGGCGGGGAGACCAAAGCCGACGCAGGTCGACGCCAAGAAAGAGAGGATTCAATCTCTGGCAGTGATTTGGATGATGATGCCGGAATCGACTCGCCCGAGTCGGGTGACGAGAGCGGATCGGACTCAGAGGGCGAAACCGCCGCGGATCGAAGACTCAAACTCGCCGAACGCTACTTGGACAACATCAAAGGAGAGGTCGATGAGGCTGGATTTGACGCCGCAGATATCGATCGAGACTTGATCGCAGAGCGACTCAAGAAGGATGTGGACGAATTCAAAGGACGGACTTTCCGCCAAATCGCCTCGAAACTAGCCATTCCCAACGCACCCCATTCATTTTTCCGCTCTGATACCCAGTCAACCACCAACATCGCAGTTCACTCCCCATTCGTCTACACTGTCTCCAAGGATAAGACTTTGACCAAGTGGGAATTGGCCACACCCATTGTACCAGGATCTACAGAAACGAACGGCGATAAGGATACCTCCAAACGTCCCCCGCGCCCCCAGCGCAAGAAGCCTAAGCGTGTCAGCTATGCTCGGGGCATGCGCAAAGTTGGAGAGTCAGGTGAGGAGCAAGGACACACTGGAGCCATTCTCTCCATTGCTGTCTCTCCTTCTGGAAAATTTGTGGCCACAGGTGGAGCGGACAACAAACTTGTCATCTGGGACGCAGAAACCCTGACACCATCCAAGACCTTTTTGCAACACCGAGACTCAGTTTGCAGTTTGGCTTTCGCACGCCATATTTCCACCATGAGCTCTGGAGAGCAGCTATTCTCCGGTTCATATGATCGTACAATTAAAACATGGTCCATCAGCGGAGCGGGCCACGCCTACGTCGAGACACTATTTGGTCACCAGGACCATGTTTCCGGAATTGCCGCTATGACCATTGACGAATGTGTCAGTGTCGGTGCTCGGGATCGCACAGCCCGCCTGTGGAAGGTTGTCGACGAAACACAGCTTGTGTTCCGTGGCGGTGCCGCCAAGAGCGCTCCTTACCAGGACAACAACATTGACTGCATTGCTCCTCTTCCGCCAAACCACTTTGTCACCGGTTCCGACTCGGGCTCAATTTCGCTCTGGTCTATTCACAAGAAGAAGCCCCTCTACACCGTTCGCCAGGCCCATGGCCTGGATCCAGTCCCCCCTCTGGACGTCATCTCCCCCGAAGTAGACGAGGAGACCGCTGCCCATAATGCGCGTCACATGCGCCCCACACCTCGCTGGATCACTGCGCTCACTACCCTCCCCGGTACCGACGTTGTTCTCAGCGGCAGCTGGGACGGTTGGATTCGCGCGTGGCGCATCTCAGACGATAAGAAGACAATCATTCCTCTAGGCCCCATTGGCGCCGGCTCTGTTGGAGATGTCACACCCGACACACCCTCACAACAACTCAATCAGACTCTTGCACTCGATGGTACCCCAGGTTTAGGCCAAAAGGAACCCGAGCCTTTGATCAAGGGTGTTGTCAACGATATTGCTGTATTTGAGCGTCGCCCGGAATCCGATCTGCCCGGCGCTGATGCGAAGTCCAAGATTGCTTGTAAGGATGAGCCTCGGGGCGTGTCCATCGTCGCTGCAGTCGGCAAGGAGCACCGGTTGGCTCGCTGGAAGTGCTTCGAAAACACTTTCTATGAGGGAGCTACTTCTGGGGGGCGCAACGGCGCTGTCGTGTTCGAAGTTCCATTCACCACTAATGAACCTGTGGAGGCTGGTGTATAAATTTTTGTTCATAATTTATCTCGATCTCGGTCACTGATTGAGAATAAAATGGGGAGCGTTGCTCGGGGTCAGGTGTATTTGGAGTCAGATATGTGTATTTCTACCATTTTTGCATATGTACCGGGCTTCTTCGGTGCATTGAATTCAACTATATCCTTCCAAGCAAGTCGGCAGTGTTTGTTGTATGGGTGTTGTAGTGCATGACCCTAACTAATACTCAAATCTTTCACTCCATGACACCGCCGATTTGATCAACCCGCCCCCCTCCTCTCTCGCTCAGCATACCCAATGGATTCTAGTTATTAGAAGAAGGTAAGTCACAGATTAGGAAAGACGAGTGAGCAGCCCAGGTGGCGACCCGTCTAATCGAGCGCTGCCGGAAGGACTTGCCCAGTGGCCCCTCTAGCGGGAAAGTGTTTCCTTCTCTTGTCAAACCTGAATCCAGAACTATGTCAAACATGTAAGCATAATGGAGCGTATAAGACCAATCGAGAAGGATGGCTTTGGGGGCATTTGGTGATACTTTGTGGTTCGTGGCGAAGTTGCTGTTAGATCATGACAGCCGATCACTCTCAACCTTACGCAGAGATGACCCCGACAGACGCAATCGCCCGGTTTCCGCATGGAAAGCGTGCTCCCAAGGCATGCTCATACTGTCAGATACGCAAAGTGCGCTGCAGTGCGTTACGCAACAGTTTCCCCTGTACAAACTGTCAGCTGGATGGAGTGGATTGCAAGATTAGAGGCATGCGAAAAGTGTAAGTGTCGACTTTGACACTGTATACTCGTGCATATTGACTCATCTGCTCTTATCTTCAAGTGCAAATCGCAAAACCAAGAGTCGATACATGCCTATTCCCTGGGCAATCAATCAGCACGAAGATCGTACTACTTCCCACGTTGAACCACCACCCAAACACTTCAAAGATGACTCACTAGAAGAAGACAAAGCTATTCCTCGGTTTCAAAAGAGAGTTCGAGTTGAAAGCTCAGTTCAAAATCATTATATCACCCCAGCTACGATTCCTGAATTCACGCCCGAGCTCAGTACAACCCCAAGCGAATATGATCATATGCAACACAACTATATCCATTGGGATCCTGCACATATCGATGAACTCGATTTCGGCTATTTGATGAAGAAAGGGGCATTTGCAATTCCACATACAGACCTACGTGATGCTTTACTGAAAAGCTATATCGACAATGTCCATCCTCATCTCCCGATGTTGGATCTCAACGATTTCCTTTGGCGGATTCAAAATAACAACGGATTGAATTGCATCAGCCCACTTCTCTTCCAAGCAATAATGTTCACTGGCACATCATTTGTCGACCTTCAATATCTCCATCGAGCCGGGTATAAAGACAGAGATAGCGCCCGCAGAGCATTCTTTCACAGGGCACGACTGCTATACGACTTTGACATGGAGACGAATATGATTAATATTGTCCAATCATCCATATTAATGTCTTACTGGCACGACTTCCCCGAAGAAAAAGGCTGTCGTCATTGGCTGGAGGTTGGGCTATCGTTGGCTCGGCGAATTAGTCTGCACAGGGACCCGACCCAATCGTCTTTGGATCCCGAGTGTATAAAAAAGAGAAAACGCCTTTGGTGGTGTCTATATGCCTGCGATAATTGGATTTCTCTACGCACGCGCCGAGAAGCCCTGATATCCAAGGGTGATTATGATGTTCCGGCGCTGACTCTGGATGATTTTGATATGGGACCATTTCGGCCGGAACTGAGTATTCTTGGCTTGGATGATTCTTGCTATTGGTATTATCATCGAGATCTTGCTGTCAACTTCACCCTAGAAAGAGCGCGCTTGTGATCTCGGTTCGACTGCCACTTGAGCAAATGTCAAACTGTATCCAAGGGTCTATTATTTTGACGAATTGATACCTACGTTTTCTCATCGCATTTTCTTTACTCAATATCCTCACCGTGACCTCCCTACACCTTATAGACCTCATGGAAATGTCTGGCGATGGTCGATTGTCAATTTCAAGCCCTGAAAAGCTCACTATACTTAGCGGTTTTAGATAAAAAACAACTTAAGTAGTTCTTCCAGCTCTTCTGGCCAACATACTCCGTAGGAGTGCGGGCAGAATTGTTGGCAGAAATCTAGATGTTTTGCAACCAAGTCAAAATCAAGCATTAGGGATGTCATATCATCCAAGGGAGTGTCAGAATATCCGAGAGGATGTCGATATAACAACCCCCAAAAAGAAAATAATGTGCCCTTCATTCACAACCCTGGAATATACACAGGTAGCCACTTGATCGTTCCAAAACACCTATGTGTACCTAAGTAATGAACCACTTGAGCATGCATGCCAACCTGCTAGTGATGCCCTAATTAGATTCCGGGCCAAGTACAGAGTACCCCAAGACAACTATTGGGTTGTTGACTAGGTGTCAGTTCATGGGGGCGCTACTTAAGTAAAGATTTTTTGAACCTGAAGTGAATTCTAGAAGTTAATTCTATGGTTGAGAGTCCTAAGCCGAATAAAAAATCTTTGTATATTTCTGACGCGCAGATGGGTCAGTTATTTGCCGTGAGGCTAGGCGTTGTTTTCATTCTCCTGGAATCTTTGTTGATAGTGACAAAAATATAGCTGCGAACAAAGAAAAGATGTGTGGGACGGACGTTCCAGCACCCAAGATGAATGAAGATTGGAGACTCGAGACCATGGTGCATATTAAATAGTTTTATTTTAAGAGTATAGGAATCATAAAATCCATCAATAGATGTCGTCAAAGTAAAGATCAGATCCATTGCCTTCGACAAGCAGACATCGAGTATAACAGAACACTCAGCGGTGGGAAGAGAAAAACAGCTTGATGTACGAAGTACGGCGAATAATCCGAGAGACACATCTGTTAAAGCCCTTTGATGAACACGTATTCTACTCCGTACTACGGATTAGATTCAATAAAGAGTCAAATTAAACACTCGAAGTGACGAGTCAATTGTTGACGCCCTTCGGCGCGTGATTATGTGATTTACACGCCTGAGGCCGAAATAACATATTTACCCTCCCTCACTTCAAGCCATTGAATTACCTCGCACTTGCTGAATTTCACTTCATTCTACGTCCCAGTAGGAGCGCCAATCTTCCCGCCGACCCGATTTCACCGGGATTGTCTTTGACGTAGGTTGCAAAGCTCACTTCGCCTCACAAGTCTTTGACTTTACACGACCGGACCCCACCGCATCCTACCCGAATTCGCACCTTCAGTCCGAGACACCTTGAATCCAGTTTGATAAATGAAAACCTTTCTCCCGGGCCACTCAAGCCTTTGAAAAGCCTCGGAGCGCAATAATGGCCTCAAGTGGTGGAACTACGGCCGAGGCATCGGGTGTAAGTTCAGTTTGGCGCATGCTTGAAAGGACTGCTGAAAACTGACACGACCTGTTTAGCTTGTCCACACCCTCCAAGGCCATATCGATGATATTCGCACACTGGTACAGTGTGGTATCTGCATTCGACCCCTCTACGAGCCCTTCACCCTTGCCTGCGGGCACACATTTTGCTATTCGGTATGCGCTTACATACGAGCTGCGTCGCAATCGCATTTGCTGACCATGCTCTCATAGTGTTTAACATCTTGGTTCAGTGGAGGGAAAGAAAAGCGAACATGTCCAGATTGCCGAGCACCCGTCAAAACACAACCGGCGCCAGCCTACCTGGTATGTTGACATGCAATCTATAACCCAGCTCTTGGGAGCTAACTAAGCCTTTACTGTAGATCCGGACTATGGTGCAGATGTTCACGGGTCGTGCGGAACTGCTGGATAAAGGAGAATCAACCAAGGAACACGCCAAAAATCAAAAAGAGGAAGCAGAAAAATTGGACCAGGACAAAGCAAATAATCACCCAACTCGTGGAGGTCTGTTTGGTGGCCTTTTCAGGCCTAGAGATGCAATTCCTAAACCAGTTATTGACGTTGACGATGGTGTAATGCGATGTCCTCACTGTGCATGGGAACTTGAAGAAGGAGATACCTGCGCGGGATGCGGATATGAATATCATCCAGATGACAACGAGTCGGATGACAGCGAGTCAGGAGGCTACAGTACAAGTGGTTTAGGATCCATGGGAGATGATGATGATGATGTGGATGAAACCGACGGCCAAGATGCTGTTTTGACTAATTATGGATCTACTCACCCCCATAATATGATGGGCAGTGGCTTCCCTGGTTTCATGATGCCTCCAAGTGCACAAGATCTCTTGGGGCGACTCAGTTTTCAAGGTCACCCCGATTTTCGAAATCGCGCGCAGGATGCTCCAAATCCCTGGTCCTACAGTGGCTTCGGTAACCGTGCCAACGGACGTGCATATGACGAGGACGATGACGAGGACGTTGACTCGGACGAGTCAAATGAGGATGAGGAAGGCGAGAATGAATATGATGAGGACGATCCCTTCATTGATGATGACGGATTCAGTGGCCCGCCCACAAGCTCTTTCGTTGGCAATCATGGGCACGACACGAGCGGCGAGGTGTATGATCTAGAATCACCCTCCTCCACCGGCACAGCCGTGGACGAGGAGGAGGATGGGGATGAACATCCTAGCACTGATGGACTGCTCCAATGGCGAGATACCACCTCTTACATCGAACAAAATACAGATGAATCAGGCGATGAAGAGGGCGTTGGAGACTCGGAGGCAGATTCAGACGAGGAGGAAGTGAACATACCATCTCGTCGCCGACGACCACCAGCTGCATCACGCTGTCTACCCTTTCAAGTTCCGAGCGAAGCTCCATGGCTATCAGCGAGAACCAACTCTACAAGGGCTGGACGCCCGGTAATTCCTGATTCCGACGAGGTTGAGGATTCCTCTGCGTCGGAATATTCGAGTGAACCCGCTTCCCGACCGGCCGCAAGGCGCCCTGGTGTATCAGTCGGAAATGCTATATCCCTCGACGACTCGGATGACGATCAACCTGTCGGGCCCATGAGAAGAAACACGCAAAGGCGGAACATGAGATTCTCTCCATATTGAGGCAAAAATTGTCACCGACGGACCATGCAGGCTGGGCCTAGAGGGGCTACTCTAGTAATCTTTTGTTTTGATTCTACTTGTCTGATTTGAGCGCGGCGCTTGGGTGGTGGGTAGACGCATTACCTCACCTTTTTAATGCTTTTCTCCTTTGATATCCCATATAAAGTCTAGCTCCATGCTTGCGGTACTGCATAATTGACCTTCACCTCGTTTATACTTAGCTCGTGTACATAGCAAAGTGTAGAATAAGTGCCTTTCAGAAACCAGGTTAATTTGCGTATAAAATAGAGCACAGACATCAATTGATGTTGATGAGGGACGATCTCCGCGCCAAGAACCGCGGATCTCCAATTCTTCCTCCAACTGCTCCAATCAACCTTCAACTGACCTTTGATCTGCCCTCCAGCCACTTCGGCATACTTACACGTCAAGCCATTGGCACTATTTCCGGTGATTTCAATCTCGGCTCATACGCGCAAAAACACGAAATCATGGCCGAGTCTAACCAGGGAGACGACCACGATAAGGCCTGGAAGAAGGCGGAGAAGAAGTTCGCCCAGTATGTTGAGACATTATCTTTACTTACCAGATGGTGTATCCCTTTGTTCTGCACTTTCCCTACCCTATATTCGCGTCAATTCATGATGGGCGCCGATGTCTACCGCCCCTCCCCGCCAAAGACTGTTCCGTGAATCATCTAGAACAGAGCTACGCGAGTCAAATTAGTCGGATTGATGGCTAACCTGAGATCTCAGCAAACACGCCAGTGAATACTATGACCCATGCCAGGACTTTGCGGATCGGAGTCTTAAGTGTATGAAGCGAAATGCTTATGATCGTGAGTTGTGCCACGACTATTTCCAGTAAGTCCCAGCGCCGTTCACCCAGTACAGGTAACTCCTGAAATCATGTGGCCAAGATCCAAACTAATCGGCCTCTGTGATCAGAGCTTATCGTGATTGCAAGAAGAACTGGGTAAGTTTGAAGCGTTTTTGTTTCACGTAGTTAGTGATTGACACCTTTGGCGCATTCACTAGCATCTATCTCATCGAAATATGCTCTCTGAACTTGCTAACCATGATCACAGCTCACCCAGAAGAAGGTCTCCGTGCCCAAAAAGGACTAAACCCACCCTGCAAACCGGAAAAGTGCTACCAAGGGCCATTATTGAGTTACTCCAATGCTCCATAACATCTCCCTCCCACCTGTATATTAGCAAGCAAATTCTAAGTTTCTTTCGCCAACTTCATTTTCTGCGTATTTAAGTAGTAGAAAATGCATTTAGAGAATACTCTAAAGTTAGTCTTGCAACTGGGTTGTAGTTGATTTATATAGAAATTTTCCAACACTACTCCGAAGTCTGTACTAGAAAGATACATAAATATAATTGGGGGTTACATAGTAAATGTAGGTATCGCAAGAGGACTTCGATAAAATTTTGGAATCTGTATAGTTTCAGGGCCATGATAGAATGGCGGAGAAGAAGGCGGTGCAACCAGACCAAAATCTGGCATTAGGGATGTCATATTATCCAAAGGGGTGTCAGATTATCCGGGTGTCGATATAACAACCCCCCCCGCCCCCAAGGCGGTTTTCTAATGACCTTTCTACTTAGGTACGGAGTATCTTGGTTTGTTATAACTATCACCAAGACACCAATAGAATATAACCTCGTTTTATCCGCTTAAGCCAATAAAGATGTTCCAATACCTGGGTATTTTATATGCTTCATGTGTCACCATCCAGGATACGTCAATAAAGCCTCATACTTCGAAGTTTAGGTTCTGCCGGCAGTATAATGTGGGGATTTACCGACCGCCTCAAGTTTGGCTTGATTCCCCGCCAAAAATAAAAGTAGCCGAAGTCGATCACTGCAACCCCATCAATTTCTCATACCATCTCGGTGTATGCTGCGCCTCGTCTTGTGCAGTGATAAGGTGCCTCATTCAGAACTGGGGATCTAAAGCTACTGGACCCGAGCCGAGTATTACCTTCAAGATGAGCTCTAGCAATGACGCGGTGTTTCTTCGCCGCAATAACCAAGTTCAAGATGCCATTGACTCGCAGAACATGAAGCAGGCGTTGCAGCTCATCGAGAAGCGCATCAAGAAGGGCGAAAACACGCAATTTCTGAAGGCAAGTCATATCCACGATCTCCAAGTCCGGGCTCGCCGCCATAACGAAGTTATCTGAAAGCTGCTGACACTTACATTGTAAGCTTCACAGGTCTGGAAAGCTAACATCCTTTTCAACCATACGGATGAAACCCACAAAAAGCGAGGAATGGGGGAAACCCTGCAACTATGCAAAGCAGAGCCAGCCATATCGGATATAGACTCTCTTGACATCCTCCACCGAACACTGCAGAAGATGGACGATCACACTGAACTTCGGAGTACCATATGGGAGAAAGCAGCAAAGGCCAAGCCCCAGGACCATACCCTCCAGATGAGATGGTTCACTCTAGGGTTTGAAGCTGCTGACTGGAAAACGGCCCAGAAGGTGGGTTGGCGTTTAATGAGAGGATATCTACGTACTGGGATGCTAACAATCAGATCTATACATGTAGGCTGCCATGAGCCTTCAAAAGAACTTCCCTCGGGAGCGAAAATATTATTTCTGGGCCATCTTCCTGTGCCATATCATTTCAGAAAACCCGGCCAGCTCCGAGATGGACCGCAAGCTTTTCGGGACCCTTGCCTATCGGATGATTTCGAAAGCGGCTGCTGATATTCCTGCTGACCAGGTATGCAACTCTTTCTTGAATACCAAAGTGGTCAATTATGATGAGATTTGGAAGTCACAATTGGATACAGAAAACCGACAAGACTGACAATTGCTCTTCATAGACCCAATTGCTTAGCGCCCCAAGAGCCCTTCAAACCAGCGAAGAGCTTTACTTCCTCCTTCGAGTTTACAAAGTACAAGAGCGTTGGGCCGAGGCTCTGAAGGTGCTTGAAAGCGAGACCACTGGCACGGAATCTCGTCTTGCCAACAATGACCGTGTGTTCTTACTTGAAAAACTCTTCTTTATGGGATCTGCTGGTGTTTGGAAAGATGCGTATGCATTCACTAAACAACAGCTTGCTGTACCTGAAAGCGAAGCAGGACGCCAGGTCCTGAAAGAACGTGATGACTGGAAGACTTGGAACTTGTTTATTTCAGTCCCGCGAAACTTGCCTGAAGAAGAGGAGTGAGTTTACCGATAAATCTCTACTGCACATATTGGCTATCGGTGTATCAGCTAACATACTATTCCTTTCCCGGAAGACTGATTTCCGAGGTACAGCAGCATATTGAAAAGTTCATTGCGTATGAGCCTCGGTCTCGCAATGCTCATATCGCCCTCTTAGATGTCGTCTTGACCGGCTTGAAACACGGTGTTCGCACAGAAGAGGATTTGATTTTGACTTGCCGGAACTATTTCGATGCAAACAAGTCTAATCTCTATGCGTTTATGGACTTGCGAGGTGTTATGGAGACACGGGATGATTCCATGGTGGACCGCATAACTGACTATTGCATGGAAAGTGTTGAAGAGACACCAGTAAGTGACATAATCCGAGGTGTTACAATGGCTGCAAACTAATCGAATCGAAGGACAATATCATTCCGTTGATCAACGCATACAAGCTGCGATACCACGCACAGATCTCTGGAAACAGACAATCCTCGAAATCGGAAGTTGAAAGTTTGGTCCAGAAGTGTATTGAACTTTACAATGCATTCACCCCAAAGACCCAGAAAACAAGCACAGACGAACAGGGGGATGCCGCGTCAATGGAGAGCCGCCCCGCAGATGATTTCTGTCTTATTGCTGCCATGGCTCTTGTCTCGTCCAGTGAGGCTGGAGAAACACCCAAGGAAGCTAGCCAAACCACTCTTATCCGTGCCGCGGGTCTTCTGGAACAGCTCTTGATCATTTCTCCCCATAACTCTGGGGCTATCCTGATCTTGATCCGCATTTACCTTCTTCTCGGTGCTGGTTCGATTGCTTTGAAGTTGTTCAGCAGGCTGTCCGTGAAGCAGATGCAGTATGAATCGATTGCTCATGTTCTTTACACTCGCTTCGCCACGATTCACCCACACCAGGGGCCTCCCATCGAAGATGGGGAATACAAGGACTTTGACCCACAAGCTGCATTCATCAAAGCCCTTGATTTCTATCGTGCTGCCGACATCACCGTTGGCCACAATCTGAATAAAGCACTCAATGGTGGGTCTTACGTTGGCCTGGAGGATTCAATCGAGCTTGGAAATCGTCTTCGGTACAGTCAATGTCGCAAAATGTGGGCTCTTGATGTGCGACGCATGCAAAGACTCACGAAGGGAGAACACTTGAGCTTCCATGAAGATGTTGGTACGTGTCTGCTGATTCCCCATTCTCTCCACCCCGTTGATATTAATGACCCTACAGCCCAAAGCACTTCAATCGTCCACGACAATCGGAATTTTGATGCTTTGCCTAGCTTTGAACGTCTTAGCCAGCCCAAATTCGAGGAGCACCTACGCCTAGGCCCGCTCCCTAAGGTAAGCTTTCCTCACGAAAAGAGTTTAAGATCAACACTAAACCGGATGTAGGCGAAGTGGCTCTCATCAGCGCGCACCACCGACCGACTCTTCAGTATTCTTGCAAGCATCGGCCATCAAAGGCCAGTCGATCTGAGCGTGGAACTGCCTGCCATCGGTGACTTGTCACTCTCTGAAGCGGAGACCGATCAGACAGTTCCCGAGAAAGATGCTGCCAAGGCTCACTTCGAACTGCTCAAGGTTGCGCTCTTCATGGCTGGATCCAAGACCCACACCACTGCTCAGGTTGAAAATGCCCTTTCTCAGATGGAAGATTGGCTCAAGTCCAAGCGCCAAATTCTGGCTCTCGACGACATTAAGAAGTCTGCACTTCTCGACAAGACCACCATTGAGTTTATCCCTGGAACTCCAGCTGCACCGACCTGGGAATACTTCCATGCCATCTGGACCCTTGTGGAGACACTCCAGGCTACGTGGAAAGTCATTGACCTAGACTCCCGCAAGAGTATCAAGACCGCCAAGCTTCCCTCCGATTCCGTGAAGCGAATTGAAACTTTGGTTCTTGAAGTTTTTGAGCTTATTCGCTCCAACACCCGGGCTCTGAAACAGGGTCTTACTGAAACGGCAACTCTAAGCACCTTGATTGACCTCGTCAACCGGGGTGATCCTACTAACGAATACTCAAAGCCTCTCCAAGATGCTTTGGAAAGAATGGCAGATGATTCTGCACTCGAGGTGTTCTGTGGAGAGCTGAGGGATAGCTGGGAGGAAGCACTCGATGGAGTGCTGGGTGCCAGAATTTGAGGGTAGGAGTCGAGGGGAATGTACGAAATGACTCATGTGCCTACGAACATCTCAAGCAAGAAACCATGTAAAATCACAACAGCCAGTCAATATTATTCAGTTGAAGCAATCCCCCGTGGACGAAATATCCATTATCACTTTACGGTTAAAGTCAAGTCTTGAGCGCCAAGACATTTTGGGCCGAAAACCTGAGGTGTCAGTTATACACGCTAGTCCCGAATAGTCAAAGCCCTAGCCCTAGCATTTCGCGTACCGCACCAACCAGGAACGGGGCTCATGCGGTTCCAGGCAAAGGACCAGGCAAATTCCACACGGCTCCCTCACCTCCTTCTCGACAACCTCCGCCAACCCCTTCAGACAACAACCGCCGAGATGGTGCAAGAACGCTCCGGACTCATCCTCGGACTCAACAGCGGCCGTGTACGTGTCGTCCTTTCTTTCCCCCATGCTGCCGGGTCTTTTGAATGTCCCACAAGGTCTCCCCGTTCAGTCTATCGGTTCATTCAAGTCTTTTTGGTCACGGTACATCGCGAAATTTGGAAAACAAACTGGCAGAATGGAATGCAATTATTCCGACAAATGGCAGAGGAAAAAAATCAACCAAAGGTCTCGTTTGGAGAAATTCAAGATTGGTGGAACTTTTTTTTTTTCGCGATTCGATATCCGGCACACGACACCATTACTCGATCTTCAACACTACTCGACGACCACACTTGAATGAACCGAAAGACCATTCCGAGACACGAACATGGAGATCTGGGGACTGCCGGCTGTGGCGATTGTGATAAAAAAGCAAACATTTGCTGACTGTTCTTGATATAGCCCACGACTGCCCTGAACACCCCCAAGACCCGCATCAGCCGGTCCAAGGGTAAGAGCTCCCGTCGCACCGCTTTCGTCCGCGAAATCGCCCAGGAGGTCGTCGGTCTCGCCCCCTACGAGCGCCGCATCATTGAGTTGCTGCGCAACGCCCAGGACAAGCGTGCCCGCAAGCTCGCTAAGAAGCGCGTATGTCTACACCCTATCTTCCGCTCGTCTTCCGCTGGCTTTGCTCCGTGAATTACATCGTTTTGGTGGAACAAAGGTTATGCTCTGTGCTCTGGTTTTGAATGGGTTCAACTAGCCGATCCGGCATGTCCGTCATACAAGACCGATCGCAAGTGGACAAACCCATACACATACCATTGTTCATCTGCCATTGAAGCCAGAACCAAGCGATGTGATTTATTGGAATCGGGGACAGCCATGACTATTTTCACAAACACACATTTACTAACTCGTCATTCAGCTCGGTACTTTCGGCCGTGGCAAGGCCAAGGTTGAGAACATGCAGAAGGTCATTGCTGAGTCTCGCCGTGCCCAGGCTGCTGGTCACTAAATGTCTCCAACCGTTCCTGTTTTTCTATCGTTGTAACGACTCGACGCAAAAAAAAGCGTGATACTCGGATCGGAAAGGGGGTTTTGTGACCACTGGGTGTGCATGAAGGGGGAAGGCAAACATGGGATTCCCTTAGTGAAGCCCTAATGAAAACAAATTCTCAACCATTTCATGATATTTTCGTTTTGACTCATCCTTGAGGTGAACGCATGACCCGTATGCGTGGAAGCGGCAAATGTTTCCATATATCAATTCCGACCTACATGGGCTGCGGGCTTTTCGTTGAGCGGCCTGCTCTCCGCTACCCTCGAAGCAATATCAACCCGCCGATAAATTTACCCCGAAGTACGTCGGATGTTTCACCTTGCAATTCACATTGGATATCCTTGTAGCGAGGTCATTAGCTCTACACCGCATAGATCGTAACCACAACCGCCCCGACTGCATGTTCTCATTGGATTTGATTAATTCTCGTTCATGTTCGTATGGAAATGCAATATGTCTAAAGTTCCGGTATAGCCATCGTGCGGTTAGAAAGTACTGTGCTAAAGTATGTATCTTGTCCATTGCCTCGACAGCTTCAGGGCTTGGAAGCAATCGAACCTACCAATCTGCCTACATTCCCCATTTCCAAGGTTGTTTGTCTTGCCTACGAATCAAGCTTAAAGCGTTAGTTGAGGTGCAATATCCATTTCTATCCCAACCTTAGAAGGTATACACTTCCAAGGTTGTCATGACATTAAAAATAACAATTGCTAAATCATGATCATCAAAGAGACATGTCATCCATTTATTTGAACCAAGTTCAATCATGATTGCAAGCTCATTTCTTGCCTAGCTTCAGCCATTTAGGCATGGCACCAGGCTTCCGCGTACTGCTGGGCTTTGCGTTGTCGGAAGCGCCGCTCGGTCCAGGCTGCGGAGCAACCGTCTCCTCTTCTTTGGGCTCCGGTGGCTGTTCCACCTTCAGCTGTTGGGCCTGGCTCCGAAGTTCTGGGCGAAGTGTCTCTGATCGACGTTCATGCACAAAAGAGGCCACATTATCAGCCCAGGAAAAGTTGATCAGCACACGGCCGACCAGCTTGATATCTTTGATCAACAGCTTCTTATCTGATGAGGGGATTGCGCTTGTGTGCTGGAAGCGCGATGCAGTATGAACGGTTAAGTGGAATTCTTGTTTCGCAAATGCAGGAGAAAGGCAGCTCCGCACGAATTCATAGAGCGAGTATCCAGTGTCCAGTGCCCCGAATTTGGCCACCACCTGGCTTTGGTCGGGGAAGCGGAGTTTAACATCGACCTCACGGATTGCTGCTTGTTTTGCCTCATCTGCCTTTGCTTTGGCAGCCATCTCTGCGTGGGTGGGCAAGCGCTGATTACGAGATGATTCGTTGAGCAGTCGCTGGTGCAGTTGTGCGTGTTCGATGGAGGGCAAATAGTCATTCTCGTTATACGCTAGTTGCGCCGATGAAGGTGTGCTCTCCGAGGGAGGTGAGAAGACTGTGATATTTCGACCAGATTCAGATTCAGATGTGGAAGTGGTCGGGGCAAGGGCAGTTGGGGGAGAAGCAACTGGCTCCGATGAGGCCGCAAGAACGCCCAAGGGCTCAGGCGGGGGTTCATCAGATGACTGTTGGGCAGAGCCATCCACTTTGGCCTCGGTGGGAACCACCGGGGGCGCGGTGCTTGCGTCTTGTGTTGGAGGGGTCTCGTCCTCAGACTTGAAGAACTCGCCAATCTGGACCATTGCTTCTTCGATGGGTTGTTCAGTTCGTCGGAAACTGAGTCGAATGAGCACATTTCCACTGTTATATCCTAGCTGGGCTAGTGTCTTCTGTAAGTCTGTGAAGCTTGAGACTTCACGCTCCATTATTTGGAGCACCGGAATTTCATAGTACAGACGCCCAGCACCCGATGAACCGTCTGTAGAGGGCACCGCACGAGAAGTAAGGTTCCGTGCTTGGCCACTGCCTGCCACACCTGCCTCGAACTTGCGCAGTACTAGCCAAAGTGTGGTCGAACTCGGGAATTTGTCAAGTATACGGCCATTCGGGGCCCCACGAACCTCGGACTCGGGAAGCTGCAAGCCGACAGTAACGACAGAAGGGGAACGAGATGCCTGTACTAGTTCCAGCTTTGCACCAGAGCTGAGGCCGGATAGACGGAAGGATAAAGAAAGGTCGAGCTGTTTGCGATTGTGTCTGTAACGTAGAGCAGACCCCGATTAGTGCTGTGTTATTTCTGAAGGGAGTCACCTACTTTAATCCATATTGACTTGAGTTATAACCAAGCTTCGAGCAAGCTTCATGTAAGATATCCGTCAAGTGTTTGGCGGGGGTGGTCTTGATGGTTGCCCGCCTGGCCGTCGCGTCGATCACAACGACATGGGCACTCATTCTCGCTTTTCACCACAAGTTAACAAGACAGAAAAATGAAATATCAAAGCCTGTCAAGATTTCCACATTCAATGTAACAAGAGTCACGATCAAGGAATGCGGGGGGAGAGAAGGAGGGCGAAGAACGTAGTCGGTCGCATTAGAAAGCCAGGCAGCGGTGCGGGCGTCATCTGAGCTCTCTCGCGTACCTCAGAGCTTCCCCGTCATCAACTCACCTCCATCACCTCCCCCAATTCACCACCCCGTCAAGCCCATTTTTGCCTCGTATTGCTTGTCGGTTAGCTCTGAACACTCCATACCATATTGATCTGCTTTGAAGAATCGCAATAATGGTATGAAAAATACACCCTTTCCACCCAATGGGTTCACTTCTGGACCTCCCCAAGGCTGACCGACTTCTCCCATCATAGTCCAACCCCTTCGACATCAGTACGCCGGAAACCTGCCCCTGACGATTGATAAATATAAATACTAACCCCTTTCTTAGATGGCGGTGCTTGTGTCGCCATGGTGGGCAAGGACTGTGTCGCCATTGCCTGCGACCTTCGTCTGGGCATGCAGGCCTTGACCATCTCTAACAACTTTCCCAAGATCTTCAATTATGCACCATCCACCTATCTCGGTCTGACCGGTCTGGCCACCGATGTCAACACCATCTCCGATCTCTTCCGCTACAAGGTCAACATGTACCGACTGCGCGAGGAGCGCGACATTGCACCGCAGACTCTCGCCAACCTAGTCAGCTCATCGCTTTACGAGAAGCGCTTCGGTCCCTACTTTGTCAGCCCCGTGCTGGCTGGTATCAACCCAACAACGGGAAAGCCGTTCATCTGCGGCTTTGACAGCATTGGCTGTATCGATTTCGCCAAGGACTTCATTGTCAGCGGAACGGCAAGCGACCAGCTCTTCGGTACCTGCGAGGGTCTGTGGGAGCCTGATCTGGTACGTACTGACGGGATCACAAGGTGCTGGCTCGGTTCTAATATCTCTCTCACTGCAGGCACCCGAGGATCTCTTCGAGACAATCTCACAAGCGCTGCTCAGTGCCGTCGACCGAGACGCTCTCTCCGGTTGGGGCGCCCAGGTTTATATCATAGAGAAGGATAAGGTCACCCAGCGTCTCTTGAAGGGACGACAGGATTAGATTTGGGGAAGTGGTTGTTTTAGGCTTTCCGTTGGTTTGGCGAATCCCGGCGTCTATGGTCTTCGCTGGATGTTGCGTGCCGTGTACGGTCGATCAATGTCGGGATAGCACAATCTCAATGTGAGAGCGATCGATACCTGAGCCAAGGGGCGCATGTGCCCTTTGACTCCATGTTTCTCTTACTTCTATCACGATAATAAAAGGCCTCGTTCTCACGTCACGCCAGTGTTCCTGAACCATCTTAGCTCGCTAGTCACAGATATGTCTCAATTGCAATTCCCGAATATGCTGTGCCAGGAGACATCACTGCTATGTTGGGGTGCATTTTGAGAATTAACCAGTGTGCAGCTTAACGAGTCTTTCAATATCCATCCTTGTCAGCAACAACTCCAAATGCTGGTCCTGCTTTACCCAGGAACTGCTTGATATCAGCAGCCAGTACCTTAGGCACCTCCCAGGCTGCAAAGTGCCCACCGCTATCGAGCTCATGCTCCTGTACAACATTTCCGATTGAGCGATACCACGCCATGGGAAACATGATGAGCTCTCTCCGGAACTGCGCCACAGCAAAGAGGATGCTGCGAGAAGCTCGAGCGCCAAGGACCTGCTGAAGCGACATGTATCTCAAATCCGCCTTATGCGTCTCTGAGGAACCATCATCGATTCCAGACTCATCCACATCTCCTTTTGGTGCCGAGGCCTCATAGTAAATCCTCGCCGAGGCTGTCGGGCCAGCTGTTGAATGGTAATACACACTTACCCAGGTCAAAATCTCCTCGTCTGTCCAATGATAATCGTCTGACCAAGAGTGCATCTTGTCGTATATCCATGCTAGAAGCCCAACAGGACTATCATGAAGACCATATCCTAGAGTCTGGGGTCGAGTCTCCTGCTGTTTCATGTATGCATTGTCGCGAGTAAAATATCCCACTGTCTGGGCAATGAGACTCCTGTCTTTTGCGGAGAAAGGCACCGATATAAGTGACTTGAAGAACTGGTATGGGCTTCGCCATGGATAGGGCGGTATCACTGGTATAAAGTTCAAGTGAATGGCTTGGACGTGTTGAGGGTAGAATTGCGATATGGTACGCGCGATCATGCTGCCCCAGTCACCTCCTTGAACCACTGCTGGGTGTTAGAATGAAATGTTCATCCTCGGGACAAACGATGCGCACCGTATTCATCGTACCCCAGGGCTATCATCACCTTATGAACAGACTCGGCATACTGTGCCAACCCGAATCCTCTCTAATCTCGGTTAGCATGCTGTGGCATATTGGCGGCATGTTGAAAACTGAGGCATACTTTTTGGACTCCTTGTGAGAATCCGAAATTAGGCAAAGAGGGTGCCACAACGTCGAACACCGGACCGTTTCCATCATTCTCCGTGAGCAGTGGAATGAGCTTGGCTGCTTCCAAAAAGCTGCCAGGCCCTGAAGAAGAAAAAAATCAGTTCTGTAACCTCAGATATAGTTACTATTGGTTCTGGTCGCATACACCCATGGATAAACAATAGTGGAATGGCTTTGCAATTTCCACTTTTGTGATGCACGGCATGTACATCCAAATCCCCGAAGCCATCCACGGCAATGCGAACGTTGATGTGGTTGAGAGTATCGTTCAACCGGGCTTCCTGTTTCCTCCAATCAAAATGATCGTGCCAAACGGTGACTAGTCGTTTGATCTCATCGAGAGGCACGCCCATATCCCACCCCGAGACATCAAGTTCGTCCGGGAACGTGGCATGCTCTAACTTTTGACGAAGTTGCTGAAGCTTCTCGTCTGGGACAGCGATCTTGTATGGGTTGATAGAACTCATATTTTCTAGAGAAAAAACCAGGTTGAACTTCAGGATTAGAACTCAGAAGGATATGGCTGGTTGTTGTGATATAGTTGCAGTTTATACTGCCTTAGGGTGCGCTCGGACCTTAGCATGCAGTGATGATCGGCCATCACGCTTCCATGCCTCGGTTCCACAAAATGTATACTCCGTACCTCTAATATTTATGTTGTACAATAGACTCAAGACGCAGGGAATGTCAAATTAAAGCCAAGACTAGATTCTAGCGTGGAACTTAGAACATACGGGAGCTCAATCGAATACCCAATGTGATGTGTGACTGGAGAGGGCTACGGAGAACGGACATCTCCGTACTCCGTGGATATCTCCCAGAATTCTCAGAATTCTCAGAAACAAATCGGAGCATGAAACTGACTCTCAACCTTGGAAGTCTCATAGTAAAAGACCAAGTGGACCCTCGTTTCGAACCGAGCCATAAAAGACCCAACTCTTGCGTGTCCCGAAACCAGCACCAAGCTTGCAATTCTAAAGTAAAGTGTCGTCCTACTATGTATGCCAGATAGCATTGCCCACATGAATCCACTGTATCTCTACCTAGAATGTCTTGTTTTGGGATTCTGGGATTCTTCTGAATTACTGAAGTATCCAAGTACTCAGTATCTCCCGGGGCTGTTTACTTGTTGACTACTTAAGTATGTATATATTTTGGGCACGCCAAGACTTACGCTTCGAAGAGAGGGAAGAGTAGTTCGTCTAGGAAATAAGAGATAATTGCTGGAAAGGTATATCCTTGTCGCGGGTTGAATCCATCCCTCACTTTTTTAGACCTGAATCGTATGTCATATATTAAAAGCACGGGCATTAAGTATATTTCCCAGGTTATGTTCAGGTATGACGAGGGTGGGTTTAGGGCTACAGATTCTACGGATTATTGATTGTGAGAGGTACCGAGTACCTAGCCAATAGGCTGTGTTATGCTGCCAGCCCAAGTACCGAGTACCTACTCGCTCTTCTTCGGGTCTAGATCTGCCGATCCTGCAGTGCACCCTCTGTGCGCCTCCGCATCGAAGGACGGTTTTAATTTTTTATTTAGTACGATTTTATTAAGAAAAAAAAAAGATACACACAGAGATCAAAGCACCTGGGCACCCTTTTATTAAAATAAACAAAAATCAAAACAAAAGGTCCAATACTACAGAACAACAAGTAAATAGTCCAGTAGAACCGTTCGGTGATCTGTTTCAGTCCCGTGTCTAGACCGCCCGGCCCCCGTCGAACTAAGGGAAAATCCCCTCTCCCCTCCTTCGAGGATTGGCTTTGGCTCTTCTCTGATTCTTGTACATCTCGATTCGTAGCCCGGCTATGGTCGTCTTGGAATAGGATATTTCAAAATCTGTTCTACTTCTTATTTTCTTAAGGTCGTACCTCATACATACAAACCTTGGATCCTCGAAACCTCGACACCTCGACACCTCAACATCTCGACATCTACCCTCAAACCCTCAAACCCTGAAATTCAACACTCTCGTTTACATGGACTATGCCAGACAAGCCCGAGCCGGATGCCTCCAATCTTGTGCAACCTTGTCCTGCCATGCCATTCCCCTCCTGCAAATCCGAGTGCATCACCGACGGACTGAACGTTCGCGATGACGGTGTGAAACTAGACTCGGAAACATGGAATGACGGGGCCCAGACTACTGCCATTGAACACCTGGTAGCACTCAAACATGGGCTACGGGTATCCGATACAGAGCTGTTCTGGAAACGGCTGATGGAAGATGTCACGTCAATAACAAAAGCTCAATATGGATTCGTCGCCCGGAGAGTCCACGGTAGTGACCCCTTACCAGAGTTAGGTGGGCGGCGCCCGACGCTTTTTGGTCCCGTCTTCTACTACAACGATGGCTATGAAAATATTGGTCTGCAGCGAAACAGGTATTTCGCGGGCGGGAATCCCTTGTTGCACATGGACCACGAAAGACCTTGTTTGATCACCGAAAATCTCAGCTCACTAGTATCCTTTGGGGATGACCAGTTGCCATTCGGTGTCGATGGATATCTAGCGATCCCGTTATTTTCCGCTGGGAAGTGCCTGGCGCACCTCGGATTGATGTGGTCGAAAGATGGCCTCCGGCAGCGAAATCTGTCCTGGTCTTTTATAGAGATGATCCTTCACTCTCTCGAGGACCTCATTGTTCAACGTCTGCAACAAGAAGAAATAAACGCAGACGACTTGATTTCTCCCACTACGAACGCCCCCAACCACCACAACCCTCACTTCGTCGCCCCCCACGGATCCTCCGATTTCAATTCACAGCCCCTTAAGCCCTACGCACGAAGCTTGTCACACGAACTCAGAACTCCGATGCAAGGCGTTGTGGGTATGCTCGATGTGATGCATGCTACTGTGCGCGAGGCAATGGAGAGCAAGACACCCATCAAATCGGGTGGGATCTTTCAAGCCCTCAAAGAAGGCATCGAGATGGTCCAAGATAGTGCAAGACGTGCAGTCGAAGCGGCCGATAATGTCGTACACGCATATGATCTTAACATGCAGGTTCCCAAAACACCACTTCGGGAAGAAACCGAGATTTTGGGCCATCCTGCTATTCCCCCTGAGATCCCCGAAGAACATGTGCCCGAGACCCAGGACTCCGAAACCCGCCCCAGCATCTTCATTGAAGGAAACAACATTGCTGTGAACCCCTACAAACGGCGACGAAGCTTGCCATTGGAAACGAACCCCCGGCCAGTACGCAAACAGAGGCTTCGCGCCGCTACATCCCGACAGGAGCTTTCTCCCCGCAGCGAAGAGGTCAAAAACGCTGTGCATGAAAGCGATCAGATCGTACATGCTATCCCCGCCCGCCAAATCGAAGCCGTTATGGCCAACATGGTCGATCCCCGCCCTTCGCTTGCCGTACGGCGATCTGCACCCCACCTACTCCTGGAGGGTATCAACGTAAACCTACGAGGCTCTGCTTTACGCTTTACCAAATTGAGGGATCTTCTTCGTCTGGTAATTAACGAGTCTCTTCACGTTGGTGGTCGACCCGATTCTGCTGTAAGCAACGCAACCGATTGCGGCGAGCGAATTGAAATTCGGTCACGATCTTCCAATGGCGAGTTGCGCACCAAGGTTGTAGACTGGTCTGTGGACCCCGCATTGCCTGACACGCTTCTTGCCGATGACCGTGATCTGGCCAAATTGATCTCTTGTGTCTTTCTCAACGCAATCAAATTCACCAACAACGGCACTATCACCCTTTCAGCGACTTTCGACTCCAAGAAAAACGACGTCTTGATCCTTGTACGCGATACCGGTCCAGGAATTCCCGCTGCGTTTCTGCCCAATCTGTTCAAGCCATTTGCCCGCGAGGATGCTTCAACCACCCGAAGCAAAGACGGTCTTGGTCTTGGCCTTCTTGTCGCCAAGGGGTTATCTCGGAAAATGGGTGGTGATTTGACATGTGTCCGTTCATCCACATCGGGCCCTGAGCGAGGTACAGAATTCAGAATTCGGATCCCGGTCAATCAACGTGAGACCGAACCCCGCCCCGCAACGCCCGGTGAGGTCATTTACGACCAAACACGGAGTAGCAGTGCTAGCAGCAATCTATGCGACCCTGCTTCTAACAACTCTCCCTTCATACTGCCTCAAACCGTTCAGTTGCAGCAGCCAACCCCCAGTGCCAGCGAAGAAAACATGTCTCAAAGTCCAACACCCAAAAGACCATTACCACAAACACGTATACATCGATCCAATATCTCCGGGGAGGCATATGACAAGAAACTCGGGGAGAAATACCCCCTGCGCTTTCTTGTCGCTGAAGACAATAGGATCAACCGACGCGTTCTGGTCAACATGTTGCGGAAACTCGGCTATCGAGATGTGCTTGAAGCAGCTGATGGCAGAGAAGCTGTCCAAATCGTGCAAGGCATTCTGAATGCCTCAAAGAGGTCTGCTATGGATGTAGATTCCGACTCTGACCCTTCGAGTGCCATGCAAGGCGTCATCAACGAGTCACCCCCACCACCGAAAATGAAATCGATCGATGTAGTCCTGATGGACCTTTGGATGCCTGAAATGGATGGCTATGAAGCCACCTCGCGAATCCTGCAAATGGTCGACGACCATCGTGACGAATACGCCGCCTTCGATCAACAAACCCGCAATAGCCCCGACTCCATGGAAATGGATCCAGCCCCAACCCCTTCATGCGCACCACCACCAACTGTCCTTGCCGTCAGCGCAGATGTCACCGACGAGGCGCTGAACCGTGCTTCAAGGGTAGGGATCAAAGGCTACATGACCAAACCATACAAACTCTCCGATCTCGAACGATTGATTCTCGAATTTTGTGGCGGTGCTGGCCCAAATGTCTCTTGAATTGGCATCCCTGCATACCCATCGTTACAAGCTGGCGTTCTCTTTTTGGATCACACACCAAGACCATTATATACCCGTTGGTGTGGATCATTTGCTCGTACAAATTTCCCTTGGTCGCTCTGCAAATTGGCCCAAGGGCCCCTGAGATGGAATATGCAGTTGCTTAGTGGATGTCACCGCTATCGCTTTGCTGCATCCAATCTTGATTTTCCATTCACTCCCCCTTGCCACTTATTATGATTGGCATTTTACCCCTACTATGTTTATTATCCTCTGGATATAATGATTGATGACAGATCACTACATATAGTGATCTCCCCCAGGGCTTGCTACATAGAGCCATGTGAACAAGGGATGAATATGTAGTTAATATACTGCATTTAATATCCATTTTGGTACTCAAGTCAACAATTGGTCAACAAGTATCTAGGATAGTCTATGTACCCGAGCCATTCTAGTTGCAGGTGGTGAAATCCACCAATCCTGCATCGGACACGGTGTCTTTGGGAAGACAAAGATCGACATCTTCTCCTTGAAGTTGCGTGAATACCCGCGAATACTCAGTCTACATGTCAACGGTGAGCTTCGATTCCTCAAATCATGGTCGACACAAACAGTGAAACACGTACCTCGATAACTTCTATGAACTCAGCATAGACGCCATCTGCCTTCATCTTTTGACGAACGAGACCAGTGACACCACCCAACATTGCAACCACAGTGGTGACCTTGCTGTCCCAAGTGACAAGCGCAGAAACGCCAGTCCCATCAACGCGCGTGGACTCGGTACTGCCGTAGATGTCTGGAATGCATGTTAGCTTATTAACGAGATCGTGGATAGAACCATCACTGACTCTGCATCTTTTTGGCAATAGCCATATTCCTCCACCAGGCCAGTCCAATAGATTTGTCGAAGAGAATAGTCGGGAAAACACTGTACGGTGTGATCACGTCTAGTTCTTGGACAGTCTGGTTCGAGACAGAGGGGACACCAGCATTGGATATGTAGCCTGTTACATCACCGCTGGAGGGATCGGTGATGTTGTTGATGGAAGCGAACATGCCAGGCTTCTTGGTTGCAACTGAATTACAAGTTCGGACCCGTTCGGCATTCTTGAACAAACGTCTATGGATGTGTGAGTATATGAGTTCACAACCTGGAGAACTTGTAAGAAAATATTACCTGACAATGTCAATGTCATAGTAGGGCATTTGCAAAGCTTTCCAGGTCTCGTGGCTGGAGAACCAGTATCCTGTACTAGGTGAGATGTTGTTTAAGTGCGATGACTTGCACATTAACATACCTTTCTGCACTGTGATGGGTCCGAAGTTGCCCATTTGATAATCCACGCTCACTAGTTGGGGTCTTTTTACCTCCCAAAGAGCTTTCTTATCTGTATCCGACAAGCCGCCAAAGAATTGAAGCCAGAATGTGAAGATTTCGCCTTCAAATGGGTCGTCCAGTAGAACATCCTTCTCGCATTGATACGATTGGGCTCGATGGTTGACCGGCAGAGACTGGTTTTCCATAGCCACAACAGCACAGACTTTCCCACTGCCGAAATAGAAAATCTGCTCACCAGAAATATTGTTAGTTGAACTCGCTCGATAAAGGTAAACAAGGTGACAGCCGTACCTTAGCAGCCGTAGTCTTGGTATAGTCCAACCATGTTTGCCATTTTTGAGCAAGCTCAAGATATGACTTGTTGCCTGTGTTCTCAAGAGCTTGGATAAATCCATACACAGCCCAGAGAAGCTCACTACAGAACAGGAGTTAGCTCAGCATCGCAAATCATAAGGGATGTACCCACCCATTATCAAGACCAGGTACACGATTATCCCAGTCCGGTGTCGGGATCAGATCTTCACCATCAGCCAAGATCCAAGGCAAGAATCCACCGAATCCAGGGAAAGTTTGATTGAACCTGAGATAAGTCTGCAGCTTCTTCTGCATGATAGAAGCAACCAAGCCTGGGGCTGCTGCTGGGTTCTCGGGGGAAAGGAATCGAGCAGCTTCTGGAGATCCGGCAATAGCGTGTGTATAGAGCATGATTTGAAGTGACTAATTGCATCAATCAGTTGACCCGCTAGTCGACGCAGGAGATCAACCATAGAACATACCTCCTTGCTAGCAGCGCTGGTTGAGTGCTTGATGGTGGCTTCGCCGGTCACCCAGTCAATGTTTGTCCCGTCGTAGGTGATACCATTGTTGCTGTTATATGAGATGTTGTTCTGGTGGAACTTGCCTTCCCAGAACAGTAGGTCGTTGATAAAAGCAGTAGGGTCACGAATAATTTCCTTCTGGGAATATTGATGCGCGAAGCGGCACGAAGGCTTTTGGACTTGCTCAGGCGAGGGTAGAGCCTTGACAAAAGTCAGCAGCGCTAGGATGCCACCAAAACTTTTGTTGAGATGCATATTGGGGACCGAAAGTAGACGTAAAAGATACGACGAAAGGCTTCACAGTTCTTGATGGAATTCAGGGCCACGGGTGGTTCATAAATACTGTACTTCCAGGCCACCATTTGACATCCACGGCTTCTAAAGTTGGCCACAACAGAATATATGGGGTCCCCACAGTCCAAAAACCTTCTTTGAGGGCATTTAGGCCAATGGAAACGAGCTGGCCATGGGATATCTGATACCCAGAAACTAATGATATCCACGAAGACTCGGGTGGGTCGACATGGGGCTTTAGAGAGCTTTACCCGGGATGGGCTGAGTCGGAGAATCGGGGAATTGTGGTTGCATGGAGGTAGCCCTTTCCAGCCTTTTCCCAATATGTTTAGCCGTTTGAAATTCACGATCATTGTTATATTCTGGCATATGATGCTGCAGACGCTGCCGGGAGATGATGATGATCAGGCATATGTGAAACCAGATAGTAAAGGGACGGAAAGAGAGAGGAAAAGGAAAGGAAATAAAGAAAGACATCGTCGCGAAAGGAATTGGCAGCAATGATAAAGTCACCCATTGCTTGGTGCTCAAGTGAGAGGTTGTGAGGTAACAGGCCTTTGTATCCTTACAGGGCAACTAGGCCAACACTTCACCTCCCACATGAGATCCAAGGTTGTGACGACCTATACAAGATGAATGTTTCGTTTGGAATTTGCAGTGCATCGAGTTAAAAGCAAAAGACATGTACCACTCGTATGTCACACATACTACTCATTGTAGACTACGTCCCGAAATTGAAATTGCACATTCAAATGTTGCAAGGTCTGTATTTTTACCCCAAGGGTCCTGGAAGAAGCGAATATATACGTGAATCTGCTGAGAGTCTATGTATCTGTAAAAACTTGCAGCTTCTTAAGTTGCAAAATATCGTAATAAGTATGATAAGTACATTAGTACTTCACAGAAGTCGTCGCAAAGTATCTGATGCTTTTGAATCGAGGCGTGTCAATATGTCAAGGAGGACCGAAAGATCGTTGCGCGCTCGAGTTGATAGAGGTGAAGTCTCATGTTGATCAATGATTTCAAGGAGACAAGCGCCAATAAGTCGGATCTTCTCAACCTGTAAAATTGTCAAAGAGCTGCTTGGTGACACTAGGTATAATTGGGTAAGGTGACTCACGCATGGCTCGCCATTAACCTGCAAAGCCCAAAATGGTGCCTCGCGGATTACTCGCAGGAGGTCGCGTGCAATGTCCGTTTTTTTGAGAAGTAACATTTCGTTTTTTACCTGCGTGGGGTAGTAGCCAATGTCTTCAAACTTCTGTGTGATGACCATCTTGAGACAGTGTAACGAGACAAAAACGTTCGTTGCTTGTATGACTCGCAGTCTAGTTAGCCTAGACAGCTGTTGATTATCTGTATCGGACTCTGCCAACAGCTGGTCATATTGCAAAAATCGAGGGAGGTCATCTAAAGATGTTGCAAAAAGCACGTAGAGATGATCAAGTCGATGGATCTCTTCAGGCGTGAGTGGCTGACGAGGAAGAAGGTTCCCACTTTTTTGACTGGCGACCAGTAGTCGCATCTCCAGGATCAAATCCGAAGCACTTTGCCAAAGTCTTATGTTGGCGTTGAATCCCGCAATAAAGCTTCTGCGAGTGTCCTCCTCGTCTGAAACCACACTGCCTGGCGTTAACAACGCGCCGTCTTCTATGCCTGTGGGATAGCCGATTGTGATGCCAGAGTCGAACGAATATTTGTGGATAGTGATGGGGCGATTGTTCAATATGGCCGCAGACTTATCGCCAATATATGCAATCCAGAATGCACGTCGGCGAAACTCTGCTTCGAGAACGGTGAGACCTTGTAAAGATTCCTCTTCGTGCATCTGCATGACTTGCGCCAATCGGGTCGCTTCCCCAAATATATGCCATGATAGTCTCGGCTTGCCGGCTGCGTGCATGCAATTTGAATGAAAATACCGGATGGCAACTGAATTAGCATTTGGATATTCGAGATCGGCTTCCAGATAAGTGGTTAAGCAGTTTCTGGAGGCTCGCAGAAAAAGATCCGCCAAACCCTCGCCCTCTGGAAAGATATCCTTTGGAAGAAGAAAAGCCGCTTCTGCACAAACTGCTGTGATTAAGGTGAAAGTGAATTCCGGCCAGATGTCTGGATATTTGAGGGTGTCAAAGCCATACGTTAGACCGTCAGAGCGTGAAATTCTCCCTTGGTTCACAAAGAAACCCAGCCCATCTCGTAGGCTGGGCTCATGAACAAGAGGAGTCAATGGATACAAAAACTCGAAAAATAATTCAAAGCATCGATTAACAGTCAACTCCAGACTTGCAGAGGAATCCTGTCGTACAAGATCTCGTTCCAGGTCATGCCACCTTTGCAAAGCCGAGGTTCCCCCGCTGGAAGCCGGATTGGAGGTAGCCGAGCGAACTGTATGTACAGTTGCAGGAGACAAGGCCGGATCAAGGACCGACAGAGTTGAATCCCACGCATCTAGCGAGATGACATCTGAAACCGAGGTGAATGGGTGCTGTGATGTGGGACCATGTTCCGAGACCTGCAAGGATGAATCCGGGGGGCTTTGAAGAACATTTGGATAGACCGCAGCAAGCGATTTCTGCCGCTTAGTCTTGGGCCCGCGCCTCGCGATTGGGAGATCAAAGGTGCAAACTAAGCGAGCGAGTTGGCAGCTGCTACAGAGTGAGGATTGACTTGAGCAGTCACACTGTGGTACCGATTAGTTGGACCCGAGGAATCCACAATTCGATGGACTCATACCTTTGCTTTTCTCCGACGGCATCGGTCGCATGCCCTTGAGCGTACACCAGATGGGCTGGAAGTGGTCATCAGGGAACCACGGAGAAATGGGAATGCATCGAAAATAGCGGATGGATGAAGGATGGGCCTCGGTCAAATAACCCCAATTTCCCCGGCCCCGCTCTTTGCAATTACCCGCAAAGAGTATGCAGATGCGAGGGGTAAAAGAGCGGAGACTATACCCGGTGTCAGATAGTTTGAGTGGCTGAAGGGCACCAGACTACCAAGACAGCACTTGAGCAACATGTTGCAAAAATGGCCTGGAATTTCAGGCAACAACATTGTCCGGATCATCCTTACACTCACTTGACATCACTCGATTGCCATATACTCAATATAAAGCACCTTGACAGGTTGCAGCCACACAACCGATATCTGTATGAACCAATATGCCCACCATTTCGGGGTCTTGTTTTTGTCACAACATTGAATACGAGTTGGAGCTGAACTCGGTCGATGATGCAAGAGCCTCGATCTGTCATTGTGCCAATTGCAAGGTATCGTGAATTAGCCCTGAAGTGTGGATGAAAAGGCTCCAACTGAGTCATATTTGAACAGAAAGCCTTTGGAACCAACTATGGTTTGACGGCCAAGGTACCAAAGGATGCCTTTCATTTGAAGAAGGGAAAGCCCAAGGAACACGCTGCGGACAACGAATCCGATGTCACCATACACAGGGAATTTTGCGACAACTGTGGCAGCTTCATCCTGGAATACGGAGTATATTTCCAGATTGAGCTGCCGGATTTCCAACTGACAAGAGTTTCAGGACGCTGCCAAAAACGATTATCGATACATTTGCACTGGCTCGTTAGATGATCCTGAAGCGTTGCCACCAAAGGGAGAATTTTTCTGCAAGGCACGCGCCAGTTGGATGCCGGAAGTTCCAAGTACGCTATAGTGGCAAAACGGCAAATGATGTATCTGACTCTTCTAGGCATTTTCCACAAACAGGAACTCAAGCAGTAACTTTAGATGGTATGCGGGAATCGATCAGGACACAACTTGGCTATACATCGAATTCTTTTCAATCAATCCTTACTCGCAATCGTGTCCAGACGCCTTCGTAGCTCACCCGAAAATGTCTCTGAACCAACCCTGGAAATTAGGGACATCACCAAGATTGTAGAATTTTAAGAATGGCACCTTTGTGCACAGGAAATCTCTCGATCCAACATCACGTAAAGTTAGCGTTCAACGCAATACTGACGTAGAATTATGCCTGCGCCGTCTTTGTTTACCATTTTGAGCTTTCAAACTACACAGCTTCAACATTACAGCCGAATGATATCATTGCCGTGGGTTGAAATCTAACCCGACCTTTTGTTTTTTTTTAAAAAAAACAGCTTCACCCATATGGTGCCATTAGCATACAACAATGGCCTTTGAACAAAAGTATTTCAAACTCAACACTGGAGCACACATCCCAGCGATTGGACTGGGTACCTGGCAAGATGAAGCCGAACAAGAGCAAGCAGTCCTCACTGCGCTTCATGCCGGGTATCGTCACATTGACACGGCCCGATGGTAAGGACCACCCTCCGTTGCAAGCTTGAAACTAGCACAAAGAAGCTCATTTATTTCAGTTATGGCACCGAAAAAGCCGTGGGAAATGCCATAAAGAGAAGTGGTATTCCCCGTCACCAGATATTCGTCACGAGTAAGCTTTGCAATAACAGGCATCACCCCGATGATGTTGGCCTCGCACTACAACAATCACTCGAGAATCTCGGATTGGAATATCTTGATTTGTTCTTAATGCACTGGCCAGTCGCATTCAAACCGGGCGATGATACATTTCCTACTGACCAAGATGGCAATGTTATAGTCGCCAATATTGACTATATTTATGTATGAGCCAAGTCTTTGAGTTCAATATATACCATACTGATAATAAAACAGACATACAAAGCCATGGAGAGCCTTATCCGTTCTGGAAAGAGCAAAGCAATTGGCGTTTCCAACTTCTCACGCAAGGAGATTGAGCGTCTTCTTGCGAATTCTAGCATTGTTCCAGCAGTCAACCAGATAGAGCTTCATCCATGGCTCCAACAAACGGAGTTCACCAAGTTCCTTGAAGACCAGGGAATCCATGTGACACAGTATTCACCCCTGGGCAACCAGAATGAAATTTACGGGGGTCGAGATGAGGCGGATAAGGTGAAGGAGGATGAAGTTCTGAGGAGGATTGGTCAGAAACACGGTAGAACTGGAGCCCAGATCGCGCTTGGTAAGAATGATCCTATTGAACATGGATGAACATGTTGTGCCCTGATACTGAGTTACGCTCACAGGTTGGGGGATCTCACGGGGCCATTCGGTCATTCCAAAATCGAAAACGCAGACCCGAATTCACGAAAACTTGCGTGCGGTTGTCGAGCTTAGCCCCGAGGACATCAGTGATATTGAAGCGATTGATAAAAACATTCGCTACAACGATCCTAGCAAAAAGTTTGGATATGAGTTCTTCGCAGATTTGCCAGGAAAACGAGCCGAGCCGAGCAAAGTCGGAACAGATCATCCTAGAGTTTAAAGTAATCAAGAGAACCTTGGAATCAAAAAAAGAACCAATTCTTAAGCTGAAAAGCAAATTTGAAGGTTCTAAAGTTGTTTCAAATCTTACATCATAGAGCTAAGGAGGAACAAGAAGATGAAGTGGAAAATGGGCTCGGCTGTGGCATCTATTTCATATACGTGGCTTAGGCTCATTCAAGCCCACCGGACCTGCGTCATGTTCTCGTGCGGTGCTCATGCGTTCATCAAACATCGTTTTCAAAAGCAGAGCAGATCGCTTCGGAGTTCGTTCTAGAGTGTCGTAATCAGTGAAGGTAACGCCAAAGCGAACTCCATATCCATCGGACCATTCTGTTATAATCAGCACTGGTGAAATTTTCAAGGTAGATATGAACAGGCATACCTAAATTGTCCATCAAAGACCACGCAAAATATCCTCTGATATCGGAGCCATCTTCGCAAGATCTTCCAATTGCATCGAGATGGTCTGCAAAGTATTGGACTCGGTAGTCATCGTTGACGGCCTCTTCACATGTCATCTTGTCTTCGCCAGGACAAGGGCACCCATTTTCTGTGACATAAATCGGCTTGCCATATTTTCGATACACCCTAGTTAAGTGCTTGCGGAACAGGTCTGGGGTTGATCGAAGCCAAGATACACCACTCTTCTCTCCGATTGACATACCATCCTTGTTTTCTTGCAACTCATTCACGTTTCCCAGGAAGTCGGTGTCTAGAGGAATGGTTCCTCGATTTTGGGCATACTGGGATGTATAGTAGTTCATCCCATAGAAGTCCATATCAGCATTCCTGAGTAGGGCGAAATCTGACTCCGTGAAATGGGGGAGCCGTTCTCCCAATTGAGCCCTCATACACTCTGGGTAATCTTGCGCGAGACTAAAGGGCCTGGTCAGCATAGATTCCTCACAGAATCGATCCTCAGCAGAGTGTTGATGAAATCTTACCACACGGGGTTGGCAAACCATCCAATATGAAACTCCATTCGGCGCTCGGCAGCCTCATGATCTCGCCGATCTTGACTATCCCAAGGCTCATAATAATCGCCATTCAGGGAAATACCGATCTTGCCCTTTTGAGAGTGACGAAAATCACGATTATACAGTGAAGTCGCCCGGGCATGGCTCATGATCAAGGCTTTGCCAACAACCCAAGGCTCTGTGGAAGTATCACCCTGGACGGCCATTGGATTTATGCTGCTGCGTCCAGGTGCGTTCCACCCGTTGCCATATCCCTTAAAAATCGTTCAGTAAACTTGGAAAATGAATGGGAAATCGAAACCCTAAAAAAGATCGACAAAAGAAAAGATTGAAACCACATACAAAGATTGAAACAATCCATGGCTCATTGATCGTGATCCAGTTCTTGACTCGGTCTCCGAATCGCTCATAGCAGACCTTCGCGTATCTCTCAAAGTCAAGTTGCGACTCCTCTACATTCAGCCAGCCACCGTATCGATCGTGAATGCCTTGAGGAAGATCCCAATGATACAGGGTAACCCATGGGGTGATTCCCCTTGAAAGGAGAGCGTCGATGAGCTTGTCATAGAATGCAATGCCTGCTTCGTTCACAGGATCATCCCTTCCCCCCAGAGGGATAATGCGAGACCAGGAGATTGAGAATCTATAAGATGCTGCACCGTATCTGGAAAGGAGATCAAGATCTTCTTCATATCGGTGATAGTGGTCACAAGCGACATCCCCGTCTGCCCCCTTGGTTCTCGTGGGCTGAAGATGACAGAAAGTATCCCAGATCGACTTACCACGCCCATCTTCATCCACGGCCCCCTCGATCTGGTATGCTGCTGTTGCAAAGCCCCATTCGAAATCCGAAGGCAGTGAGACTGGCGACATGATAACTTTTGGTTGACAGACTTCAATGCGCTATCTCAATAACTTTTTGAACCAAAGATATCCAGACTCAAGGAATACGCCTTATAACTTTCGGGAAATTGTGGTTTTCAATTCGACATTTGAAATTAAATACCGTCGGCGATTTACCTCTCAGTCGGGGAAATATCCATTTCGCCGGTGACAATTCCCCGAATTCCCAGGCATCGTGCGTTTCTTGAAACTTTTACTTTCCCTACGGGGCAATTCTCCGCAAATTGAGAGCTTGACCATTTTATCTCCACGTGTGTATGTATGGATCAAACTTTCTGGGCCGTCGGCATGCAGTCCTATACCCTGCTCTCACTTCTATAAGAGGTACAGGAAAACCATTGAGATGGGATTCGGTTCTACACCTGTCGACTCTAAGTTTTGATTGACTTTCCTCTCACCTGGGGTGCAATCGTTTCAATCATGGCTCCTGCTGCTGCCCACGCTGCCGAGGGCATTGTGTCGTCTATTGATGTGAAATCTATGCCCCCGTTCTGGCGACGAAAGAACGGCATTCTGCTATACTTTCTTTTGACTTCGTCGCTTTTGGCAAGTGCTGCACTCGGAATTGATGGAGTATGTTACCCTATCTGACTTGACACCCTCGTCTTGCTGACCACTTGTGCAGTCCATGACCAACGGTATGCAGGCCTTGGAATCTTGGCAAGATCGATTTGGACACCCCGAAGGCGCTACATTGGGATTTTTTGGCGCTTCCAATGCAATCGGAGGCATGATTCCGTTTATCTTCCTCAGTTGGATCGGCGATAGATTTGGCCGTCGGTTGCCCACTGCCTTAGGCTCGATCATTATCATCACCGGTGTCATCATCGAGTTCTTCGCTACTTCCCTGAACATGTACATTGGTGGGAAGATCATTTTGGGGGCAGGATCTTCACTCATTCAAATGGGTGCTCCAGTCTTGATCACAGAGCTGTCGCATCCGAAAGAGCGTGTGAAGGTTACTACCTTCTACAATACTTCCATCGCCCTGGGATATGTCATCGGCGCTTGGGCAACATTTGGCTGCTACAGAATCACCAGTCAATGGTCCTGGCGATTGCCTACATTGGTTCAAATCATTCCCTCGGCCTACCAATTCTGTCTGATCTGGTTCTGTCCCGAGTCCCCCCGTTGGCTGATTGCCAAAGGGCGTCACCAGGAAGCCCGGCTGATTCTGATCAAATACCACGGCGAATGCGATCCCAACTCCGAGTTGGTACGAGTGGAGTGCGCTGAGATCCAAGAGGCCATTGACAAGGAAGCCGAGAATAACCTGACATGGAAAGACTTCGTGTCTTCTCGGGCCAATCTCAAGCGTCTCTTTCTCTGCTTTGCCACGGCCGTCTTCAGTCAGAGCTCTGGCAACCTCTTGGTTTCGAATTATTTGACCCAGATCCTGAAGGACACTGGACTGAAGACGCAATATGAGATCACACTTGTGAACGGAATGGTCACCCTTTGGCAGTATATTGTTGCAATTGCCGTTGCGGTGGTAATTGACAAGTTCCGTCGACGTTTCTTTTTCCTCACTGGATCCGGTGGGGTTGTTGTTGTGTTCGTCGTGTGGACCATCGCAGCCCAACAATACCTTGAGCACAACTCACTAGCCGCTGGCCGGGTTGTTATTGCGTGCATATTTGTATTCCAAGCATTTTACACCTTTGCTTGGACAAACCTGATCGTGACCTACACCCTGGAGATCGTGACACTTCAGATGCGTGCCAAAGCATGGGCATTTGTTCTCCTGACCATCCAGGTGGCGTCTGTCTTCGGAAGCTATGTCAATCCTATAGGGTTGAAGGCTCTGGGGTGGAAGTTTTACATATATTACTGTGTTTGGGTGCTCATCGTCTACCTTACTGTCTACTTCTTCTTTGTGGAGACTGCCGGCCCTACTCTCGAAGAATTGACGTATCTCTTCGAAGGAGAGGACACAAAACGAAAGTTAGGCGACAAGGTCGCCGAGAAGAAAGAACAAATTCAGTACGAAGAACATGTGGAGAATAAGTTACCATGAATCACAACACCCCCACTAATTGAAGCTGGGGCTGTGATTCCACCCGGCCAGCTGTAATTGCGAATCTTATGTACCAATAACATCCCAAATGAAATGAGACTACCATCAGTAAAATCCAATCAGATCGAAAGGTGGATATTGAGTGTGTCAATTACCCTACAGAGGAGAATCAAAGTGGAAGAAAAAGCTATCATTACATCCATTATCAAGATCAACATCTGACTTCGCTCCAAACGCTCCGCAGTTTTGTTTTCGCGAGAGCACTTCTTGAAAATGCCAAGGAGACCTAGTCCCGGAGTATCCAGCTTCCGTTGGCATGGTCTCTGTGTGCCAAGAGAAAGATTTGGCTCCTCAAAGCCCATGAACAACGTTCACGTAGACTGGTGTACACAAGCGGGATCATGCAAAACATTGAAAAAGAGCCTAACGAGCCGTGAATATAAAAAGAGACGCATCTAAGTCAGCTTCTGTTTAATGAAGAATGACCGCAGATGCGAGAGCTGCCAAGCGCAGGCGGCAGACAAGATGGCGATTTGGATCAGAGTCCAGCGCACAACACGGGAGTTGGTCGTTTCGGATTGGTCACGGAATTCGGATTCGCGTTCCTGAGATTACCATGTTAGTGAACTCGTTATGAATGGCCTGTGTTTCCCCGGGTAAATTGCCAGGGAGGGCAGTTCTTACGCGCTGGTAAACCTGCTCACGGCGGATATCGTGGAGCCTGCTGTTCAAGTCCTTGACACGCTGAACGATATCCTTCATCTTGTCCTTATCCTCGGTTTCGATCTTGCTGGTCTCGCCAATGGCAATGTCGACAGTGAGCTTCACAGCTCCCTGGGAGTTGCTCAACCAGCCAGAGGTGGCATCTGTCTCGGGGGTGAAGCAGATTCGGTGGGAACCAGCGTCGGCAGCAGAGAAATGGAAGCGACCGGAGTGGCTGTCACGCTTGGAAACCACACGGTGGTCGTTGTCAAAGGTCTCCTCGACGGTGATGAGCACCTTCATGTTGTGGTCGATCGCGTAGGCCCCTGTTTGGGCATTGATAACCTCGCTCTCGAAGCGACCTGTTGTAAAAGAGGAAACCATGAGTCTTGTGCTCTATGAATCGAACGGATAGCTCATCTTACCGGCCACCAACGTATCCTTGGGCAGGTCCTCGAAGAAGCACTTCGTTTGCCGACCCTCCATGTAGAAGTAGAGGGCATTAGTGGGCAGGAGAAGTGAGAAGAAGGAGAGTAGAGTCAAAGCTGATGCCAGCCATGACGACGAAGTCCCAGAGAAAGCCATCATTGTGAATTGAACAATCGGGGAGTCGATCAGGTCCAACGTACTCCGCGAAGGTGTCAACATCAACGAACCGCAACTCACCGCCTTCCTTCCGCGGAATGCTCCCTTTCCAACGCGAAACCTCTGTCGACGGTGATCTCCAATTTCAACTTCGCCATTTTTATTCCATCGAAGAAAAGACAGCTTCTATCTCTTTATTCTGCTGTCCATATTTCCCCACTACTCACGAAGAAGACTATCACTCGTTGCGCCCCATTCGATTTACCTACAAATCGTCATCATGGCCTCGGCCGGCGATGTTCGCGACATGCTGGATCTGCCCGCTGAAGGACAGCCCAGGCCACACAAGAAGCAGAAGGTGGTTGAAAAGCGACCGGGTAGGTGACGTGCGTCTCCAGGTTTGGCGCAGCCAGCTGACATTCAGTCAAGAGGGAATCACCCGTGAATTATACGCGCTGCTTGGAGAACGAGCGCCTCCAATCGCGATCAACGAGAACAAATACAAGGGCCGCCCGAAATGGATGAACAAGCTGCGTGTTCGGCCATGGTATGTTCCGGTCTGGATATCTGGAGCACTTGGATGGATATTGACTTTTGGTTGCTGTTTAGGAGCATGGCGCCTTTTACAAACAGCGCTCGGTCTGACGGCCTCGTGCTGAACCACTGGCAGAGAAAACATGAATCCGCCCGTCCGCCCGTCGCTGCCGCACCAGACGAATCTCGTATGGACGTGGATCAACCAAAGGAAGAGGGGAAGGATGAAACACCCAAACCTACAGAGCATGATTATGCCTTCGCCAAGTACAACGTCAAACCGCGACTACCCCGCCGATATACAGACGAAGAATATGATCGAAATTTGAAGAATGATGGCTGGTCTCGTGAAGAAACGGACTATCTGGTGGATCTTGTCAGCGAATACGACATCCGCTGGGTGATTATTGCAGATCGGTACGACTATCAACCAAAAATTGACACCGAGTCTGAAGAAAACGCCCTTGTGCCAGCCAAGCAGCATCGGACAATGGAGCAAATGAAGGCGCGTTATTATTACGTCGCGGCAACCATGCTTTCAATAGAGCACCCGCCTTCGGAGATGTCCGAGGCAGAGTTCGAATTGCACGAAAAGATGCTCAAGTTTGATGCGAATCGCGAACGCGATCGCAAAGACTTGGCCGCTCTACAGATCAATCGCACCGCGGACGAGGTTCGTGAGGAAGCAATGTTGCTGGAGGAGTTGAAGCGCATTACAAGCAATGAGCAGAACTTTATCACCGAGCGTCGCGAACTCTACTCTCGCCTCGAGGTACCAATTAGCGTTGGCAATACCACCATGTACCAGTCCAGCGCAGGTCTATCCCAGCTCTTGCAAACCCTCCTCCAGGCCGACAAGAGCAAAAAGCGCCGCTCCATCCTCGGCGATGGAGCCGTCCCCAGCCCCGCGGGCCAGACTCCCAACGCAGCAGGTAGTACGGGCCGCGCAGAAACACCCGTCACACAAGCAGCAAACAACAAGAAGGGATCCACCGCCTCAAAAGAAACCCACCAGGCCGTTCGCACTCTCACACCAGCAGAAGAGGCTCGTTACGGTGTCACACACCATGAACGAGTCTCAGCAGGCGTGCAATTCCGCAGCGACCGCGCCCAGCGCCTCACACAGGCCAAGTCCAATGTCCAAACACAGAAGCTGGCCAACGCCCTCGCCGAACTCGAGATCCCTGTGCGCCTTTTCATGCCCACGGAGCGCGTATGCAAAGACTTCGAAAAACTCATCCAGTCCGTCAACATGCTTCTCGATGCACGGAAAGTATCAGAGAAGGTGGAAAGCGAGATTCGCGTCCTCGAGGCTGCCAAGTTTGAGCGTGAGCGTAAAGCAAGAGAGGCTGCTGGGCTCCCGGATTTGCCTCGTCCAGAGGTAAAGACCGAGGCTGAAGATGGCAATACAGGCATTTCGGCTTCTCATCCAGGTGATCCCCCTGCAGCTCCCGGCAGTTCCGTGCAGCCCGGGCAGGACCAACAGAATGTTGCACGAGAAGCCAGCAATGGAGGTGATGGTAACCACAAGCGGTCTGCTAGTGTACTCAGTGCTACGAGCGAGAGTAACAAGCGACAGCGGAGATAAATTAGCGCCGAGAAAACCTAGTCTCAATCTGCGCGCGCACAAAGTGTAAGATGTATTAGGGATTTTTTACCCATATTTTATGTACGATTAATGACACCCGGTAGGAAGATATACTCTTAATTGAAACAGCTTGATCATCACGGGTAACAATAACAATAACTGCAATACAGCTCTCAGGCCATTGACGACAAGTCTCCCCTCACGCATTACCTTTTTCCACTGGGCATTCCGAAGACATCCCTTCTAATCCTGTGCATCATCCTCACTCTGCTTCAACAATCAGACTTGTTCGACTCGCCCAACCGCTCCCATAGAACGCTCCGGGCATTTGAATACATTGCTGATACTCATTCGCCAAATCGGCCGCGATGTCACCCATAATGGATTCAGGACGCCCAAGGCCGCTCGACGGACACTCATACTCTGCAGAGGATTCCGGAGAAGGCTGTTTTACAGGCTTAGATGAGCGCCTCCTGCTATCACGGTGCCGAGAAAATCTCAAAACCCACCGCCCGCTCCGAGATCGCGAAGGCTGTCCATTCACTTTATCTGCACTCCTCTCATTCGCTGGGTCAAAGTAGACAGACGGACAGCGGGTTGTCTGATCCATTGAGCAGCGTCGATTCACAGTCGGGGAAACATCGGGAGTACACAATTCGCGTTCGGGACTAGAATCATCTTTCTTGTGCAATTGAGATAGTCTTCTCCTCAGCGAGAAGCTATTCCTCGACCATCTGCTCACAAAATTACCATCGTCCTCAACATATTCGACACTCTCAGGGGTTGGAGAATACTGAGGCTGCACGAGAATGGCGCGGGCGCCGTGTGGACCTCTGGGGGGCATGTCTTTGCTTGCAAGGTCAACTGCCAGTGGTGCGTGGCTGCGATCCCGAACCGAGTTTCTTTTCAGCTTCGTCCAGTTGCTCGGTGTTCGAACAGGGTCATTCTTCGGGTCCGTTGGTATTTTGAGGGACGAGGGGCAATTGCTGTTCGCCCTGACATTGTCATACGGAATAGGCGTTTGCACTGGTGGCTGCGACACGGCTCTCCGTCCGCCATTCCCACTTACATCTTCATGCTTCACGATGCCAGTAGTTGGTACGTCATCAACACCATGGTGTGTCAACTCGTCAGTGTTATCCACCATACGGTAACCATATCCCACCCGGCGACCTCCAGTCATCCATCCGGGACTGACCTTTCGCATGCCTTCCGTGGGGGTTGGCAATGCACGAGGGGACTGAGGTGATGGTGTATTGGCTTGCTCGTGGCCGCCGAATTTGCCTTTGATCACATCGCCTGTAACTCCTGGCGCGTCCTCGACGAAACCAACTTCTCCGAACAGCCTTCCCTTAATGTTAGGCAAGCTATCCATGGCATTTGCTGCATGAACTCTGAGCGAGTGAATTGCGGAAGATGCATTGCCTGCTGTTTCATCGCTTTGACGTGAATAAAAGGAAGACACATCTCGGTGCTGAGGCATTGATCGAGTGGGTGTTTCGGGCCCAACAACAGTAGAGGATCCAGATGTCATGTCTGACTGAACATTTTCTGATGATACCATTCGCAATCCATGTCTGTTCGCGTGGGGTGGGTTCGTTATGGATGGATTGGCCGACTGAGACCCCAAAGCCAATGGCGACCCAGCCAGTCTGTGAGAGAGATCTAGATCACCCAAATATGGGACATGGGACTCCGGATGTGTCCTGGGGGAGCTCGAATGCTGTCGTCTTTTGGAAATCGCTATGTCGGGCGATTGCCTGCCCAACGATTCCGAAGACGCATTGGGAAAACCAATCGCGTTTGAATTCATGTACTGGGCCCAGTCACCCACTAAATCCTGGAAGTTCTCACTGCTGTTTCCCAGATAAAGCCCCTGGCGGTGATTGCTTGCGTGGTCTGGGGCAACCAATTGTTCCTGGCTGGGGTGAAGACTTGTGAGAGGTTTGGCAAAATGATTTTGCTCAGCCGATCGCTGGTTGTTCAACGAAGTCGTCGAAAGATTTGTCTATGTTTCTGGCTGTATGTTGTGTATCACTGGGATGAGGCAACCTTTCCATACTCCCTTGTGGTGTAGATGGTGCAGACATACCAAAGTTAGCTGGAGAGTCCGGGTGTGCATGCATATTGGGAGAATCCCAATATCCCATGTTATTATGCTCTCTATGACCTTCAACGATGTTGTTGAGCCCCATTCTGCGTGAGGCCGGAGTCCTCGGTGATTCGTTTACATTGCCGACATGCTGTGGGGTTCCGACACACTGTGCGTCGCTGTCATATCCCCGCGCGCTCATCAAGCTGCTTCCCATGTCTGCAAAGACCGGTAGCTCTGCATCTGTCTTAGACATACTTGGTTTTGGTTTGAGGGAGAAAGGAAAATTCATGCGATGCTCTCCAGACTGTCTAGACTCCCGGGAGAGTCGACGCCGAAGCCGGCTTGAGAAACTTGCGGCCGATCGTTTCTGACACTGGGCAGGGAGTGAATTTTCCCCCTGTGAGGGATCTAAGTTGATATGGTGTCAGACAAAGATGGGTTCATTGGGTATTATGTGTTCTTACCTTGTGCCGGCTCTGCCGATCCATCGGTATTTGCTTGGTTCTCTTGGTATGATTGGGCAAAGTCAGAAGAAGAAACATGTCGAGGCCCTTTCCGAAGGCGTGGACAGACGAAGAAGAACATTTTTCAGTATGTGAGCATCTTGCAGGATGAGAGAATCCTACGGTTATCCAAGTTTCCTGTAGGGCGAGGAGGCGGAAGGCACGATAGGACATGGCTCCTTCCTGTGGTTTGGCAATGGCAGCGATCTGATCAATACTGAACCTGATGGCTACAGGATCGTGATCTCCTGAAGTTTGACTGGCATTCAAAATTTAGAAGTGGCCGCACTTGAAGTACAACTATGGACACGAGTATCGATGCAGGTTGAATCGTGCTATCTTCCTGATCTAACTTTAGAAGCTGGATCTTCAATTCTGGAGACATCATGATCGTTCATTAAGCCCATAGGAATATGGTGTACTCTGCGGATTCAACAAGAGGCGAATGGAAATGTCGTGGAGTCCCGGGTGGGCCTTGCATCTATAGAGTAGAGACTAAGGGCCCTGATCTCGTGGGGGCCACGGGTGGATCAATTCTTGGCGCAGCGATCAAGGGTTGTGCAATGGCGGTAAAGTCCTGAAGTCTAGATGTAGATTCATATATGGAGTAAAGCTCTGAAATAGTACAGAGTACCTAGGTAGCAGTATCTTCTTTCGGGATGCAAGGTTGGATTCCAAGATTGGAGACCATTTCACGTCACAGTCGCCTTCCCGCACCAGTGAGAGTCGACAGGAAGCCAAAAAAAAAGGCGTACCTAGCATAGAGAGACTATGTTCTCGTAGTCAGCATCCAACGAACGGCTGTTGATAATTACTCAAATTTGACTGGGGTCCTTGGGCTTGGGTGAATGATCACACTGGACGTGGCGTAAGCAATTGGGCACAGCCTCACATGGTCCGCGGTTCCGGGGTGTCCCTTCTTTCTTTTCTTTTTATCGACTTTATTGTGTTGGCTGTCAGTAGTGCCATGATTTATTGTTAGCCACCCTCGATATTGTATGAGGCATTTTGGGAGCAAATTTGTGTGCCAAAAGATAAGGAAAGGATATACAACCCAACAAGCCCAAGGTGGCGTTAGACGGGAATATTTTGCCTTGACAAAATTATCTCACAATAACTACTAGGTACTCCGTACACCGTACGGAGTAAACGGTAAGTAGAGTATACTGCGTAGTACTTCACAGTAATAGAAATCTCGAAATGATTGCAAAATCTAAAATGTATTTGCCCCTTAGCGTTGGCTTATATGGTGGAACTCGATCAATTGCGTGCAGCTCTCTCGTGAGACCCTTTTTCTGGTGGGGCGTGAAAAATCCCCGTACAAAAGCGATTGACCTGCAGGGTCAGATTTCGAACTTGGAAATATCTTTCATCAACCTACTACACCCTGGACTCCGGACTCTTCGATTAGGCCGCACTGGGCATTGCGATGCGGTCTAATTTGAAGACAGTCCGCCCTCTGGGCTTAGCACTGGCGCTCATCATCCCCTTTGCTATATTCTTTTATCTTCATGCTGAAGGGCCCCAGACATTGCTCAGCCCCAAAACCGAGCTATTACACTCAGAGGCAATTGTGATCCAGACGAGCCCAACCGGCGCTGTACCACCACAACCCTTGCCCGACAACAACAAGCCTCTTTTCACCGAAGAGATATATCGCGTCCCCGACAAAGTGTGGCATTCAGCCAAATTTGACAATCTTACCGAAAACCAGCGTGGATGGATCGGAAGCTGGACCAAAACTAACCCCTATTGTCGCCAAGAATTGCTGACGGATCGATCGGCCCAGGCCTTTGTGCGAGCATATTTCCACGAGACACGTCCTGATATCGTCGAGCTCTACGAGGCGCTTCCTATCGCCATCCTGCGGGCGGATCTTCTCCGTTATTTAATTATACTCGCAGAGGGGGGTGTTTGGGGTGATCTGGATGTCACTTGTGAGAAAGATGTCGCCGAGTGGGTCCCGCCTGAGTACCGGAACCGCACGATCGACATGATCGTCGGATTGGAGTTCGATATGCCGTGGCGAGGGCCCGGGAAACCCATCGCATCGCAATTTTGCAACTGGGTGTTTGTGGGACGGAAGTCTTCGCGAAATCTCCAGGTTGTCGTCGATGCTGTCGTCGCCAAGTTGAAGCAAATCGCCCATGAAAACAATGTCACCATTAGGGGGCTTACTTTGGAAATGCTTTCTGATGTAGTGGATGTCACTGGACCAAAAATGATGACCATTGCTATTTTGGACAGTCTCGGGCAGCTACTGAACAGGACTGTCGATGATCGAGATTTTGCGGGCATCAAACAGCCTAAGCTGGTGGGCGATGTGCTGATCATGCCTGGCAATTCTTTCGCTGCAAATCAGAACAACCACCCAACGGACCAAGGAGATGTTCTTGTGAATCATCATTATGAGGGCTCATGGAAAAAGGAAGATGCAGAGGCAAAAGAAAGAAAGAAGCAGAAGCAGAATGCAGCGCCGACTCCAAAGTGATAGCCTTTAGGATAACATCGGAGGTTTCTCAGTGAAAGGGATCAAAATCAAAATCAAATCTCACCGGTGAATTGGACTCATGTGTAACTTCCCTTCCAAGTTGTTTATGTGCCCTTCGTACCTTCCCAAGTCCTGTCACACAAAGCCCCCTTTTCCTTCTCATCTTTTTTCTCGCCTTACATCTTGCATCATCTACTCATCGACACACGCAGATATTGTAAATCAACTCTCATGCGTGGCTTTTCGAATCTAGCAGGACTTTTCCTGCTTGCTGTGTCGGCCGTGGCTACTATCCCCCAGATCGAGATCAAGGTATGCAACTGCAAAGCCTGCAAAGCCTGCAAAGTCGCGCCCTCGAAGGAACCCCAAAGAGCTAACCATCCCGTGGGATAGGGATCCAAATTTTTCTATTCCAACAATGGAACCCAGTTGTGAGTTCTGGATGGTGCTTACGTCGCGGGTCTCCAAGACTAACCCAGCATCAGTTACATCCGAGGCATTGCCTATCAAGGTGATCATCACCACATCACTCAAGACTGGTATGCCTATTGAAATTGCTAACCGTATCACAGAGGACTATGACGCGGGAGGGGCCACTGGAACTGGACAATCTACCGACGTGCGCTACAAAGATCCTCTGGCCGATGGCTCTGCCTGCGAGCGTGACATTCCATATCTTTTGAAGCTGCGGACAAATGTCATTCGTACCTATGCTGTGGACCCAAAAAGGAACCATGATGACTGCATGGGAAAATTGGCCGATGCAGGCATCTATGTGATTGCTGATCTCGCATCTCCTGAGGTCTCCATCGTGTCCGATTCGCCCGCCTGGACGATTGATCAGTACAACCGGTACACCTCTGTCATCGATGCATTTCACCAGTATGACAATGTCATTGGGTTCTTCGCTGGCAACGAGGTTGTAAACCACAAGAACCAGACGATGGCAGCGGCCTTTGTGAAAGCCGCAACCCGGGATATGAAAGCTTATGTCAAGGCTAAAGCGTACCGAACCTCGTTGGCTTTTGGCTACGCCACCACGGACTCTCCTGATTTCCGAACGGAGCTTTCTGACTATCTCAGCTGCGGGGATCGGTCGACTGCTATCGACTTCTTTGGCTACAATATCTACGAGTGGTGTGGCGACAATACCTTCGAGGCTTCTGGATACAAGAACCGCACGCAGGATTACAAAGACTACTCCATTCCGGTGTTCTTCTCAGAATATGGATGCAACACGGTCAAGCCTCGCAAGTTCAGTGATGTCCCTGTGTTATTTGGCTCTGACATGGACGATGTATGGAGTGGAGGTATTGTCTACATGTACTTCCAAAGTACCAACGACTATGGGCTTGTGTCAGTCGACGGGAGCTCTGTCTCTACCGAAGCTGGTTTCAGCTACTACTCCCAGGCAATAGAAAGCGCCACTCCTTCGGGGATCAACGGTGGTAGTTACTCTCCCACCAACTCTCCCCGCGCTTGTCCTACTGTCGACAACAAATGGAAAGCTGCTGCCAGCCCTCTTCCTCCTTCCCCGAACCAAGACCTGTGCGATTGCATGATCAGTAGTCTATCTTGTGTGGTGGCAGAGTCTGTTCATATTAACCAATATGGCGCCTTGTTTGGCACAGTGTGTGGAAACGATCAAGGCGCCTGCGAAGGAATCGTGAACAATGCATCCTCTGGGAGTTTTGGTTCTTTCGCTGCCTGTGCAAGCAAGGATCAGCTCTCCTACGCTTTCAATCGCTATTATCAGAACGAAAAGCAAAACAAGCAGGCGTGCGATTTCAGTGGAGCTGCCACTCTCCAGTCGGCGAAGGACCCTACTGGAAGCTGCAAGTCACTTTTGAGTCAGGCTGGTGCATCTGGAACGGCCCAAGTCACTGGGGGCGGAGGAGCCGCAGCCACTACATCGAAGGGGGTGGCTGTTTCCAGGCACACCCCGCCAACGATTGGCTGGGGCCATTTCGCTGCTGTGGTTTACGCTCTTGCCGCAATAATAGCCTGGGTCTTTATGATTTGGCTTTAGCCCGCAGCTGCCGAATTGTTCTGTGCCCATTTACTTCATGTTATTGATACAAGGCTCTTGATGGTTATCTTGTCAGAGTCATTCAACGGTTAATGTTTGAATTGCAATTGGGCAAGCTTCAAGAGGATGATCGGCTCCATTCTTATTTGGTCCTTCACTTACAGAGAATATTGATATGAAGGAGATCTCTTCTCAGCGAATCTATCCCAACATAAAATCTCTCAGCAATGAGATAAGAGTACATACAACTGCTCTGATTGGCCTAGAGCAGGGCCATAGATCCGCTGAGTCATCATGTCCCGCCCCCACGTGGGTCTGATCCCAGTATGTAGTAGTTTCATTTTACGACGGGGAACCAGTCGGCACAAGGGACAAGTGTAGAAGGCGATGATTCCAATGAGGTAGGAAAGATCGAGAGGAAGGGTAGTTAGAAAAGTAAAAACTGGTATAGACGGGCAGCGAAGACAGGACTTGAAGTTTCTTTGTATGTCGGCCGCGATGTACATCTTCTCCGGCACTAGACCCAAAGGGGTAGAGCTAACCTGATATAGTAAACTTTTCACAGGTCAGCCGTTTACAAGAAAAAAAAAAATTACAGATCCTCAACCCGCATTTCTACCCACATTCCCACCCTCATACCCTCTTTTACCCCTCAGTCAGTCTAATACCGCAAAAATGGGCAACGTAAGATATTCCTGCCAGTCGCTGACTTGGGCGCTCTCGTGTTTTTATCACCGATCCCCGCAGGTGGGCTGACGATCATCTACAGGGAGCCAAGGCCAACATGAAGCGTGAGCGCAACGCGAAGGACACCAAGACCGCCAAGTCGCAAACCAAGAGCGTATGCAACACACTTCCCTTGCGTCTGTTCTACAACTAACTCCTATCTAGAACGAGAAAGCCATGAGCATCCAATGCCAAATTTGCAGACAGACTTTCTTGCAGACTACCAAGGCCCCTGCGTACGTGACCATATCGCTATTTGAACTCTGAATACACAGGCTAACACTTTCCCTTTGAATAGCCTCCTCGAGCACGCCTCCAACAAGCACAGCAAGGGCCTCGCTGAGTGCTTCCCCGGTGTTAGCGCATAAGATACCCCAGTCCGACGCGGAAGAACACTCTTTTTTTCACGACATAACGGGTTAGCATGGATTTGGAGTTTAAGAGCGAACATATATGCCACCTTTTGAAATAGGTCGGATCTGTGTAGCAGCGGAGAATAACGAAGTCGACGGAGCGCTGGTGTTGGGGTGGTTGGATTATTCTTTATGTAGTTGGCTCATACATATGATCTTGACTTTTCATGCTCGCTCTCCACAGTCTTTGGCCTTGTAAGTTTGGTTCGTGACTAATATCTTACATGCAGGGTTGTAGTTCTGGCCAAAACCTGATGACGAAAGAAATATGCCTTCTCCATGGGATTTTGAATTGCGCTCTGAGTGTTGCCATATTGCTCAGCATACACAATACGCAAGTGACAGAACCGATGTGATGATTGTCTGGAATTGAGATGGATTTAGGTGATAATCTAAACCACCATCGCAAGCATAGCAGTCGAGCTAAAGTTTGCCCTGGATCAGACGTTTGTTTCTTCCTTTCCATCCAGTTAATTCTCCCAGATCTCGCTGTGGCCATGGGTGAGGCTCCTTTCCGGTCTTCAGTGGAATTGCTCCAAAGCGCCACTTCCATAGATCCACGTAATCCTTGCTCATTGTTCCCTCCAGCATGTCGACAACGTATTTTCCAATGATGGGCATGAACTTGAATCCATGTCCAGATCCTGCAGTGGCGATATAGAGGTTTTTCGCTTTAGGGGAAGGGCAGACTCGGAAGTTGACGTCCTTGGTGTCTCCATCCCTGTACAATTTTTAGCATGTGGGTCAATCCGTGATTAGTGCAGTGCGCTCTTACCAGCACATTCTTGTGGAAACCCAAGGCCTATCGGCCAAGTCGGGGATCATGTCTCGTACAAAAGAGCGCATTTCTTCTTCGATCTCCCGAGGAACACCATCTTCGGGGTAGTCAGCATGCGAGTGTCCGATAGAGGCTCCTGGCACAAATGAATTATAATAGTTGGTGATAAAGCGACAGCTGCAGATTTTCAAAAGTCCGTTGGCATCGGGTGGGAAAAGGATCCCTGATTGTATGATTTAGCTCAGATTTCCACGATACTCTTGGGTTATGTCAATACCTTGCTCGAAGTCGTCCACAATTGGGAGGCTCTTGTACTTCTCAACCTCGTCAGGGGTAAGCTGCATGATACCGACACAGTGAGATCTCGCAACTATTTCATCTTTTGCATCAATAAGAGTTGCTGTGTTGGCACCCGTGCAGAGGATAACAACATCAGCCAGGTGAACTTGACCATCCGCTGCGAGAACACCAATACAGGCTCCTTCCTCGTTATAGAGAAGCCTCTTCGCAAACCCAGCATTGCCAGACAAATACTTGACTCCATTCGCTTGAGCCGCAGAGGCGAACCGAAGAAGTGCTTCGCCAGAGGGGACCTACTCAGATATGCATTAGTCATGATCAAATTCAACGAGGTATTCAACTGCATACCCATCCAGCTTCCGGGCTCCACAAGTTAGTCCATCCATCGAACGAACCTGTAAATTCAGGCCATTTGCTCTTGGTCTCAGCGACACTCATCCACTTCACTCCTTTGCGTTTTTCTTTCACTCCACTCTCATACGCAGCCTTCAGAAAGTCGCGAGTCATCGCATGGGCAGACATGATCCATCCGGTCGGGCGGAACAGGTCGCGAAAGAGTGAATTTGGATCCTTCCATACCCGCATGGCCTCTAACCCAAGCTTTGTGTAAAGTGGGTTTGGATAGTCATAACGAACAATCTTGTTCAGATCTGTGGCTGCAGCATCTTTTGAGGGGGCAGCAAATCGATCAAGAACAGTTACATTGGCATATCCACGGTGTGATAGATGATACGCAGTGGAGGTCCCGAAGGCTCCTCCACCGACGACCAGAACAGATGGCTGAGACATTGGGATTGGTGTTGAAGGCGAGAGGAAGAATATTGAGTTGTCGCTCATGGTCATTTATAATTGATCTTCAAAGAGATGAATCATATAGCACCGGGCACTACGGTGCATCGTCTGCGGGGAAAAGTCTGACTTAGAGCCACCCTATGCCGGCCGAGTAAGATGGACATTATTATTAGCCAAACTTGGTTAAAAACTCCTCATGAGGACACATACACTGAGGCAGATATGCCAGCGAAAGCCAGTGCGATCTTTCCCTGTGGTTTATCTCGGTGCATTGACCCCCAAGGCTTGATACGACCCACTCCCATCCTTGGCAACCAATCAGATCACTCAAACAAGGCCGTAGCGGCCGTAGCGGCTGAGCCGCCTGTGGACGATAAGGTGCCAAGATTTGCGGGGAAGAGCATGTATACCTGGGGATAGTATGAGATAGCATATTCAATTTGTGGTATCTGATAACATGAGCCATGTATCTATGGATGTAACTACTCCAATGTTTGTCAAGCTATATAAACAAGTCCGTCTCTTGTCGAAGATCCCGGATAGTTTCATTTTAAACCCCAACCTCAAAACTCACAGCCAAAGAAACTCCCAGTTCCGATATGAATTCAAAAAACCGTGAATCATCTGAGATTGATCTCCAATCTCCGGAGAAACCGCAATGTGGGACAGCGATTTCTCTGCCTATATTACCACCACATCTTCGGAATCGCACGCTCGAAGAAAGACAAGCGTTGGAAAAACGCCTAGTCAGGAGGCTGGATATACGCTTGATGCCCATGCTAGTTTTGATTTATATTCTAAACTATCTAGACAGGTGAGATGTCTCTCCTGGTGTCAAGATCCATGAATAATCTACCTCGTATCACTAATCCCAAGAAACCAACATTCAGAAACGCAATTGCAGCAGCCAAACTAGCAGGCCTCACCGAAGATCTTCAACTGTCTTCAGTGCAATTTCAGACCTCTGTCAGCGTTCTCTTTGTTGGGTGAGTTTTGATATGCTAAGGATAGGTTCTGAGACTAACCGTCATCAGTTACATTCTGATGCAAGTTCCCTCCAACCTTTTTTTAAACAAAGTGGGTAAGCCTGCATTGTATCTTCCGACATGCATGGTTGCTTGGGTAGGTTATCAAATACATTGAAGTTTCTACGAATGATATGTTGACTCTGGTGCAAGGGTTTGCTGTGCGGAGCAAGCGGAGCAGCTCAAAACTTTGGCGGCTTGGTTGCATGCCGGTAAGAGAATCCCATGCAATGTGAGGAATGGGCACTGACGGACGCCAGTTTTCTTTTGGGGTTCGTGGAAGCCGCTTATTTTGTGAGTAGCCAAGTGCAAATGGAAGCGCCTCTAGGCTGACACTAGCCAGCCCGGTTGTATGGTGACATTGAGTGCGTGGTATACCCGAAAAGAACTGGCACTGCGAACTGCAATTCTCTACTGCGGCTCCCTACTTTCTGGTGCTTTCTCAGGACTTATTGCCGCCGGAATAACCGACAATATGGACGGGTGAGATCCCCTTCACTGATATATTCAAGAACAAAGCTGACAGTCTGGTTAGTGTTCGCGGATTGCGAGCTTGGAGGTGGCTGTTTATCATTGAGGTACCAACCTGCCTTGTGATACTCTTTTTTGCCCTTGATACTCACCAAATTGGCATTATAGGGCGCAATTACCGTCGTCGTGGCTTTCAGTGCTTATTTCGTTCTGGTCAACTTCCCCCACAACACTACGGGTATATCTGACACTGAAAGAGAGCTGGCCATATGGCGTCTTCAGAAGGATATCAGTGCACAAGGAGAAGAATCAGAAGAAAACCTCAGCTTGGTTGGGGGCTTCAAACAATGCATAGCTGACTGGAAGGTATGGATCCTGGTCACTTTGGTTTTCGGAGCAACATCCAGCGGTACTATCAATAGCTTCTTCCCAACTGTCGTGGAGGGGCTTGGTAAAGATCGTATTCAAACCCTTCTACTGACAGTTCCGCCATATATTCTGGCCTGCATTGTTGCCATGCTGGTCTCTCTGAGCGCCGATCGATCAGGTGAACGTTATTTCCATTTCACCATCCCGCTGTGGACTTCAATTGCGGGCTTCATTATCTCAGCTTCCACCACCCAGTTTGGTCCGAGGTATTTTGCCTTCATGATCATGCTCCCCGGTGTCTATACGGCTTTTATTATTGGCATTACTTGGGTTGCAAATACCCTCCCACGGCCATCAGCCAAAAAGGCCGCGGCCCTCGCTTTTGCCAACGCGATCGGAAATTGTTCCTCGATTTACAGTCCGTATCTTTACCCCAGCAGTGGTGCTCCTCGCTTCGTTCTTGCAATGAGTGTCAATTCCGCAACCTCACTGCTTGCTATCTCCACTGCAACGATTTTCAGGGTTCTTCTGCAACGCTTGAATAGAGGGATGGAGAGGGAGGAGGTTGAGGAATATGACCAGGAGGGCAGGCGGGTAGAGGGCTTCCGGTATCTCCTGTGAGGCGACACTGAAACTCACATAGATCATCTGGAGCTGCGAAAGGGCCTCTTTTAAAGTATACTGGTTTCTTTGCTGTAAAGAGATAATATTTAATCCTTACCCAGGTGCCAATGAGCATTGTTTGAGTTCTATTTGATTTGTGATATTAAAAACGGAAATTAAATGTTCTAAAGTTTATATGTGCAGGTAGCGATGCAAGCGGAGGACTCAAGGCATAGATTAAGATGGATAGAATATTGTAGATATAGGGTGACATTTAAATTGCATATGCAGGGAGTTCTACTTAAGTTAATGCATGAAATCAGGAAAGGACAAGAAACCACTATAACCTTTTATCAATTTCACGCAATTCAACCCTCGAATGGCCATTAAGACTCATTTCTCCGATTTACCAACGGCAAAGGGCCAAACTTTTTGTCTTTGCCATGGCCACAATCCCCACTCGTGTAACAACAAACACGCCCCTCGGTCAAAACATCAGTCACTGCCCTTCGAACATCTTGCGAATTTCGTCGTTCGAGTATCCGGCATTGAGTGAAAGCTGAAGCATTACTCGAGCCTTTTGTGGATTCAAAAATCCACTAGTCATTTGGAATGGGTAGATACTGTCTCCTCCCGCAAACCCATCATTTGTTCGTCGGCTGAAGACCATCGGGATTCCTGACTGATTGTATGCCCCCTGAGCACTTTTCAGACCATCAAGACTCCAGCCTCCAGCCCCCACTCCCGCAAATATGATCCCCTTGGCTCCGGATTCGATTGAGGCCCGAATAAGATGAGAGTTTGATTCCTGGTGTCCATAAAGAATATCAACTGCAGGCAGCGTTTTCTGACCAGTAACATCGAATCGTGGTTTGTTTCGAGGAGTCGAGGGAGAAGGGTAGAATTTTGGGACTTGGTCAATGAAGAATCCCAATTGGCCTTGCTCGGTTGCGTGGAAAGTATCGAGGGAATTGGCATTGTTCTTTGTAGAAGTAAACGCGCTACCGATGCGGCTGGAGATATTTCAGCACGACTCGGGTGACCATGAGAATCCGAATCGGGGGATTGTATACTTACTCATTCAATGAAACCATTACTCCGCGAGCATAGGCCGTCTTGGATGCGGCCAACTTCACTGCCTGATACAGATTCAACGGACCATCTGCGCTCAGTGCGGTAGATGGTCGCATAGCACCTGTTATCACAACTGGCTTTGTCGAGTTCACCACCAGGTCAAGAAAAAAGGCCGTCTCTTCCAAAGTGTCCGTTCCGTGCGTGACAACGACACCGTGTACGGTCGGGTCCGCCAGCTCCGCTTTGACACGCGTTGTCAAGTCGAGTAAAATTGTAGTATTGATTGAAGCGCTGTCGACATTTGAGACTTGCATTCCGGAGACGTTCGATATGTTGCAAATCTCGGGCACTGCGCTGAGTAAGGCATCAATACCGACGCCGACCTGGTAATTCGTGGTTTGCGTATTGGATGAAGCCTTGCTGGCAATTGTGCCACCGGTGGCGAGAATGGTGACGTTAGGCAAGCCAGGTTGAGGACTCTTACAAGAGCTTTTGGCATCTGCAACGGGAAACGCAATGGAACAGAGTGCGAAAAGCCCCAGCGAGGATTTTAGTGAGAACATCGCTCCGTGATGACAATCTCAATCAGCAAAATTCGAATTTTTCACCTTGAAATTAAGGAAATCGACACCCTTAAATAACTAATGATCAACCAGCACATCTCCGACAAGAAAGAGCTTTCAGCCTTTGAGTCCATTAATGTGTGAGATAGTGTAAGTATCCACCTTTATCTTGCATCCTCCGTAGCGGCCGAGTTGAGCGGGTCCAAATCCAGAAGCCTGCACATGATTGGCTGTCACCCGCCGTTGGCGCACCGCGGTTAACAACCATGGATACAGGCCGCGATTGTGTTCGCCTCTTCATACCAAGGATGGAAGTTGATCAAGTAATTGTGCGCCAATATTGTCCTCAAGAAAATCAGACCATCCGAATATATCGTCGATTCCGCCTGAAATGCTGGTCTGGGAAGATTCTGCGTTGAAAAGGTGTTCGATGTCTCTAATCATCCTTTCGTGATCCTTTGATGCAGCATTTCCAGTCTTTGCCATTTCAACAAGTAATGCTCGCACGGAGTTAAATATCGGAGTTTCCGAAGAGATGGGAAATTCGGTTGGACACCTTTCGGCCATGAATGTGATGATCACATAGATAGTGAGACTGGAAAAGATATGGAGTGATTCCCAGAACCCGAATTTGGCTGTGTAGCGACGAGTAAGCAATCGGTCAAATGTTTGCGAGGAATATCACTTGCCGATTTTATGGCACTTGTTCAAGGCATGTTGGATCCGGAGATTGTCGGTTGCTGCACGCAAGCACTCGCCGTTCAATGCCACGAGTTCTACATCTGGTGTAGATAGAACTTGCTCTCGCACCAAGGAGTGAAGTTGCATCAGTAACAAAGGTCTCAAGAGGAGTATATAGCACTAAGCGATAAATATTAACTGACATGATCAAAAGTGTCTCTGCAAAGTCTTATGCGGGCACGGGGTGGGGGAGGACAAATACCTGATTGTAGCGCATTAGCATTGAAGCAACTGTCCGCATTGTTGGAAGAGCCAGGGTAGCATTTGTGAACTCTGTATGCTCTGAGAACTCCAATGTTGGGAAGAAATTGGCCTTCCATTGACGTAGGCCTTGAAAACATGGTTCAATCAGCGTGTATGCATCACGTATGTTCCCAACCCGAAGATCGAGTGCCGTCTCAATGGTGCGGTGCTTGAGCCGACACAAATTTACCTGCGCTGTAAGATACAATGCAGCGTTGAAATCATCATCTGCCGTGGGCAATTGGCTATCATCAGGAAGTTGCAGCACAATGTCGTCAATTCGACATGCGGGCGCCAATGACAATTCTGTGCAAGTCATCAAATCCATACAGACAGATGTCCACCAGACACGCTTAGTATGCTCGTACTCGCCAATATCGACAGACTCGCCTGCTGTGGGGTTTGAAATTTTCAGAAGACTTCCCAGACGTAAGGCCATCCCTGCGTACGCGTACGCTGTTTTCCGGCGGTTCAGAGAATAGCAATAAAATGACTGGACAACGTCAACATTTCTGACCGATCGTGCGCAGAGAGCTTTCTTTTGCTCACTATAAGGTTCAGAGCCTCAATCTGTCCAATTGTAGGCATCTCGTAGCACGGTTTGAACAACAAAAGCCCCTGTTCAAATAGCTCCACCCCCGGCGGAGCATCATTCTGTGGGAATGACAGAGTAGAGGACTGCACAGCGCTGTTGGATCTTTCATTGACGAAGAAAGAGGGAGAAGTGTTGTCATTGTAAGACTCCCCAAGGGCTAGCACAGTTGAGAGACAGGAGAGCCATGTTCTGTCAACGGACTGAGATTGGGGATCTTGGTAGAAAGTTTCGACCATGGTACGAAAATGACGTTTCCGATACCAGTGATAGTCACAACCAATAAATGTCTCAAATTGGTTGAGTAGATATACTGCATATGAATATGGAGGGAATTTGACGAAGACTTTGCTTTCTGTGATGTCAAATAAGTCAATATGCTCGATATGGAAGCAGCGTTACGCACGATTGTTGTCCTGCTGTAAAGGAATGAATGTGTAGTTTGATTTGTTGGAGGGTATCCTTTCCTCGAATTCGTCTCCTGTATCATCATAAGGCGTTGGTGTAACCTGCCCACCATGTCCAGGTGTATCGGGCATGCAAGTATCGTGAATTCCTTTCAGCTTTGAGACGAAATGTTCTGTTGTCGAGTTCTCCATCAGGCGCTCAGCTCTCAAAGGTGGATCGGAACTGGCAGGATTGCTCCCAAAAACAGCAACAGATGGTCCATGTATGACTGTCGTTGAGTCTGGCTGTTCCTTGGGAAATGACTGTCGGAGCTGCGCATTTTCTGCTTCCAACCTGCGAATATATGATTCTGGAACTGTTAACACTCTATCCCTGGATGGAAAAATGCAATCCCGTTGGGAAGAGCGGCACTTGGAGCATGGACTTTCTGTTTTCGAACTCGTTAACCGCTGCCACAAACCCAAGCCGGCGAAAATATACCTCCACTGCATTTGACCTTCTGACTGCGACAGTAGTAACAAGCACTGAATGATCTACCCTTAAAGCGAGCCATATTATAACCGATGTGTAGATCACTCGGCCATGCATGACCTCGGGAGTAAAGCGAATGCAAGAGGCGGAGAACTGGATGATGAGGTTCTTGGCATATCTTGCCTGAGGCCACAACGCCATGTGGAAGGTCAAGGCCGCGGCACCTCAAAAATCGAAAAAGCATCAATTAATCAGCTCGGCGAATGTAGTAACAATTCCTGACCGTAAAGATTCTTTTTGAAGTAGCACAAACTAATGTATGGAAATAATCTTCATAGTGGAAGAACTCCTGGTAAAGCTCTCTATCACATTCTCCTGCTCCTATGTACTTGTAGCAAGAAAGCCCAACTCACTTCATTCACCGCCCGGGTGGTCTAGTGGTATGATTCGCGCTTAGGGTTCACCCAAAGCACAATTGCGCGAGGTCCCCGGTTCAATCCCGGGCTCGGGCCGGTTATCTTTTTTTTGTCTTTTGTGGATCTGCATTCGATCACTTTTTGAAAATCTACAATGCTGTTTGCTTCAGGAGAGGAATGGCCCTGCTATATATGTCAAAACCCCCTCCAGGGCTTCATTAACTACCAGTGGTGAATTGTATATCGTCTACAGACCAAAGTACTAACTCCAAAGTGCAAATGCCAACCATGGCAATCTATAGATGTAACCATACTAAGTAGGATCCATAGATTATATATTCAATACTTAAGTACTTTCCATGGGTGTTTTTGAGAGTGGAGACTCCTCCATAGATGAGCATAGACTGGCAGGCCCCTGTGACTCGAATATGAATTACCTTAATCGTATCCAGGTGATCCTGCAATGCAACTTTAGAAATTTGGAAAAGGTAAGGCCCAGAATGAGGACCGCGCCTGAGCTTTAATCTGGGAGATAGGAGTAGTTGGAGTGACAGTCGATGGGAGCTGCAGAACCTTAGCTAAGAAGCCCAGAGCATTCCTAGGTTTAGCTTAAGGGTCTCTTCTAAAGTTGCAGTCTAAAATATTCCAAAATGTAAGATCCAGATGCATCGAACGTCGAGATCAGGATATTTCCAGGAGCTCCAAAGTTGCTTGTTTGGTGCTTCCAAGGTTAAATGCTACTTAAGTACCATGGAATCGGATAAGGATGAACCCGTCACCACCATCCATGTAAGTCTCGTCGTGGTCCAGGAAAAGGAACATATTGACATCAATAAAATACATCACAGGGGGTTTCTCCCTGAATAATTATAGACTGGCTCTTAGTTAGATCATGGGGCATCTGCATGACTATGCTTTCATCTTTCAATGCGTCCCTCCAACTCAGCTGGTGCTGAGGGTGGCTTCGATGAGGCCTGAGGACCATTGGATCCCAGGAAAGGACCGGAACTCAACTCGTATCTTTGATTCCGGGGCCCCTCGAGTTCGTGCCGAGAATTTGCAATAGGTTCACTCATATCTTGGCTCGGGGACCTTCGACCACGCATAAACAGATATCCGACTGCAAGAATGACCAGTATGCCACCAGCTACAGCTCCAATGCCTATTCCTACTTTAGCACCGGTGGATAGTCCCGAGGATTCTTCTGGTTGCTGTTGGGCTGTTGGTAGTGCCGTAGCGGATGATGTAGCGGATGGTGTGGCAGATGATGCGGCTGGAACAGACATGGACGTAATGGAGACTAGGTCAGTAACTTTCCAACGAAGCTCAATTCCATATGCATTCCAACCATCCTTCTTTGCTGTCGCAGTAGCCCTTGCTGAGGTTGTAATACCAGGTGTTGGTGTGGCCGTATACGTGTGGGGTATGTTGGTGGGAGCACCGAAAGCGCAGACCTCGCTACTGTGCCACGGTCTCGTTTCACCACTCGTCGGGGATCGTTGTGTAAATGTCAAGCTACTTGGTCTGCACGAGCGGTCTTAGCAAACTCCCACATACCTACGGGCTCTGGGCACTCACTGGTGAATTGGGCAACAGGTCGCAGTGGTCTCATCTTGTTTTATCGTACTCCCAGGGGCCATTGCCCACCCACTCGGACAGACAAGCCCAGGTGAATAGAATGTCGATGGCACCCAGCCCGATGGTAGGCATTTTTTAGTATCCTCGGGACCAAGATTTGCCCAGCGGGTTGAGTAGCTCGACGAGTCTATGATCCCAACAAAAGACTGGAACAACCAAAAATCATTGAGGCATTCACTTGCTGGTGTGAAAGTCGTTGTCAATGGGAGAGGGGACGCCTCAGCAAGGAGCCGGGGACCGGGCGAGGTTGTAGCTTTTGAAATATCCAGCAGGATATCAGCTCGAGGAACAAGTTCCGAAGCTGAGGTATGTGATGACATTGGGAGCTCCAGGTAGAGCAAACTCTACCTGAACTTAGACTTTTGCGATGAAAGTACGAGTATAGAAACCACCTGAACAGAAACCTGTTGGGGTGTGCCTAAAAGCAAATGACTTTGCCCGGGTGCCTTGGACAAGGATATGCCTTGGCAATGAGATATTACTCGACATTTGCGGAATACAACAAGACTAGATAGCTCATGCCTGGAAAATTGACGGAAGATTAAAAAAACAAAACAAAAAAAAAAAACAACGCTCTAGGAATCACTCCGTCCACGGGTACACAATTGGATAACTAATGGCCACAAACCCTAAGCGGTTGGTTGTGACTATAATCCTGCAGGTGAAAGCAAAATGAATGTTTGATGCCCCTTTCCCGATACATATTGATCCCAAGCCATCTCGGACTCCAGGACTGGATTCTCGCATTAGCATTGGCCGCTCCGACAAACATGTCTGGTCACGTCTGGTAAAATACATTCCGTCCGAATACTAATGTTTGCTTTTTTTCACGAATTGAGAGATCCACGCGGCGTACTCTGTACTGACCACCGCTGCTAATGTTTTTTTTTCTAAAAAAAAAACCTTGCAAGATTAGTGACCCCCCCTGCCGATCCAAGACTTAGTTGGTGATGGATGCAGAGCCTCATGGACTTTGATATCGCAGATCCAACGATGAGGACATCGGTTCGGCTCCACCTGGAATATGCTTGTCCTTCTCCACAAAGTTACTACACATTGGAACAGGTCGAAATTGGGTGAGAGCAAATATTTCGACTTTCGCTTTCCTTGACACGTGACACCACCTTAACCCGGTGGAACCTTTGGAATGAGGAAGACAGGACCAACGGAAGTCCTCGAGACCCATAGGTGTCCACCTGAGCACATCTCGAAAATTGACAAGCTCTTTTGCTATACGGAGGGCGGACAAAGAATACTGCAGCATGACCTGTCAGTTGAGCTTCTCTTTTCGGGAGAGCCAGCTTGTAAAAAGCCTCCAAACTGTCACAGAGTCCTACATCTCGGAGCACGAAGGTGTTTTCGGTGTCGTCGGCGCCGCCGTCGTCATCCACAATAAATCGAGTCCTACTTGTTCGACGCGCGTCTGAAAACGACCATTCTAATCTATGGGAGGTACCTGGAGGCGAAGCCCATGAAGATGAAACGATAGTTCAATGCGCAGTCCGTGAGCTGCGAGAAGAGGCTGGCCTTGAAGCATCTGAATTAGTCGATATGGTCGGTGAATTTGAATGGATCGAAAAGCATTAAAATCACCAACAACGCCCCCAGAGAAGGTGGAAGATATTCATGTTCTTGATTACAGTCCACAATGTGAATTTTGTTGAGATGGAAGTTCGTCCCAACCCTCGTTTGCTTTAGTAGAAAAACCCTCCTCCATAGGCTTTCTCTCCTCTCTCTCTCTCTCTCTCTCTCTGAGTAGTCAATACGATCGGTTCTGTCCGCTTCTTCTCTCTCGCCTGTAGGCTTATCAAATTTGGATCTCGAAATCAGACTCGATCCAAAGGACCACCAGGCATATTTGTGGGTTACAGAGTTGGAGATACGGGGCAGTCTTTGTGGCACTGTTAAGCTGGATTTGATTTCAAACAACCAGCGAAAAGTAATACTAGCAGTCATGGGAGCCCAAGGGCAGTCATTAACTATATGTCCACCCAATTTCCAAGCAAAAGGCCACAGCAGACCGCACTGGATTTTATTAAACCAGTCCAAAGGGCTTGGTTTGGAGGTTCAATCCCTTCCGAAGCAGCTAGTGTACATGGTAGTGACTTGTACTCGGATAATAAACACGATGCAAACATTCTTGCCGAGGTTTCAGTATGTGAAATGTGTGATGATCCTCTTTGGCGGAATATTCAAGGAAGGATCCTTTGGCAGATCAGGCGGCAATTTGTAGGCATCTCCAACAGTGCCAGCCACTGGTGTGATCTCCTGGCTCTCCTTAACAGAAAGCAAATGTTTCTTCTTTTCCAACAGGAGTTGCCACATTTTGTGCTTTTGCCCAAGACCCTCTCCTCCAAAACCGTGAACAAGTTGGAGAAGCTCTCCACATGTACTCAAGGCATCGTCATGTTTACCCTGATCCTCATAACAGTGGACGAGGAACCACATTGCTTGCACTGATGGTGAAAAAAAATTAGTTAGCCAGTCTTTGTTTTTGGGGGGGCAAGTACCCCTAATCATTGGACAGAGTATCTATAGATCTCACCTCGATCTGAGTGCTCCCCATCCGCACGCTTTGTTCGCTCCCAATTTTGCTTTTTCATTACGTCCTCGAATACTGACTGTGCTTCCGAATATCGACCTTGCCGCCAGTAAGAATGTCCCCGCCAAGCGTGACCAGTTAACGTCCCGAGATGGTTTGCCCCTAGATTGCGTTCAGCGGCGGGTAATCCTTCTCAGAATAACTCCTCCGCCTCCTCGAACATATTCAGGGCTATCTTGATCTTTGCCATGGTCAATTTAGACCTGAGTGTGAGCGGGTGCTCTCGTCCCAACTTCTTAGTGAAATGATACACCAGTTCTTCGATTGTTCTTAAGGATGGCTCTAGATGGTCTTCGCCCCTGAATCCACCAATGTCAGCAAGATCAAGTTGAGCGACCAATGTTTTGGGATGCTTTGGACCCAGCAGATTGAGAAACCCTTCATACGCCTGCGATTGCAGGTCGATGGCCAATTCTGTGTCCAAATAGCGAAGCTTGACTTTGGCGAGATTCTCCACGGCAGTCCATGTGCTCTCGTGGTTAGGGCCAATCCCTTCCAACGTTGACAGTGTATCAATGACTTCCTGGTGTAACTGATTGGCCTCACGAAGCCTGGTTCCCATGTTACAAGTGGCGCCAAGAGTGTCCATGATGTGTAGGGTGGTCGGATGTTTGGGACCATAGAAGCTTTTCGCATATCCAAGAACCTGATACTGGAGTTCTCTTGCCTCGTTGTTTCTGGTCTGTATCGCATACACATTGGATAACAGCAAGGCTATCGCGATTCCAGGTTCAGACTCGGGGCCTAGGCGTGAGAATACAAAATCCTTCACTTGAATTTGGAGTTCTTCCGCCTTAGCCCAGTATCCGCAATTCAGGTAGACTAAACTAAATTTTGCAGTCTGGGTCGCTTGGAGTCTCCCAAAGCTAGCGCGTGGGGTGAGCCAAGTCATTGACCAAGGCCAGCCGCGAGTGCTGAGATTTTCTTCAAAGCGTGCATTTAGTTCTGCTTGGAACTTGCGCACGTTCTCCACATGGGGATATATCTGCCGCTTCAAGTAGTCATCCTGAAGAGTATATGCGTCTGGGGGCTTGAAGAATATGGACTGCGCCAGCACCGTTGCCGCTGCCTGGCACCATAGAGCTTGTTCTGCCGTGCTGGTCTCGGGTCTCTGTCGAACCCAGGTATGAACAAGTGGGTGCATCCAATAACTATCATTCCCAGCATGTGAGGTCAACATACCAAGCCGTTTCAAGAGGTAAAGTGCACCACGCAACCTATATTCATAAAACGGCTGGTCATCTTCGTCACGTAAGACAGCAGGAAGAACAAGGCCCGGCCTGGTGAGTGGCTCTATTACCGAAGTGGCCCACCCTTCAAATGTTTTCTTCCATGTCTTTGGTACACTATGAGTCTTGTTGGGTTTCTCTGAGCGCTGCTTGGCCCGTCGATCCTCCTGTTCTCTCCTGGGATTCAAGGCAGCGTTTTTGATAAATTCAAACTCAATATTCTACCAATGGAAGAACGAGAAAATTTTCAAAAGCTCCAAAGCATCTTTTGATTCGAAATCATCCTTGCTTTCAAGGCCCAGATATATCATTTCGTATGAAGAGTAAACACTCATGTCCGATTTGTGCGCGTTTTCGTGGCCCCGTGAAGTAATCCTGCTTCTGGAACGGCGAATCCTATCCCATGTTCTCTGGTAGTAGTCGGGATATTCGCTCAGGGAGCAAAGTCGCTCGAGAACGGCTTTTCCAGCATGTATAACCGCAAGAGGAAGATATCCAAGAATCTGGGCGGCTTTGCGAGCGTACTCCCTTGTCGCTATCTCCCACGGACGCGGGAACACTGCAGCGGCCAATAGAAGGTCACTAGCTTCGTCAACCTCAAGATTCTCGAAATGGAAGAATCCAGATCCCTCTGTGCCATGCCTTCTGTTGGTAGGATTGCGAGTAGTGATGAGGATCACACCCCCTTCTCCCCCGGGGAAGAATTGAGTGACATCAATATCAGGATCATCAGCATTGTCAATAAGAAGGAGCCACGGTTGCTGGATGCTAGAAAGCCAGTTCTTCGCTGCGTTCTCATTCGACTCAACACCCCCGACCTTGCCGATCTCTGCGTACGAGTGCTTGGCATTCTCATACGAACTTCCATCAATCCAGAAAATTCCCCAAAAGCTGATTATGTCACTCATGGGTCTTTCGCATAGGAGAGTGCCAGTGGCTTACGATTCCCGGTTGTCTTGAGCAAATTTGCAGCAGAATTGTGTCTTTCCAGACCCTCCAAGACCGTGAACAACAAAGCGTCGTTGGTGATGTTGCCTTTCCTGGGACTTCAGCACACCAAGTGTAGTTTTCAATTCCTCCAACTGTCTCTGTCGGCCGGTGTAGTAGCTGCTGACGTTTTGTGGCATGTAAAAATGCTTGTTGAGCCTGACAAGTGATGCCACCGCATTGGCCGAATCGAGGAACTCAGTGAACTGAAAACTGTTAGCAAGTGTGCGAGATCGAATGCTTGGAAAGAACTTGCATCAGTTGAGTCGACTGAGCCTCGTATTAAAGAGCGAATACTGTTGATCTTGCTCTCTAATTTTATTTTGTGATGCTGCAAATCCTCCGATATCTTTCCTACTGCCATATCCTCGGCGGCATGATGGCTGAGCATGTAAGATCTATATGGCGTTAACGACATGATTCAGCACTTGACATGTGGTCTGCTTACAGGTTCAACATGGTAAGGAACATCTGCATTACCTGTTGATTGTTTCCAAGTCGTGCGCGTATCTGCATGTATTCGCCATCTCGACCATGCTTCCGTATCGTCCTCCTCAAATCTTCGATTTTACCCCCGGAAAGGCCTTTCTTTCCAATAACTTCCTTTAGGAGGCTTTCGAGGCTCTCGATTGTGCTTTGACTCTTTTGCAGGAGAGATCCGAGCTTCCGCCAGTTGTCTTCGATCTGAGCGCCATAGATATCTTCATAGGATTTGTGGATCAGGCCTGTGTCCGGGTCAATCAAGTGTCGTCGAGAATGCCAGCAGTCGTCAACCGACTCATTTACGCCAAGGAGGGATTGAATCTCGTGGTTAAGGATCGTTATCTCGTCTTGTATCTTGACAGAAGCATTTCGTATGTCGTTCAAGTAAGCGAGTAAACGATAGGAGAGGTCTGCAAGGCCCGCAGCTCCCACTATGATGGAGAAGGGATCCATATCAAGTCACAAGTGGGCTGCTTGTCCTGAATCTGAGTATGAAGAATCTTGTGAGAAGACTCCCGGAGACTGATGATAGGGGTTGGGGTCGGTATTCTCTTCGAAGGAACTTTACTGCCACAAATCATGACCATCATGGACGATATCGCATACCACCCCCGTGCGGTAGATGCGGTTGCTCCCGGGTGGATCACTTTTTTGAGAAACACCAATGGGTCATTTTTTGGAGAAACACCAATGCGAGCGAATCAAAGACCAAATGACACGGGGCTAGCAGAGCTGAGACATATGAAGCTAATGCACTTCACCGTGTTCAATCCAGTGAATAGAGTCCTTCAGAAATGTTGATGTGCCGGTTATTTGCGCCGCATCTGGTCCGGCCCGCTTTGTCTGACAAGGTGATTTTTCTTTGAATTTCCATATCCCTCAATTCGTTCCGAATCTTTTCAATCCACCAACCTCTCTCACATTGTGCATTGTATTCAATATGGGAGTGTGGGATTGGCTCGAATATCCCGCAACTCCTTTTCTGGAATCAAGGCAACTGCCTCTACGCGTGATTATAGCCAGCGCGATCGGCTACCTTTTGTACCATACGGTCCATTGTCAACTCAAGATATCGGTGCGTCGGCATGCTTCATGCTTCAATCACAAGAACTGAATCCCCCAGCGTGATAAAGCCTTTGGTAATCAGCAAGGCTGTTTGCCGGTGCAAACTTGGATCCCTTACAAATGGCCATTGGCTCTTGACATCTTGAAACGACAGTATGATGCGTCTTCAGAACAACAACTACTGTTGTTTCAATCCCAATACTTTGACAAACTCGGACCGAACATGACATTCAAGCTGTTTGGTAACCAGGGCTATCTGACCGCTGACCCCAAAAACGTTGAAGCCATCCTCTCTACGAATTTTGAAGGTCTCCTCGTTGCTGATTTTGAAAAAGCACAAGCTTGAATCCAATAGACTGGGAGCTCGGGTCAAGGCGAGCAGGACTCTTTCCAATGCTGGGCGAAGGTATTTTCACCCAAGATAGACGGCCTTAGAAACATTCGAGGGAGCTTTTGCGTCGCCAATTCGTGCGGATTCACCGACAGGACTCTGAGGTCTTCGATGATCATGTGAAAGACTTGATCGCCAAGTTGAATTCAGAGAGCGGTGTCGTAGATCTCCAACCACATTTTCTGCGCTTCACCTTGGCAACCACGACGGCGCTGATCTTCGGGGAGCCTGTGATCTCTGTGCCAGGGGAAGAGACTGACGCCTTTGAGAAGTCATTTGATTATGCAAGCTACATCAGTGCGCTCAGACTTCGCCTTGCGGATTTCGAGTGGATATGGAAGTCTGCAAAATTTAGGGAGGCTTGCACTGTGATCAAAGACTTTGCGATGCATTTTGTGCAACTTGCCCTCAAAGAGATGGAGCAGAACGGCGAGGAGGCGGCTTCGGAGAAGTATGCTTTTATAATCGAGCTCTATAAGGAGATGCAGGACCCGGCGCTTGTGAGGGATCAACTGGTTCATGTGCTTATTGCCGGAAGAGACACAACGGCATGTCTGATGTCTTGGACATTCTTCCTTCTGGTGCGGCATCCTGAAGTTCTCGCAAAATTGCGGGCCGAAATCCAAGATGTCACGGGGGGATCATCAGATATGAGTCGAGCAATCATCAGCAAGATGAAGTATCTTCGCTGCGTGATCAATGAAGGTAAGGCTTTGAGCAAAAAGCTTCGTCTCGGACTTTTTCTAATCTGGCTCATGTCATTTCAGTTCAGCGATTATACCCTCAACTTCCCTTCAGCGTGCGAGTAGCTGCCAAAACCACAGTCCTCCCAAGTGGAGGGGGGCCACATGGAAAGTCGCCCGTGCTCATACCCAAGCATACGGGCATTGGGTACTCTGTGTATCATATGCACAGGCAAAAGAGCATATATGGCAATGATGCGGAAATCTTCCGGCGTGAAAGATGGCTGGGTCCAGAACTGGATAGCGTTGGCTGGGGTTTCATGCCCTTCCATGGAGGGCCCAGGATTTGCCTGGGTAGTAAGTGCAATTTCTTTCCCCCGATTCCCTGAGGCTCTTCCAGTAAGCTAACTTATTGTCAGAGGAATTCGCATTGACAGAAGCGTCGTATGCCATCATACGCATCATTCAAACCTTCCCAGGGCTCAAATTGCCAGCTGATATACCTGTTGTACCTACTGGAGAGGAAAAGCAGGCTATGACAATTGTGGTAATCAGTGCGGATGGATGTAAGGTCTCGCTCGGCTAGGGGTGCTCTATAGAGCAGTTCATACGTTGGAGTAGTGGTTGAAGCACCTTGGGATGACATTTTGAGCCGTATAAATCTCGGTCGGTGCCAAGGGAGCTCAACAAGCGTCTGTTGTATTTGCTTTCAGATAAGCATATATACCTTGATACTTATATCCATGGATCGAATGATTATCTTGAGGGATTTCCATCTCATCGAACGGTAAACCCGCCGTCAACTCTAATGTCTGCACCATTGATCATTCCACTGGAGTCCTGTGACAGTTCTTAGGGAAAATCGAATCAAGACCACCCACGGAACATACCTGACAAAGGAAGAGGACGGCATCTGCCACCTCCTCGGGCAGCGCAAACTTCCCAGTGGGAATATTCTCCAAGAAAGCATTCCGAATCTTTTCCTCTCCCCAGGCCTTCTTCCCAAGCTCTGTCCAAGCAACAGTCGGGGAAACCGTGTTAGCAGTAATACCCTTACCACCCCATTCAGAGGCCATACTGCGTGTCAAGCCTAAGAGTCCCGCCTTGGACGCACAATATGCTCCATGTCGGTGCAGTGCAGCATGTGCCGCTTGGGATGATATGCTCACGATTCGCCCGGGTGGAATAGATCTGGGGGATCCCTTTGCAAGGTTGGAGGCGGCCAAGTACATTCTTGCAAATGCCTGTGAGCAGAGCATTGGGCCGTAAATATTGGTCGTTAAGTGCTTGAGCGTCTCTTCTGGTGGTGTGATCTCCATGTCGCTCAGAGATACGTAACCGGCAGTGTTGATCAGCATGCTTGGGAAAGCAAGATCTGATGAGCCTAGCTCAAAGTTATTCTTCTCCAGCGCGGTGAATGCCGACTGTACAGAATCCGCGGATGTGATGTCGCATTCGTAAGTGCGAATGCCATCCAGGTCTCTGTCTGCGCCGTAGCCTGACTCAAGAAGTTGATCGCGACGGGAGGCTTCAAATGGAGCGTAGAGAATAGCCAAATCGGCCCCTTGTTGGCGTAGCTTCTTGCCTATGCTTGAGCCCAGGCCGCCTGTGGATAAGGAAGATTAGGTGGTCTGGTCAGGTGGAGTTATATATAGTGATTTCCTACCAAGGCCACCAGGAAGAATAGCTAGTCTCCGAGCGAACGCCATTGCAAAGACAACTAATTGATTGCAAGATCACAAAACAACAACAGTGTGTTGGATTGGAATATGCTGGAGATGAGACGCTGTGAGGGGAGTCTGCACGCATTCGGAAATGATCACCACGCTGCCCTTGACGTCAGACGCGCTTGGCAACACCATTTGCCCCCAAGGTTGTTATCCCATACTTAACATCTCGGCATCCTCCAGGGCTGACGGCTCATTTACAAAATTTCGACCATTCCCTTTGCCCTCAAGTAACAAAACTGGATCGGATTCACAAAACTCAATTGACGGACTCCCCGGCCAATCGGATTGAGCATGTCACCGGTGTCCACGGGTACAGTATGTATTTCTAAAGTTCCGGGACGTATCGGTCCGGGCCTCATTGCGAGCGCTCTGAGTTGTTGGTCGAGCTGTCAGTGCACTTGCTACGCGTTTACAAATCTACATGCAGATTGCTATGAGTGGCCAACTACGCACCGGAATCATGCTGCCACCCGAGACTTCCTGACAGTAACCCTTGCGGACAGCCCAGGCAAACTGCAGCGCTTTACCCTCCATGCAAGCGCCCTTCATGCGGCAAAGCTTGAAGCTTGCTGGGGAAAGAGCCAGCAGCCAAAAGGAAGCCTGGAATGAGACGATCACAACAGGGCTCACTCCATTCCACGGGGAGGCAGGAATGCAGCAAACCCAGTCAAGGAAGATTCGAGGTTCTTGACTCACCAGCCAATAGCAAACTGCATCTACAGCCCCCAAAGAGGCAGTCAGCAATATCTGCCCCGAGATGATCACGAGGCAGACACCACAAGGAGGAAGAGGTATAGAGCATGCATGTCCTTTCGCTGGTATTGTCCAGATCAAGTTTTAACGGTAATATCTCAGAACGAGGCTTGTACAATGGAAAAACCAAAGCACAAAGCCTCGAACACCCGTCATGCGTGCTGCACAAAAATACACTTACCTGAGACATCCCCATCAGGATGCCAAACCCCCCGTCTCTTTTGTTTTTTTATACAGCTTCCTGGTGGTCGCCATGACCCACCGGGAAGAGAGCTACCGCAAAGCTGCCTAATATCACCTAAACCGCGGCGGTGGAGGGCTCAAGCTTCTCCCCACGGCCGGTTTGGATGGTTTCGGTATCCGAATCGACGATCTTGAGGTGCGTGAACCAATCGTCGTTAGACTTGCGCCACCACTCAGCGATTGCAAGGATGGTGACACCACCCATGATAACAATCGCGTAGTTGAAAAGGCTAGAGTCTTGGTCGATCTCACTATTCGAGTATGTTGGGGCACAGAGAACGGCGAATGCGAATCCATTCCACAGGAATGTGACCACGGCAGCTGCCACACCAAAGCGGCCCATGTCCCAGAACCCAGGACGGAAAGACTTGCGCGTAATGAAAGCACGACCGATCCCAACCAGACCATACGCCGCGAGCGAGCCCGCAGCCGAGGTGGAGATGAGACTGGAGAAGGCGACCTGGGACGGCAATTGGGTACACAGCAGAAGCGCTGCAATGGTGGAAATGAAGATCACAGCGTTGTGAGGTTGCTTCGATTTCGAAACACGCGACAGCACATCGCTGAAAGGGAAAACTCCATCGCGGGCAACGGCGAAGACAAGTCGCGAGACAGCAACGAGAGAGATCGAGGTGTTGAGAATGGCTCCAATCATTGCGACAATAGTCGCAACCACATGAGCGTGGGGACCGAGCGCCATTGCGTACATATTGATAAAGGGCTGCGGCGCGGTGGTGCTGTAGAATGTCTCGATGGGGGGCATGCAAAACAGGAAAAGGATGATGATCGGGAAACCACACAGCGCAGACGCAACTGTGGCCCAGAAGATTCCCTTGGCAGCTGCCTTCTTGGCCGAAACGGTCTCCTCAGCGACGTGGCCCGATGCATCCTGTCCAACAAGACAACTGCCGACCATGAACCAGGAAAGAACCCAATTCAATCCGGAACTGGTATCACCGCCATTGTATTGGGATGTGAACACATACTCAGCCGACTGGAACCCGTATGTTCTCGACACGCCGATAGGTAACCAGATGAAGTTGAGCAGCATGTCGATGGTAATTACTGTGACCCCCGCGCGGAATACCCACGAATACATGCGCGGAGGCAGGAAGTTCAGCGATGTTGCAATTCCCAAGAAGAGAAGGGAAAATGCCCATGCCACCGCACGCGCGCGCACATCGGAGGTCTCATATGGGAAGCTAGTGTGCGGGTCGAAGACGACCACCTCCGAAATGAGATAGTTGGCAACACCGAACGAGTCACTAGCCAGGAAGGCAGTCCATGCAACCAGTGTCCACGCAGCAACCAGGAACGAGATGAAACGTCCCACTGAACCACCTCCCCAAGATCGGAATGCCCAATAGTAAATTGAACCCGCGGCAGGGTAGCTCGAGCACGCTTCGGCGAGACACGCGGCGGTGATCACGGACAGAATACTACCGGAGACCCAGGAGCTCCATCTGAGTCGGTTAGCTATTGATTTTCAAAAGTCCAGCAGCCGATATCCGGACCCCGAATACCGAGCCCCGACAATAATGCAGGATGTGTGTGCTTACATGGCAGCTGGTCCACCTCCACTGAGAGCAATGTAGAACAAGACACGGATGCCTCCAATGACATTGAGGGCCGAGAAGGAGCAGGCGAAGTTATCGAAGGATCCCCAGCTCCGCGCCAACACGGAGCGATAGCCAAGCTTCAGCAGGTCGAGATCATCTTCATTAGTCACAGAAACTGCGGAGTCTTGATCTTGGTGTTCGGCACTCCGGACGTCTTGGCTCTTGGCTTCGTTGGCTTGACTATTGGATGCCATGGTCGCTGTGAGCTGTCACTTGAAAGGTTCAAATCACCCGACTAACAGATTCTTTTTGCCGGTTGCTTTTTTTTTTTTGCTTCAATTCAATTTTTTTCCCGAAATTAACTTTTTCCCTTCCTATCGCGGTATCACGTGGGGCGATCACTATGCTCCAACACCGAGACCGGGATGTTTTGACTCATAACGGAAATTACTAGAAAGAACAAGAATAGAATTATATTGTTACTGTACAGTCTGAGGATTTTGTGCTCCACGAAGAAATACAATTGGAGACAATTGATGCCACCTGGCCATATTCCCAGGGCTTGCATGCATGTACATACGGTGTGCTGTGTGATCTGTACTCGCGTTTACTTTATACGAGTCCAAACGCGAAGTGGCGGGGTCAAATTGACGTTGCCCCGTGCTCCCATCAGGGTTCCACGTCTTGCTCATTTTTAAGGACAATTGACCGCTCATTGATAGACCAGAACAGTTGACGTGTACAGATTATTAGGAGTAGTGTCACAGAGCTAGTTCATTCTGCAGAGTACAGTAGTTCTATGCTAATAGTGACAGATTCTTATCGAATGTAAATGGCGTGATCGTCCTTAGGGGGCCCGATCCCGGAGATTGTGGGACCTATTGGCCGCCGAGTGATACACTGTCAGAACAGTAACTTACATGATCGCCATATAATCACCTATCTGATTGGCTGGAGAAGAAGCAACCCCAGGTATACACAGGTACGAATATGTATCAAAGTGGTATCCAGCAGGTTCCAGACAACACTCCGTACCTCCTGCCCCTCCAACATCGTATTGCCCCTTTGGGATTAGCGTTTGACTTCCCCTCCATTTTTCTTCGAGCGTTTCCCTCCTTTCTCTTCTCTTCTTCTATTCTCTCTCTCAAAGGCTTGGATTTGTGAAAATTCTACCCTTGAGAACTCCTATCCTCTTTTCCTCTCTTTACACACATCTATCAGAATGGTTCAATCATCTGTTCTGGGTTTCCCCCGTATGGGTAAGCTCCGTGACCTGAAGAAGGCCACCGAAGCTTACTGGGGCGGAAAGATCTCCCGTGATGAGCTCCTCGCTGAGGGCAAGCGTCTCCGTCTGGAGCACTGGAAGATCCAGCAGGATGCCGGTGTCGATGTTATCCCCAGCAACGACTTCGCTTTCTACGATCAGGTCCTCGACCACCACCAGCTCTTCGGTACCATCCCCGAGCGTTACTCCAAGTACAACCTCCACGCTCTGGATGAGTACTTCGCCATGGGCCGTGGTCTCCAGAAGCCCGCTGAGGGCATTGATGTCCCCGCCCTCGAGATGGTGAAGTGGTTCGACTCTAACTACCACTACGTCAAGCCCACCCTCCAGAACAACCAGCAGTACAAGCTTGCCGCTGAGCCCAAGCCCGTTGCTGAGTTCCTCGAGGCCAAGGCCGCTGGCATCGTCACCCGCCCCGTCATTCTGGGTCCCGTCTCTTTCCTGACCCTCGCCAAGGCCGACCGTGGCGAGACCGTCGAGCCTATCTCCCAGCTCGATCAGCTCCTTCCCCTCTACGCTGAGCTCCTTAAGCAGCTCAAGGCCGCCGGTGCTGAGGACGTTCAGATCGATGAGCCCGTCCTCGTCTTCGACCTTGCTGAGAAGAACAAGGCTGCCTTCAAGCCCGCCTACGAGAAGCTTGGCAGCCTCGGCGCCAGCGCTCCCCGCATTACTCTCGCCACCTACTTCGGTGACATTGTCCACAACATTGATGTCCTCGGCAACCTCAAGAGCCTCCACTCCATCCACGTCGACCTCGTCCGTAACCCCGAGCAGCTCGACACCGTTGTCGCCGCTCTTGGCCCCAACCAGGTCCTCTCCGCTGGTGTTGTTGACGGTCGTAACATCTGGAAGACCAACTTCAAGGCCGCCATCGAGAAGGTCGAGAACGCCATTCAGAAGCTCGGCAAGGAGCGTGTCATTGTTGCCACCTCCAGCTCTCTTCTCCACGTCCCCCACACCCTCGCCAGCGAGAAGACCCTCGATGCTGAGGTCCGTGACTGGTTCTCTTTCGCCGTCGAGAAGGCCACTGAGGTCGCTGTGATCGCCAAGGCTGTCACCGAGGGCCCCGCCGCTGTCCGTGAGCAGCTTGAGGCCAACGCCAAGTCCGTCCAGGCCCGTGCCTCCTCTGCCCGCACCAACGACCCCGCTGTCAAGGCCCGCCAGGCCGCTGTCACTGCCGACATGCACAACCGTCGCTCCGAGTTCACTCAGCGTCTTGCCGAGCAGACCAAGACTCTCAAGCTTCCCCTCTTCCCCACCACCACCATCGGTTCCTTCCCCCAGACTAAGGAGATCCGTATCCAGCGCAACAAGTTCACCAAGGGTGAGATCACCCCCGAGGAGTACGAGAAGTTTATCGAGAAGGAGATCCGCGACGTTGTCAAGATCCAGGAGGAGCTTGACCTCGATGTCTTCGTCCACGGTGAGCCCGAGCGTAACGACATGGTTCAGTACTTCGGTGAGCGTCTCACCGGTTACGTCTTCACCACCCACGCCTGGGTTCAGTCTTACGGATCTCGTTGCGTGCGTCCCCCCATCATTGTCGGTGATGTCTCTCGCCCCGCTGCTATGACCGTCAAGGAGTCCAAGTACGCCGCTTCCGTCTCCCCCAAGCCCATGAAGGGCATGCTCACTGGTCCCATCACCTGTCTCCGCTGGTCTTTCCCCCGTGACGATGTCCACCAGTCCGTCCAGGCTCAGCAGCTCGCTCTCGCCATCCGTGACGAGGTTGTTGACCTTGAGGCCGCTGGTATCCAGGTCATCCAGGTCGATGAGCCTGCTCTCCGTGAGGGTCTGCCCCTCCGCACTGGCTCCGAGCGCGTTGCCTACCTCAAGTGGGCCGTCGACTCCTTCAAGCTGTCCACCGCCGGTGTCACCGACGGTACTCAGATCCACTCTCACTTCTGTTACTCTGAGTTCCAGGACTTCTTCCACGCCATTGCCGCTCTCGATGCCGATGTCCTCTCCATTGAGAACTCCAAGTCCGATGCCAAGCTGCTCCGCGTCTTCGTTGACGAGAAGTACCCCCGCCACATCGGCCCTGGTGTCTACGACATCCACTCTCCCCGTATCCCCTCGGAGGAGGAGATCAAGGTCCGCATTGAGGAGATGCTGCAGTACCTCACCCCTGCTCAGCTCAACATCAACCCCGACTGTGGTCTGAAGACCCGTGGCTGGGAGGAGACCAAGGCCGCCCTGACCAACATGGTCAACGCTGCCAAGTTCTTCCGTGCGAAGTACGCGCAGTAAATGCATTCAACTTACATTAATTATAATGAGGAGGTGGCAATCAACCTGTCACCTCAAGGATTGAGGAGTTCTGTTTTCTGATGAGTTACGACGATGATACCAAAAGTTCAACATATGGGTTTCAACGGGTTTTCTAGAGGATACCAAAAGCGGGCCTGGAGTTTCAACATGAATGACGATTTCAAATCGGCAAACTTGCACCGCGGCCTACTGTCGCTGTGGTGCTTGTTGCTGGTTTTACTATTTCAACATTGTGTGGTTTACCACATGTGCGAGGTTTACAACCTTGCTTGACTGGATTTGCATTGTCAAATTGGGTCGCCTGTTTCTATGATCGTATAGAAGCAGCTGTCAATATTATTCTTCCACAATATTTTTACTGTCCTTCTGTAGTCATTCTAAAGTTGTCTTTTGGTAGTACTAGCCACGGTATCTTAAACCATCCTGGCAGTGTGTGGTGTATATCCGTAGCTTGGCTTGCACTTAAGCGGTCGAAAAAGCTGTTTCCAGGAAACAAATATTCTTCATCTCACAAAAGCGATACATTTGCGCGATGGGACCTCGTTGGCACAGCATAACTGCTAGCCCCACGGTGACTCCGGATCGTGCCAAGATGTCGGTTAGTTGTCTTACTCGTAGCTGAAATTGAATCTGATTTTCTATCTCATTTCCAGCCCTTTATATAAACCCAGTCGACGATCTTTCTCCCACCAACATCATCGTTATCTACACAGCCCATCAAAATGGGAGAGTCATCTACCCCAAACCCGCTGCGAATCGGCACCCGGCGATCTAAATTGGCTATTGTCCAGGCCGAGAGTATCCGCGATCGAATCAAGAGGACCAATTCCAGCATGTCCATCGAGATTGAAACTCTCCATACAGCCGGCGACCGAGACAAAGTGACAGCGCTTCCCGAAATGAACGCCAAGAGCCTCTGGACGACAGAACTAGAGGAAAAGCTCACTTCCGGTGAATTGGACGTTATCGTGCATTGCCTGAAAGGTGAAATGATTCGCCTCCCACCCTCATCCTCCAACCATAGCTAATCGAGTCAGATATGCCAACGACAATCCCAGAGACGTGTGAGATAACAGCAATCCCGCCACGAGATGACCCGCGCGATGCTCTTATTGTACAGTCTGGCCTGCCGTATCAAACTTTGAAAGATCTTCCCGAGGGTGCCGTTGTAGGTACATCTTCCGTTCGACGCTCGGCTCAGCTTCGTCGGTTGTACCCCCATCTTCGGTTTGCGAACCTGCGCGGGAACGTGGAAACTCGTTTAGCGAAGGTTGATAACCCAGACAGTGAATATACTTGTATGATCATGTCTGCGGCTGGCCTTGAGCGGTTGGGTTTGAGTCCCCGTATCAACCAGTATTTGGGTTCCAAAGATGGAGGCATCTTCCATGCTGTTGGACAAGGAGCTCTTGGTTTAGAGATTCGGAAGGGTGATGTGGAAATGCGGAAGCTGCTTGAGCAGCTAGGTGATCGGAAATCGACTCTTGCTTGTCTTGCAGAGCGGGAGCTTCTGAGGACACTGGAAGGTGGCTGTAGTGTTCCTATTGGCGTTGAAACTGAGTGGGTACAGGCCGACGAGTTGAAAATGGCTGCTATTGTTGTTAGTCTGGATGGCTCGGAGAGTGTCGAAGATAAGATCGTGACTAGGATTGGGACTGTTGATGAAGCAGTGACACTTGGTAAAGACATGGCGGCGCGATTGATTAGTGCCGGCGCGGAGGCGATTCTCAAGGCCATCACCACGAATCGTCCATCCAAAGAATGATCAAACATTGAGTTAGTATGCCGATTTACCTGGCATGAGTTCGCACAAGACGCGTAAGTCTGAACTGATTCACAAAATGTTGCTTTCTCTTCACAATACGACTATGTTGAACACTTCATTCCCCCGGTGCAGCTACACTGTCACCCAATTTCTATAAATCCACCTCAAACGTGAGACCTAAGCCACCACCCAAGCTCGACGCCCAATTTCCCTTCTTGGTCATACATGACCAAATGTCCCGCTTTTTGAATATAAACCACACGCTGAGCATTCAACTTGGTCTTCAACCGTTCCGCCGTTTCCACCGGAATCCATTGATCCTCGGTTCCCCAAATAATCTGCACTGGCATTTCCTTCCCCACTGCGTGGTATCTATCTTCAACCTCCACAGTACTGCGGCTGTTGGCTTGAACCATTTGTCGAACAAAACCCTTTCTGCCTGTGTTAGTGTGCACCCAAGGATATTTGAGCAATTCCATTGTCTCCTTGCTCAGTTCTTTGAATGCAGCATCTCGAATGTATGCTTCAACGACGCCCTCAAACACCGGCCCAGTCAACGCAGTAAATACCCCTTCGTTTTCCGCGACCAGTTTGAACAAAGGCTGACCGAATGGCCCGATTGCAACCACATTTATCAGGCATAGACTTGCAAAATCACAACCGTGTAGAAGATGAGCACGCAAACTCATCAAGCCACCATGATCATGGGCAATCACATGGGCCTTCACTTGCTGTGGCCAATCCTTTGCCCAAAAATTGTAAATGGCGGCAAAAACCTCACTCTGTTGAGAAAGATCTGCATCAAGTGCAACCGTTCGGTTTGATTCGTCGTCTTTCTCTGTGGTGGGCAAGGGTTGACCGAGGGGACTTTCGCCGAAGCCGGGATTGTCGAAGAGGTAGATGTGGAAATAGCTCGCAAGTGACTCGGCCAGGCTATGCCAGACTTTTGATGACCACGGAGTACCATGCACAAAGATCAACGGTGGTAAGCTGGGCTCTCCGAGTGATGCCCAACGGATCTGGTAGGCGTGGGTGGAGGTAGAATGGTGAAAGGTTTGTGTCAATTTGAGAGTAGCCGGCTCAGACATCATGCGAAAGAATTTTCACAAAATCAAGACAGAAGAGACTGGTGTACGACAGAAATTGGCGTGGTGGAATTTCGCGCTTCTTATGTCCGCCCTGCTTTCAAGTACCTGGGCATTGATGGCTTCTCATTGGTCAGTTTTAGAGCAATGTCTGAGCGAAGGGTCCTATCGCAGCAAAGCGTCATCATGCAATCAGGATATAATGGATTGGCAAAATTATAGAGCTTTGATACTCGGGAAGAAGGGGAAAAGGGATAATCGGGGGCCCGCGTAGGACCTGACGTGGGAAGACACATGTCCAAGCGGGTTCGGTCAGATAATTCCGGTTCAACAATGTAGCTGATCAAAAACATATGGCTGTTTCGGTTAACTATTCTCTATTCAATACAACCTTGGAAGGTATTGTAAATTGCAGCTGGAATATAATTGGCTCAATGTATTTGTAGAGAGGCTGAGATACATGAATGTGGTGAGAGATGCTCAATGGGAAGGGAGTTCTATGCCCAGGTGTTGAGATCTGATGTGTGACCTTTTTTCATCGAGCTCTGAAGCTCTCAACTCCTTTCTCTTCTACTTCCTCTCTTTCTTCTTCTCATACCCAGTGTCTCATTCTCAGCCGGACACATCTCATTATCTCTTGAGGAGCTTGTGGCTCTGCCAAATCGAATGCCTGAGAATCAAGACGACCAGCACTTAAACCAAAATTAGTACTCAACTAATTCTTACTCGAAGTAAGTCACTTTTCTCAACAGTTCCTCCTTGGTCGCTTGACCTGAGCGGTCTGATCCACACATCCGAGAGACTCTGGTCGTGACCTTTTGATGCCCATATCTTTGTCCTTAAGCTTAAACCCACACAGTGTCGAGTCTGCAATATGGCGTCTGAATCGCAAAGTCAACCTCCCGAGCTTCCCATCTCAACACCCTCCCATCCAATCAACCCGATCCATCCTGTCGAGCGACGCTTCGACTGTAAGATGGTCATTGCAGACAGGGAAACACCAGAAAAGAGAATGTGCATCCAAGGCTTTGCAGAGCTCTTGTTTGATGATCATCCTCGGCCCCATATCATCTTCACCTTGAAGGATCACCGGCTCGAAGTGAACTTATCGCAAACATACTGCTTGATTGCTGTCAGGAAGTTTGACCACGTGGATATTACCGAGGCGAGAAGTGTCGATATTGGAACAAAAGACAGCCTGCTCGTTTTCGATACCATTCCTATCCAACAGCTAAGTCTTCATTCCCATGGACCCTGCCCACTCGGACCGGAAACCAACGAGCTCTACTATGACCTGATCAGGATGAAATGGGTAGACCAAAGCGTCACTATCCAGGCCTCTCTGGACGTGGTATTGGGTTGCATCTCTTCCAGAGCCCAATGTTGGATCCAGGATAACTTGTGCCAGCTATCTCATGGTGCAATGGATGTTTCGAAGAGTAACAGACGAGACCGACGCTCACTGTCACCCCGCAGTCACAGCTCGCCCCCCAAAAGATCCCGCTGGCCAGTAGCGCGTACTGCTTCGAGGGCTAGATCTGTCAGAAATTTGGACCGCGAGATGTTTCGGCAGATGTCAAGCTTGAACATTGCTGCCTCGCAACCTCCATCCACACGTACCGTCGCGGGGATTCGAAAAAGGCGCCCTGGTATCAGCGCAAGGCGAGCTTTCAAATCTCGTCAGAATGAGCTCTTGCAACAGATGTCTAGCCTCAATATTGCCGACGCCGAAGAAGGGACTTCGCGATCGGAACCCGCGGAAAATTCGCCACCATCGAGTAATCTTGATTGAAGCCACGCAACGAATGGTAAACTCGAACAAATTCTTGTTGAGAACCAACCCTAAAAGGTCATGGAAAGGAATTAGGACTGCTGGCGCACATACCTTAGACTGGAGACAGTGATCGGTCAGATTTAAAAAGACAGATAGCGTCTCTTTCAAACCATGAATCTAAGTTGAAACATCTCGATGCGTCAGACAAAGTCGAGATCCACTAGTGATATACGGACGCGAATGAATTTACGGCCCAAACCTCCCAGTTCATCACAAATGCACGCAAATCTGTCTAACGGAAAATCCAAGAATTCACAAATGTTTTCATTGGTATCCAATCCAGGTGCCCGGAATCAACATTGGGTCACAAAGAGCTGGTAAATGTTACATGAATCAGAATAGTCTATCCTTAACTCCGAGTAAGTTGCCGCATTAAAGCTGCTTTTTGATAATGTCGGCCGCACGCTCAGCAACCGCGTAGATAGTACTCTGCAGATGACCACAGACCTGGAATGGCACGACAGAAGCATCAACAACGCGGACATTCGAGGTTCCATACACCTTGAGTGAAGTGTCCACAACTCCACCCACTTCCTTGGGCAACATGGCGGTTGTGCTGATCGGGTGGAAGTTTGAGCGATCTAATAAAATGTCAGCAATCGATTTTGTGTCCAATAGAATTGGGATACGTACAGTTCTGCTTGATGAAGTCGGACCATCCCTCATCACCAGCGGTGGCAGCGACAGTAGAAAGACCAGGGCTAGTCTCGGCTCCACTCATACTAGCAAAGGGCTCGGTCTTGAAGATTTCACGAATGAAGCGTGCAGCCTCAACCTGCGCATGCAGGTCAAAGTCCAACATGAAGTACTTGGGGTCGATGGTAGCCGCAACTGTGGGATCAGCGGAAGAAAGATGAACGTTTCCACGAGAGAAGGGAACAGAGCCCCAGTATTCAGTGTCGTATGTGGTTCCAGAGGGCTCGAGGAGGATCTCGGCGACCGGGATACCGGCCTTGAAGATGAGGTCCCACTGGATCTTGAAGAAGCGCTGCAGATCACGGGCCTTGGTGATGTTACCGTTTGCAGAGGCAACCTTGGCTGCGTAAGCGGGAAGCTTGCGGAGGAGCTCATTTCCGACAGCAGTGTGGTTGGAGAAGAGCTGAGCGGCTGAGGGATAGGAGACGTAGTCGGCACTCATGTTGTAGCTAGTCTTTGCGTCAAACTGGAGCCCGTTGTTCATTTGGTCCTGGAGGTTCTCTCCGACGGTAGGAATGTTGAGCTTGGTCTCGATGCCGTACTTGGAGAGAATGCTGTTGAGAGAAGAAGAATTAGCAATGTGTTCTCATCTGTGGGACGAGTGAAGATTCTTACTCCGGATTTCCAACACCAGAAAGCTCAAGCAAGACTGGGGATTTCAGTGCGCCTGCAGCAAGAATCACTTCACGAGAAGCCTTGACGACAGTGGTGGTGCCATTGGAGAGTGTCACTTCGACGCCATCAGCAGTGACATCTTTTCCATCCTTCCAAGTGAGCTTATTGGCGTGGGTGTTGAGCCAAACATGAAGGTTGGTCCGGTTCTGGTAGGGGTAGTAATAAGCGCGGGCGGCATCCTCGCGAATGTTCAACTCAGAGTCCACGGTCTTAGGGTAGAGACTGTATCCAATCATATCTCCACCGTTGGGGTCCTTGTTGAACTGAACAGGAACGTCCAGGTTCTGGTATGTGGTGTTCATCTTCTGCGCAAGGCCATCGTTCAGCTGAGTTGAAGACCAGCCGACCTTCAAGGGACCATCGAAGCCATGGTAGGCCGGGTCATATGTGACACCAGATCCATCGAGGAACGAATATTTTTCGGGGCTCTGGAACTGCTCGCCCTTCTTAAAGTAAGGGAAGAGGTTTTTCCAGTTCCAACCCTCGTTGCCGGCGGCCTCCCAGGCGTCAATCTGCGCAGTCTGGGCGCGAAGGTAAACCATGCCGTTGATGGTGGACGTTCCACCCAGTGCCTTTCCAGCACGCACTGTTTGTGAAATTCCTCCACCATATTCTTGATCCGTCGTCTTGTAGGCCCAGTCGATTTCGGTGCCAAATGCCTTGCCATATCCAAGGGTGTCGGTCACATTTGGGTTGCTATACACGGAGCCACCAGCTTCAATGACGAGGACGTTGATGTTCTCTTGCTCGGAGAGTCGGTTTGCCACCACAAGACCACTGGTTCCACCTCCAACAACGATATAGTCATAGTTGGAGTCTGAGCGGTGGGTTGCATGGGGGACGGCCGCTGCTAATGGAAGCAGTGCCAGGCTGATGAGGCTGCGCATAGTGGGTGTAAATTGATACAGAAGTGAACACAGGAAGAAATCGCTATCACGGCTCTGATTGCTAGAGATGTTCTCTTGACGCTACATAGCTTACTTTATACTTTCCAAATTATGATACAAGATGTGATTTCCAATCATCACGATCCACCTTCACTGCCAAAAAACCTAATGAAAACTTGGGTCAGACCAATCTATTCCCAAAAGGTGAAATGCGTGACGGCGAGTCACGGAAGAGGGTACATATCTCGAGGTATACAGTGAGCACGCTATAACTAGATCCACTTTGGGTTGCGGTTTCATCAAGATATTAACAGCAGACACCAGTCATTCCGAATATCGGATGGGAAAGCCAAGGTTCTCAACGGAGTATTCTAACTGAAAGGAAGACACAATATTCCTGAGGTGGATCAAAAAAGAGATATTGCAGCCTCTTGACAATCGCACCCTGAATATGTGGATCCACTATAGACCTTACTCATCTTTAGTCAGTAGCTACAAATCTTCATGAGACAGACTCGGGCTGAGTGATGGCATGCCGATCATTGTCGGGACGGGAACCCTTGCCGGTGTCCCGATTCTCTACATGTGGCTTACCTTAAATGCAGGGGGAACCGGACTCCGTGTTTCACCGGCTCCCAAAAGGGGGCCTTTGTTTGAGCTGTCAGCGATATACCCGCGACAGGCTGTGCATCGCCAAGAACTTTGGAAATCAAGTGAACTTTGTCCTGCAGATTCTCAGGCCCGCATTGGTATTCGGCCCCGGCGGATTTGATTTAATTTAGTAAATTCTCTCCGAACACTCTAGACTTTTGGGAAGTTTTTAATTTCGTTTTTTAAGAAACCTTTTTTTCTTCTCGAGCATTTCCGATCAGATAAGATAAGATCAATTCATGTACAGCCGATGGCTGGCGCCACTCGGGAAAAAAACGTCTGGAGATCAACGGTGACCGATGCTTGGGATCTGCGGGCTATTTAATCTCCCGAAGTCTCACTACTCGTAGAAGCTTGTTTGGCGGCCTGAACGCAGGGTCATGCCATTCGCTCTTCAACCTATCCTTTGTCAGGTGAGCTTCACTTAACTTTCTGATCCGCTGGCGAGATCTGCAGTTCTTCCTAAATTGTGGAAACAAGTTTGATACAATGCGGTAATCTTTTACACACAAGGTATCTACGTCACTTCCAAGGTTTTCATAACTGAGGGTCGTCTTCGACTCGCAAGCGAAGACGCCCCTCTATACAAGAGACCGACGAAAGTCGGTACAGACTTCAAACAAGTGCTGATTCCAGGGAGCACATCCTAATTGCTATATGGGAAAGAGCTGGGCCCGAACCACCATTAAATTTGCGTCTCACACGATTCTATATACACGAACGAATTTCATTTAAAAAGATGACCACAGTGCAAAAATGTGATAGAAGGTAGAAGGGGTATCTAGAACCGTATGTGCTCTAGTTTTGCTGCCCCGAGCCCATGAAGCCGCCAATTTTCAAGACATCACCGATTGGGATCTGAGGAAATCGTTCTATAAAACCCGTGTTCCTACTCATTGGTATTCCCTCAGCTGATTGGCTGTCTCTAACTCCCTGGTTCAGCTGGTGAGATGGTCGTGTAGCGGGCGCGGGCGCCGTGCATATCTATTTATCTTAGCAAACGAACCCAGTCATTGTTGAGTCAAAAGTCTGATATACCTTCTCAGTGCGTGTATTCTGGGCAATCATCAAGCCAATCTTCGTGTCGAACATCGTGAACAGGTACGTGGAGTAGAGTCGAATGAGGTATGGTGATATTCTGTTGGTAGCCTCGTGGAAACGCGGAGCCCGGTGCTTTCAAATATAGATAAACCTAGGAACTGTTCAATATGCCCGGGGACGCATTTGAGCATGACGAAGGATAGACAACTCATGATACTAGATCTGTTTGCCGACAATAACATCATAGCAGTGGCCAAAATTTAGTGGCAGCAGTTCACATTCACGCAGTACAGAGTATAGTGTGTGTAGATCAGGATCAGATCTTCTAAAGTTCACATGTTGGGGCCACATGTTGGATTATTCAGCGGAGATGGAATTCTTGGTTATTGAAGAGAACGAGTACCCATAAGGTAGGATAAAATACACTCACAGTATCAATTACGATATTCAGACTAGTATTTTGCCGAACCGCCCGGCCCCATCTGATAAGATGGACGATCAAAGCTTAGCCGCGCATGGCGATCTTAATTCCGCCCACAGGTTATTCTCCTTTAGGAATGTCGGAAGATTCGCTTTCTTGCGTCATTAGATGGCGGTTATCCTTACACTTTTATTTCGAATTGCGCTCATGTTCAATTCGGCGATTCTGCGCAGATCAGACCAGCGGGTTTGAGCTCCTTAGCCACAACTTTGGAACAGTTGACTTGTAATCTGTGAATGTGTTTATCTTTTTATTGTGTTAAATTTGTTTTCAGAATTTAATTTACAAAGAAATTATTTCTCGAATATGGAGTATTGTGTACAGAGTAAAGTTTGGAGCGACGCCTAATAAGATAAAACTGTAGGGGTTGGGCCGTGTACCGTCAGTTGACCCCTGTATGTATAGAAAAGATTAAAAGTAGTGGGTCTGGCTGCGTAGCTGGTTAGAGGAGTCTCGGTGGAGCTTGAGTTGGATGAGTTGACACCTTCACATTTCGACTTCCATCCTTTTTTTCTCTTCGCTTTCACTTGAGCACGAAAGAATATCAAAAATGGCCATATTTCAGTTGGCCAACGGTGATGGCGGGAGTACCGCAAGCGTTACCTCAATGGACGCTCTCATCATTGGCACTGGACCAGCGGGCGCAGCTTTGGCCGCCTTTCTCGCAAACTACGGTATGTTTGGCCGGACCGATGCTTCTCGCGTGGAGGGTGGAAATGTACTAACCTCTCGAAGGAATTCGAGGTGCTATGATCAGCTCATGCCCTACAAACGCAGATACACCAAGGGCTCATATCACGAACATGGCAGCAATGGGTGAGTTATGCGCTCGCAAGTCATCTTTGAACTGTGTCCTCACAAATTACGACATAGAGTGTCTTCGCGACTTCGGTCTAGAAGCAGAATGCAACCGCCTTGCCACAAATGGAATCAACATGATGCATACGCGATGGGCGTACAGCATGGCAGGTGAAGAGTACGCCCGAATCCACTCTTGGGGACACGATCCAAAGAGGAAGGTGAATGTTTTCGATTCTGATGAAGACAGCACATATCTGATGTCGACTTCTAGGGCGACTACGAAACTGCGAGTCCCTGCGACCCCGTCGACCTTCCCCAAACCCTCCTCGAACCGATCCTCGTTCGAAATGCAACACTCAACGGCTTCAGCTGTCGATTTGATACTACATTTGTCAACTTCACAGAAGACAAAGACGGCGTGTTGTCAACGCTAAAAGATAATATCTCGGGCGCGCTATACCAGATCCACTCCAAGTACTTGTTTGGCGCGGATGGTGCTCGCAGTGAAGTCTTCCGTCAATTGGAGCTCCCACTGGATGTGCGACCTGACCAGGGGGTTGCGTACAATGTACATCTCAAGGCAGATCTCTCCAGCTATATGCAATACCGCACTGGCAATCTGCACTGGCTATTGCAGCCAGACAGGGAGCATCCTCTTTTCGGTTGGGCATGCATAGCCAGAATGGTCAAACCATGGAATGAATGGCTATTCATTGTGCTTCCCGAGCGAGGGAAAGAATTGACAATCACTCCTACAAATGAGGAGTGGGAGAAACGAATGAAGGAGTTTATCGGAGATGATTCAATCCCCACCGATATCCTAGGCGTCTCCAAGTGGCGAATCAACGACGTGGTCGCAGAGAAGTTTTCCAAGGGCAGAGTGTAAGGTATTGTGCTTCCATCATTTGAGCTGAGTTAATATAATCCTAGATTCTGTCTGGGTGATGCTGTTCATCGTCACCCACCATCGAATGGTCTTGGCTCCAACACATGCATCCAAGATGCCTACAATTTAGCATGGAAGGTTGCTCACGTTCTGAAGGGTTAGCTAACTTGCCCGGTCGGATGGAGAATCAAGATTAATGTGGCTCTTAGGACACGCATCCCCTTCTATCCTTGAGACATACTCAGAGGAGCGCCAACCTGTCGGCCGCGCTGTGGTCACTCGCGCGAACTCGTCATTCCGCCATCACGGTCCTGTATGGGAAGCCCTTGGCGTGACTCTACCAACACCAGAACTGAGGGTAGAAGCTTTGAATGAACTCACGCTGCCTACCGAGCAAGGGCGTGCTCGCCGCAGTAGACTCCAAGCGGCCATCGAGGAGACGGAGCACGAGTACCATGCTCTTGGTACAGAAATGGGCCAACATTACCAAAGTTCTGCGGTATATACCGCGGACGAAAAGGAGTCATTCTATACACCGGAGGTTGTCGCCAAAGACGCTGATCTTTGTTTGACTCGGAGCACATACCCCGGTTGTCGCCTGCCACATGTGTGGCTCAATGCCGCCGTTCCAGTTCAACGTGTCTCTAGCATTGATTTGGCTGGACATGGATTATTCACCATTCTGACCGGTATTGGAGGCCAGGCTTGGAAAACTGCTGCTGACCAGGTAGGAACTGGTCTTGGGATGAATATCAAGACATATTCTATTGGTTTTAGACAAGACTATGAAGATGTCTACTTTGACTGGGCCCGTGTGCGGGGCGTGGATGAGACTGGATGTGTTCTTGTCCGCCCTGATCGATTTGTTGCCTGGAGATGCGATACAGTGATTGGCGATGCGACTCAATGTGCTTCAAAGTTACGGGAGATTATGGTCAGTATATTGGGGCGGCGATAGGCACGCCAATGTGATTTATCATACTCTGTATTCAGGTGTGGTCAGATTCTGAATGAGCTATCCGATATCCTGTACAACGAGATACAACACCTGTACTTAAGTAACACGTAGATGGGTACTCCGTACTCCGTAATGTTTTTCTCTCAGGTCGCCTGAAATATAAACGTACCTTTCAAAAGGTATAGACAAAAGTGCTCCGTATACAACTTTAGAAGATATCACTTTGTCTGAACACTGATCTTCTGCACGGGAACGCTAGAACGCCGACGGCGACACCGCTCGAAATGATTGGCTGAAATTCGGCGGAGGTGGATCACCGGGGGGTCGTATATCCGAGGTTTCGGATAAACATTTGACGTCTGAGATTCTTCATTCTCTAACTCAGTTCGAAGCGTTGCGCTCGGTTCTCTTCACTAACTGGGTGCAGTTCCTTCTGATTCAGATCAGTTAGATGAGAGCCCCCTTGTTACAGGGGTGCCCGCGATTCTAGAGTTGACCTACTGTCTACTCCGTACTCCGACTCAAAATGCCGGTGGGTCAGCCTGAAATCCAGACCCACAAAAGGGTGTTCAATTCGCTTTTTTACAGGGCAAACAAACAAGCAACGGAACGATAATTTTCATCTATCTCCACAATGGACCACAATTTTGCGCTGACGGCACAGGCGCCTCGCCTCCTAAAACAGGAGATGAGGCGGTAAACTACCTTTGGCAACGATTTCTTTCGCACCTCTCGTTGTGAAGTCGAAGGATAGGCGCGAAGGAAAACACTCGAATTACCATGGAGGACAAAGATCTGAAGCCGGTTGAATCGGCGCAGTCGCTCGCTGCGGCCTTTACACCTATACAAGAAGTCCTCTTCGTCGCTGTAGTCTGCATGGGTCAATTCATGACCCAAACCAATATCGGAGTATGCCTATCACCACTCGACATTGTCGGCGATAGCTTTGGTATCACAGATCCTGGAATTCTGAGCTGGTTCATGGCTGGATACTCACTCACCGTGGGAACATTCATCCTGGTATCTGGCCGGTGTGGTGATCTTTTCGGATACCGTCTAATGTTCATCTCGGGATTCTGCTGGCTTTCACTCTGGTCCCTTGTCGCCGGACTCAGCGTATACTCGAACCATATTTTGTTCATATTTGCCCGGGTTCTTCAAGGACTAGGCGGTGCGATGCTGTTGCCAAATGCCCTGGCTCTCCTCGGAGCAACCTACCAACCGGGGAAGCGGAAGAACATGATATTCGCCATCTTTGGTGCTGCTGCCCCCAACAGTGCCCTGTTAGGAACTGTCTTCGGTGCGCTTTTTTCTCAATTGGCTTGGTGGCCTTGGACATATTGGTCACAGGCTCTCGTCTCCCTCGCTTGCGCCGCTCTGGGCCTGATGGTCATTCCATCCATTCACCACAATACTCATTATGAGAAATCCCTGCTGGGTTTGCTCAAGGCCATCGACGCGCTTGGTGGAACTTGTGGAATCGGCGGACTTGTTCTTATAAACATAGCATGGAACCAAGCACCCATTGCGGGCTGGAGCGAGCCCTATGTTTATGTGATACTGATCATCGGCATTCTCCTCATTGCTGCATTCTTCTATGTGGAGTTCCGTGTGGCTGAACACCCCCTTATCCCATTCCACGCTTTCAGTCGCGACGTTTCCTTCGTCCTTGGCTGTGTAGCCTGCGGTTGGGGCTCTTTCGGAATCTGGGTGTACTACTTCTGGCGTTTCCAAGAAAAGTTCCGCCATGCGACACCTCTCCTGGCATCTGCCGAGTTTGTCCCTGTTGGTCCGATGGGGATTATTGCATGTGTTGTTACCGGATGGTTGATGGGCCGCATGCGCCCAGGGTGGATCATGGTTCTGTCAATGTGTGCCTTCACACTGGGCAATGTTCTGATCGCAATCGCGCCAGTGCACCAAACCTATTGGGCGTTGACATTCGTTTGCCTGTTGGTGATTCCATGGGGCATGGATATGTCCTTCCCTGCGGCTAGTCTTATGCTTTCAAACTCGGTTGAGCGAAAGCACCAAGGTGTCGGCGCATCCTTGGTGACCACCATCGTCAACTACAGCGTTTCACTTAGCTTAGGCTTCGCTGGTACGGTGGAAGTTCACGTGAACAATGGAGGAACAACACCTGCCGACTTGCTGAAAGGGTACAGAGGCGCTCTGTACGTGGCGATTGGTCTTGGTGGCCTCGGAATGTTTCTGAGTGCGATTTACACCTTCAAGGGATATCGAGCCGAGAGCCTGTCTGAGAAAATTCAGAACGAAAGAGCCGAAGCAACCGAAGAAACCGAATAATTAATCATTCTTGCCTATATAGTAATTTCATATCATGCGAGTACGATATTGGGCCTTTTTATCGAGGGGCGTTCAAATACCTTTTGGTGGGAATGTCTCAGCCACAAAAGGAACGAATGTGATAGCCACCATTTGAAGCTTTCCAAGTAAGTTCATTAGCCTTGATCGGTTCCAAGGTTTGCCTAATTATCCGAGGACATCAAATCAGATAATCATTTTGATGATTTTGTTTGAAACATCGACTATATTGATTTTCTTCTTTCGTTCTGAACTGAATGGGAGAAAGAGAACTATCTCGTCCCCAAACATTAAGTCTCTTCAACACGTGGTGTGTGGAGGAATCATCAGTGGTCGAATCCAGCTTTCTGGTCCCATCCGCGGAGAACCTTCTCGTGGCGCTAGAAGCGCACCACATGTTTCTAACTGCACAGACCATACTATCTTTGGTCATTGCGCACGTTTTCCTTCGGGGTCCGGATCTGATACGCTGGGCGATCATGTAGCATCCTCCCAAAAGCCACTCGGCCGCGAGCCACCCTACGCCGAACAAGGGAAAAGAAGGAATGAAGAAATCAGCCCGCGCCAGGATCCCGTGTCGGAGGGGAATCGGGACCCTGTCGCGTTCTAGTTTCCCAACAAAGTTTGATCAGATAGCAACTGTGGATTGCGCTTGTATTTTTCAATTCACATCGTTTACACAGTATTATACTACAGGGTTTGCCTACTTCGCCCTCGTTTGTTTTCTTCCTTGGACGTCGAACTCTTCTTCGCATGTTCAGTCTCTCGGTTACTACTGACCAAGATGGGCAATAATCCAGTCTTTGCCGTCACAGGTAATGTTACCCCTTGTTCCAATGAGTCAAGAATGATGCTAACAGCAATACGACGGACTCAGTGTTCTTCATTTGGTTTAGAGAGTGTCTGGAGACGACAGTGGTTGTATCTGTCTTGCTTGCATTCTTGAAACAGACCCTGAGCGCAGATGAAGATCAGGCAACTTACAAGAGACTTGTGCGCCAAGTGTGTACACGACTTGATCCTGGGGCAAAATTGCATACTGACGGTCAAATAGGTCTGGGCAGGATGTGCGTGCGGGCTATTCCTTTGTCTTGCCGTCGGTGGTGGTATGATCGGTGCTTTCTATGGTCTCGGCACCGATACTTTCTCCAGCACGGAGGACATCTGGGAGGGCGTCCTCGGTATCATCGCGTCGCTGATTATCACCATCATGGGCGCTGCTCTTCTGCGCGTTTCTAAGCTCCAAGAAAAATGGCGCCTTAAGCTAGCTAAGGCTCTCGCGCACGAGAACAACCCCAATGAATCGCGCAAGGGTCGGATAAAGAGATGGTTAGAAAAGTATGCCATGTTCATTCTGCCCTTTATTACAGTTCTACGTGAGGGTTTGGAGGCTGTTGTCTATGTTGGTGGTGTCGGGCTCGGTCTTCCTGCCACCTCTTTCCCCCTAGCTGTGGTCTGTGGCCTTGCAGCTGGAATTGCGGTGGGATATTTGATCTACCGGTAAGAATACTCACTTCTCTTCCTTCATCTTTTAAGGCTTGGATATCTGATTATTTCCTACAGTGGTGGTCGTGAGACATCCATGCAAATTTTCCTGATCATCTCCACGTGCTTCTTGTATCTCGTCGCGGGTGGTCTCTTCTCGCGTGGCGTGTGGTACTTTGAAAACAACACCTGGAACAAGATCATTGGTGGCGATGCATCCGAGACTGGCTCTGGTGCAGGCTCTTACAATATCAAGCAAAGCGTATGGCACGTCAACTGCTGCAACCCGGAATTGGGCGGCGGTGGAGGCTGGGGTATCTTCAACGCTTTGCTTGGCTGGACCAACTCGGCCACTTACGGATCTGTGATTTCTTACAACTTGTACTGGATCTGTGTAATGGTCGGTTATGGTTTGATGTTCTATCGGGAACGTCGGGGTTCCCTCCCTATCATTGATCCCGCGATGGAGAAGGTCACCGGCTACAAGGCCAAGACCAGGGCATTTATTCTCCGCAGGCCGTACGAGGAGCCTGCTGTTGCAGGACCTAGTGGTGTTTTCGAGCATGTTGCTACAGAGAAGCAGAAAGCTTCTGGTGATGGTGTTTCCACTATTGTCAAGTCCACTGAAGCTTGATTCTGAAATAGACCAGGAGGGGGCAAATTAAGCTGAAGGCTGAGAGATTGTATCTGAATATTAGTCTATATTTGCTAGAGTTGGAAACCCCTTGATAAAAGGTGTGAAGGCAGCCATAGCAATACACAATCCGAACATCGTAATTTGCAAAACCGTGTACGAGTAATTTATCAAGGGTCCTGTGGGCCAATCGTTGCGGGTTAATACGAGACGGAGGCAGCCTTGGATGACCCGCTTAGTGCCGGTCTTAGCAAAGCTTAGCCCCGCGTCGGCTCCCATGGGTGCCAGAAGCGACACCCAATCAGAATATCATTCGGAATCAGATTGTCCCTACCAATTTAATTTCTTCCCTAAGTGGAAAGATTCCTCGGGTAAAGTACCCTGCTTCAAGCCCGTTGATGCTCATATTAGGCAGAACCTTGACAGAAAAATTTGGAAGACCAGACGGATGTCCCCGTTTGAGGGGCTTTAATCTAACGCACTTGGGCACCTGCATTCTTCCGTCCATTCCAAGGCGCAAACACCCGTAGATGCTCCACTTTACACGGTGAGTGTTTCTCTGTGAACCACCCCAACCATGGCTTAGGTTTGATGGCGTTTGCCTGTCTCTGTCGATAAGATCGATAAACTCTCAAGGTTGTCATGGTGTGGCCAGACACGGGATCCCTCGTATTTTTCAATGTATCCTATTCTTGCAGTTTAAGCGCCGGGCATATGGCACACATCTTCTCTCATCTACTTGGTACCCTTCGTGTCTTCTCATTCTCCCGACACTGAGGTTTCCACGATGAGGAACATGGCACCGAACACGGTGTCAAGGCTCGCATTCTTGTGCTTTTTCCTTCAATTTTGCCAGGCCAAAACCGTCACTCTTGATTTCAATGTGACCTGGGTGAATGCCAACCCGGATGGACTTGCTGAGAGAAATGTGGTTGGCATTAACGGACAATGGCCACTGCCTGTGATCGAGGTGGACAAGGGTGATCAGCTCATTGTCAACACATACAATGCCCTGGGTGATAAATCAACCTCGATCCATTGGCATGGCATGTTCCAAAATGGAACCAATGAAATGGACGGGCCTTCTATGGTCACCCAATGCCCTATCCCACCGGGTGCTTCATTCACATACAATTTCACTGTGAACCAAAACGGAACGTACTGGTACCACTGCCACACCGACTATTGCTACCCCGACGGATACCGCCAGGCCTTGATTGTACATGATAAGGACTCGTACTTCAACGATATGTATGACGAAGAGTATACGATCACGATGAGTGATTGGTATCATGATCTCATGGAAGATATTGCACCCAAGTTCATCAATATGAACAACCCCACAGGCGCAGAGCCTATCCCGCAGGCCTTCCTTTTCAACGACACTTTGAACAGCAGTATCCCGGTTGAAGCAGGCAAAACCTATTTGTTCCGTCTGATCAATATCGGAGCCTTTGTTGCACAATACTTTTATATTGAGGATCACACATTCCGCATTGTTGAGATTGATGGCGTTTACACGGAGCCAACTGAGGCCGATATGCTCTATATTGCTGTCGCACAGCGCTATGCAATTCTTGTCACAATGAAAAATTCGACAGACAAGAATTACCCGATTGTCACCGTCGCGGACTCGTTACTGCTAGACGCAATCCCTGAGAACCTTCAACTCAATAACACCAACTGGCTTGAATATAATGCAAAGTCAGCCCACCCTCAGGCTGTGATGAAAGTGGACATCGCTTCCGATCTCAACCCCTACGATGACTTCACTCTCGTTCCATACGACAAAAAGCCACTGCTCCCAGATGCCGATATGACAATCGATCTCACTGTCAACATGGGAAATCTCGGAGATGGTGCGGGTTACGCCTTTTTCAACAATATTTCCTACACAAGGCCCAAGGTTCCAACCCTGTACTCCGTACTGTCTTCTGGAGATCTATCCACAAATCCCGAAGTCTATGGGGAATTCACACACCCGTTCGTTTTAGGTCATAATCAAGTCGTGGATATCGTTCTCAACAACGGTGATACTGGGTCTCATCCCTTCCATCTTCATGGTCATCAATTCCAGATCATCGAGCGGTTTCCTTCATATGGAGAGCACTTTTATGATTACGCCGATGGAGATCCAGTGACATACGATCCATCAAATCATACTGCATTTCCTGAGTATCCCGCCAGGCGGGATACCTTGGTGCTTCCCCCTCAGGGATACTTCGTCGTCCGTTTTGTCGCCGATACCCCCGGTGTCTGGATGTTCCATTGCCACATTGACTGGCATTTATCGCAAGGCCTCGCGTTAACTTTGATCGAGGCTCCTGACCAGATCCAAGAGCGTATATCAGTCCCACAAAATCATTACGATGTCTGCAATGCTGCTGGCATGAAACATGAGGGGAATGCTGCTGGCAATACAAAGGACTATCTCGATTTAGATGGTCAGAACAAACAGGTTGACTGGCTACCTGCAGGCTTCACGGCCAAGGGAATCGTTGCTATGGTGTTCTCTTGTGTGTCTGCCTTTTTGGGTATGACTTTTATCACTGTATACGGAATGTCGGGTATCAAGCAAAGCAAGAAGCAAAACCAGGAGAATAATGCCACTGCTACAGCCAGCTCTGAAGCTTCTTGATTCCTTGGTTTGGCTTTGTGGCGAGCTATGTCTATTGGCCCTCTAAAATTTTATGTCATTATGTTCTATCAGCTTTTCACTGATGTGTGATTTTCAATGTTAACTTTCAAATTTTTCAAGGAGAGGGCTTGGAGTTTGATTGCCGGATGCCATGTCTAGCCAGACAAGTAAAGTAAAACGAGGCGAAAGAGGTCGAGAAATCCCCAGTTATCATGTATGCGTGCACCGGTATTCCTGTCCCAAGGTCTTCAGTGATTTTTTGTTTTAGATTTTGAGTAGATGATCTGTGTTTTAGATCTAATAGATATACCCATTGTATGATTAAATAACATGTGTTTGTCATGAATCTCCTTACTGTCGGTATCGGGGAGTCCACTGACTCCATGCTTCAATTCCGCTCATAAAGAACTCCAGACTCTGAAGGTAGTTCTCCAGTTCGGCTGTCACCACGCTAGAGCCTTCATTCCGAAGTGCATCCATAGCCTGCTTGAAATCAAGCTCTATTCCTCGGCAATAATCGTAAAGCAATCGCTTACATACTGAAAAGGGCTGCTGGGTCTCTTTTGCCACAATATAGACAGATGAAAATGGTTGTGCGCCATCAGCCAGACTAGTCTGAGACACTCTCCATTCTCGCTCCCAGCTGTAAATATCGTTGATGATACTCATATGCCGGAAGGCGATACTTTCAAATGGTTTTGACTTCGCCTTCTGGGCGTCATTGAGATGTAGATTGGCGCCAAATCTCATGAGAGCAGTAAAAAACCTGAATTGGATTCATGGTCAGCAAATTGTCGAAGGTCCGTGAAATACCATGGCGGCAGAGTCAGCTTACGTTCGTCCAATATCCACCTCTCTGAGTTCCAAGTAGGGCTCAAGTTCTTTTATCGAGTTGCGCTCGGGCGATGTCATAGCCTTCAACAACTGACAAAAACCCCGGGCAACATCGTTCGCCAGCTTCTTATCCATGCGTCGCATGATCTGCAAAGTATCATACAACATCCACTCGCGGCTGATGCTTATATCTGGTTTGACTGATCCAAGGACAACCTCCATGGTCCGATGTCGATATGACAGCATTTGTGCAAAACTCATTTTCTCCAGTTGATCTATCTTCATGGTCAGCAGATACCAAAGCCCAATTTCTCAAGCCACCCACCATCAATGAGTAAAGAAAAATATAGCATTTTGCACGTCACTCCAATTCGGCTATCAAGCGTCAAGGGAAATGAATTGCAGAAGGCGCGAGAGAGTCCAACGGTAAGCAACCCCTTTCTCTCCTTCTCGCTGGGGAATTTCCAATTGGTACTGAAATATGGCTCAACATGGGCTTGAATTTTGTCCCACCCCATACTGTGTGTCTTTCTCTCCAGATGACAGGGTGGGACCTCGCATGGGACATTTGGTGTTGTTGAGTGTTGTCTAACTGGCCTTTTTGACGGGTGGGAATAGGTGGAAAGTATTGACTGATGAGGAGTCAACACTAATCCTCTGATATGAGACAGGTTCACACACTGTCTCCATGTGTATATGCCTGGTAATGGAGGCATCTTTCCCCAATGACTGTGTTATGTGAATACTTGGCAACTGCAGCATTTGAAGTCTCCACAAACGCGTGTGTGCACGGACCACTTGATGTCACCAACCACAGTCCCTCTTCCTCTTGCACTTCACCTCTACTTCATTCAACTACATCATCTTTAGTTTTTTTCTCCCTTGCACGAGAAGAAACAGTTGGCACCATTCGGTATTTACAAGAACCATCTTGCGAGACAGAGGCATGGTCTTTGTAGCAGCTTATGCCAGCTTCCGTCACTGCCAACCAACAAGTTCCTCTACGAGTGGCACTCCAGCGACTTAGCAAAATCAAAGCAAACAGTGGAATTTCCAGTCGCCCATTGGCTGTAACGTCTTTCTTGTCCGGAAATACAGCCATGAGTTCCTCATCCGAGAACCCTCAGCGGGCTCCGTGGCGTGATCTGCTTGATTCCCAACTCAAGCAAACCCCAGGTTATGAGTTTACAATCGCTACAATTGGGTATGATTCTCAACAGCGGCCTGTGCCACGCTTGCGAACTTGCGGTTGTCGAGGCTTTTTCCCAGAACTTGAGCTCCACCCCAAGGGCCAAGAAGCCATGGACCAGCAGGTAGAGGGAGGGGGCAATCCATCAGTATATGAGAGCGACATGCTTACATTCACAACTGATGCTCGGATGGAAAAGCTGCCTCAGTTGGAGTCTTCGGGGCAAGCCATCGAAGCAGTCTTTTGGCTGAAGGATTTGATGACTCAATGGCGTATTAAGGGTACTGCTTATGCAATTGGAAACCCGCAGGGAGAGGATGCTGAAGATGAAAGAACTTCCCGACAAGAAATCAAAAAGGCTTTGAGGGCGACAAACAACGACAACAGTCTTTCAACATGGACGTGGGAAAAAGCAGTCACGAAATATTTCGCAAATCATTCACCTGTTGCACGAGGTTGGTATCCCCTAATTATCTTTTTGCATAGGGTAGACAACAACTCCTTTGGTTGTATCTTATGTGTGCATGGCTTTGTCTATGCCTTTATGTCCTCTTCAAATCTTCTCACATCGCTGTACGGACACATGCTGACAACAGAACTCAGGCTCTTTCCGCAACCCCCCACCCGGGCAGCCCAAACATCTCAATCCAAGCAACTCGGAACTGAAGTTAGGGCAAAAGGTCACAGATCTACATGATCCTGTGGTGCGTGCTAATTTCAGGGTGGTCGTGATTAAGCCCGAGGAGGTTGAAAGATTGGACCTCACAGATCAAGACAATGGCAAGAGATGGAACTGGAAGATCATCGGTAGCAAGGATACCAGTACTTGTTGGAATGAGACCGAGGTGTGGCCATGACTTCGGATTCATGCATAGGTAGTTTGGGTATTCTGCGTCAACACGTTAATATTTGCCTAGCGTCTTGCTCATACTATCAGGAAGGTTGTTATTTTGCCCAGGTGGTATATACAATGATTACTTACTGGATGGGTTAAGACATCTGTAATATCACCGCCCTGCATATAACTGAAAGATACCAGGAGGAAATTGCAAGCTTCTAATGTTCTCACTTTGGGCATGGCCTCCAATGTTACGTACTCCATCACGTACTCCTTCAACTCCATTTGCTTTGCAGCTTGCGTCGTTCTGCATCTTTCTTTTCATTTACACTCCGCTAGAATACTGCATGCACACGTGTATTCGTCTGACTTTATCACTTCACAAAAACAACAAAGGCTACCCTTCCATTTAAGTTGATCCCATCGCAAAAGTGAGTGCCATCAGATCTGGCTCTCTTCATGCACGCCGTCCACACTTTTGCTAACAAACGACGCGTCTAGTGTCTGACGAGGATATGGTTGAAGGAATCCCAGCTTGCCGTTCATGCAAGCTCAAGAAGAAGCGATGCATTCACCGGATTAGGATTGAGCCCAAGCCCAAGCCCAAACCCGAGACTGATCCGGATTTCGAGCCCGCCACCGAGCCTCAAGAGGCTCTGCCTAGTCGCCGTCAGTGCATCAGCAAGATCAAGGTACGCCCGATATTACCTCAAAGCCTGGTGCAATCTTTGGCAAACTGATAGGTCATTCAGGAAAGCCAAGTCCGTGTTCCGATTGGCTCTAGCGATGAGCTTTCTGCATCCGATATCGAAGACGAGAAGCCCCTTCCCAAGAAACGAGCCAAGCGAGGCCGCCCTTTCGCTCCTATTATTCCGAGCCCACTGCCCGAGATCGCCGATCTACCCACCGACACAATTGAGGCTGCGTCTGCCATGTCTGTCCACCGAGTCTTTGCTCGTGAGCTGGAGGCGCGCTTGCAGGAGTTCGACTGTAACTTCCAGGCTAGCCAACAGGCTCATCGTGCCACCCTCACCTCTGCCAAGGCTGTTAAGCGTGCTGTTGACAGCTGGATTGAGGCTTGGTCCTCTGGTTGTTAGGATCGACCTGGGCTACTCGATCATTGATGCATCTAGCTCAAGATTTCCGGGGAATCGTAAGTCCTGGTTGATACGGGCAATTTATTCGGATTCGAAAGGAAGTTTGAGAGGGATCCGTGTTTGCCGTGAGCTGTTTCGTTACATCTTATCTTTTTTTCATGATGATGTTCTTCGGTCCCTAAATTCACACTTTATTAGTTGCACGTCCTCTTGATAGCTTTCCCGAAGCTGGATCATCCTCTGTTTTATCTGGTCATGAGTTATTGTTGAAGGAGCACGTTAAATTTTTGATATCCGGATGGCGTTTGTTTAGCTACTATTGCCTTTTGAATGGTGCAACCATTTCATACCGGCGTTTTCGGTACCAGCGTTTGCCTCGCGGTATTTCAAGAGTCCAGACTGTTGCAAGGTGTCCATATGATAGATGTCAACATCTACAGACGGGAGTGTAGATGTGAGTTGTGATATTACATACAGCGGAGCACGTCCGCTGAAGCTTAAGATACGACCAATACCAGGTCTGTACCTTCGATTTACGCCGATTAGCCACTTACACGCCGTAATCGTGGTGGAGGCCCCATCGTAGGACCGAGATGGCTCCAATCACGGGCTATCCCGGCCTTCCGCGGGAGGGATCGTCCGCTTAGTCCCTCGGTAGTGTCAGGGCCCCCCATTTTGGTATTCTAGTGAGGATCCGATGTACATACGAGTAATTCCCGATTTCTAGCTAGTATTCTAGTCTTTAAAATGGTCCCCTTGACCCCTGTAAACCCCGAATCCCCGGTTTTTGGTCCCCGATCCCTATACCCCATCCGTACGAGTATAACACCATTGGCGACCGTTACGTGTCAAACCTCCCTTAGGAAAGGTACCCGCTTCATATCTCGGCTCTACCGTCTTGGATGCATTGTTTCAGCTCTCTGGGCGTTCTTTACTCCGTGCCGTCATTGGATCTACGGAGAGGTGACAATCCAGTTCCTTACGTTGTGCGTTCTCCGGCAGGCTGTATGCATCAGTGACCCTCGTGCACGGTTACCGGAATACTCGACTTCCAACATTTGCACGCAATGGGAGCCTCGGACTGATCCTTCTGTCTCGGAAGATCCTCATGGCAACGTGTTTCCATTCAATATGTAACTAGTACTTCATATCATGTCTGTTTATCCAATGAAGATCGCAGAGCTAGACCGATCCTCTATTTTCAAGGTTCCCTAGTCTTCAATAAAAGTACGAAGTACAGACAGACTCACCAAGCCATACACTTGCATGGCCTGACACATGCACTCCACCACTTCTCGGGGGAATCAAAGTGCTGGATAAGCGATCCAATACGGTGGAGAAACCTGTAGAGAAATATGCAGTCGGCCTTGCGATGTGCGATTCGGATATCAAATACCATTAATCACACAGGGGGAGCCTTTTTCCATACCGAGACGGCCCCGGTCCCCATACCATACCATTACCATACATGTATCAGGGCTTGCTCATTTTCTCGATATTTCCAGTTCTTTTCCTACTCCTGTTCAACTTCCCCTCCCCAGACTTTTCTTCACCGTTACTTGCATTTCTTGTCGATCCTCAAGCTCATCATTGAGGGGTTTCTTAATACCGCACTACGCCCACTTCGCCTTCTTCCTCCAGGACCCATAACCGCACTGCGACCCATTTCTAGCCTGAACCTTCAACCCTTGCGCTCCTGGTCGATCTTCACGATTTTATGACGAAACGAACATAACCACTACTCGAGACCTAATACCCTGACGCAGGGTACATACACGCATATATACACTTTTTCTTTTTGGTCGAAAGAGCGGCCGCGAACGAATCAATCTACATTTATTATCATGGCGATGGCGTCAATGGATGCACTGGGAGCCTTTACCCACATGAAAGACAACCTGCCCACATGGATTGTTCGCGCCTCCGAACTCGCCACTCACACCCACAAGAAGCACGACGAATACTCCGAAGCATACAGACGCCATGCAAACTCCAAGCCCCGCCGGCGGAAAAACAGCTCCGTTTGTTCCATTCACACCGACGACCTAGTCCCGATCGCACAACGTAAAGGTCCCAGCCCCGAACCCACCGCGGAGACAGCGCACGCGCCCGACCAAGGTCAACGCTCGAGTCGCAAGCGCAGCACAGACGAGGCCGAGGCCAGTACGAATGAAGAATACGCGTTCGTGAGCACAAGGCATAATGTCATTATCGATTACGACGGCCACACGCAGAAGTCGCTCGAGGCTATTGTACGGGACATTGGAGTGGCGAGGAATAACCTCCGACGCGCGAAGATGGCCATGTTGCCACGAACAGGCTTGCGGGCCGGTCTGTTGAGCAAAGGCGTCGGTATGAACATGAACATGCCGGGTGGAACGACAACGCCACTCTCCTGTGTCCGTAGTACCCGCACCACATCCGGAGTTGTCGGCATCTCCGGAACGAGCGCAATGCGCACAGACTCCCCTTTCGATTTTGCGGACAAACAACTGGAGCTGGCACATTCACTTTGCGAGACGGCGGCGTACCAAGTCCTCCGATCCGGGGACTGTGGCACAGAGCTGGATGGCGTGGAGGAGAAATTCAAGATGCTGCTCGAGGCTGCGATCAACGAAGTCGACCGTCTCCAGGCAGAAAAGAAGCAGCAGGAAGAACACGAGCAGCAACAACAGAACGGTACTGCTGATGAAGGACCGCCCAAACCACCACCCACGCCCTCTGCTGCTCGACTCGCCCAGGTTGCTGCCATTGCCAACAAGCCCACCACCACCACCACCACCACCAACACTACAGGCATGATTGAAGTCGATGACAACTCTTCCTTCTCGGCTGAGTCAATCGACCTCTCTGCATTCCGAGCCTCACGGATCCGGGTATAGAACCTGTCCGCCCTTGACCATTTAGCGATTCAGCGTGTTGAAAATCTAGTAAAAGCATAGTTGATACCTTGATATTTTTGGGGATACCATTTCTTTCTCGGCCATTCTATCTCGCAAGTTTCCGCGATCGTGCTGGATTTCCACCATCCATTTCCTTTTTATTGCTATCTACTCCGGCTTCTCTACTATCACTGATCCCAACTTCTTTGTTTTGGGGATAATCTCTCCTTCCTGTCTCTTGCATAAGCTCATGGCCCATTTCTAGGAGAGCATGGCGTTGGCCCCGGTGTTCTTCTTTTGGCTATTCACATTCACAATGGTACATATTAAAAATTTGATTTGAACTTCACCCCACTAGCCTGCAGTAGTGTTCGCAGTTTCCGAAACTCCATAGCGACTGTCGCCAAGCCATGGGGCCTACTTTGCTAGGATCCCCCCCTAATTTTCATTGGTGTCCATACCTTGTACAAGTAGCCTCCCTACTCCGTACGGTTACGCCAGTCAATGCACAACCGTTGAGTCTGATGTCGCAGGAATCGCCAAATTACAAACTTCCCGCAGTGGACCTCGGGAGTGCGGTTGTTTAGTACGCAACCTTCCTAATTGGGTAAACGGTCGAGCCAAGCAGGGGGCCGAAAAAGGGGGGTTTCCTAGGCGAACGGAACTGTTCACAATTGTGATAGATTTTACTCGCAGAAGTAGAAGTCCTCCGTGGTGTGATATCAATTCCTTCCCACAGGATCCTCCTCGTATGTTGCACGATGTGGTACGCGTCTTAGGCATAATGCACGGCGCATCATACGACATACAAATCATCAAGTCATTATCAGGATTTTCAAGACTGGCGGTGTTTTTCGAAAAGCGCTAGATGCGCCTTTTTCATGCATCGTCGTAGTCGGCCGGCAGATCGCGGCGCTATGGGGTAAACGTGCCGTTGCCATGCATGACCTAGCCAATTCGATGGTGGGAACTGTTACTCCGGGATAGGGTATGGAATCTGACTGGATGCAAGGTTGTTATTGTACAGCGATCACCACATACGAGGACGGAGCACGAAGGACTCCGTGCGGGAGTATTAGTATTTTACTGTACGCAGGACTCGAACCGGTCGCTATTGCGTAGGTTGCATGAAGAGGACGTTAGTTGTCTCAGGTTAGCTGTCAAATAATATATCGCTGACAATCTCGATTTAATCTTCTATTTTATTGCTAGAAGGTCTGGAAACTCGGAAAAGATTGAGACCCCTACTCCGTACGGGGGTACTTTGTACGTACAGTACGGAATAATTCGACCGGAGTGCGCTGGCAAATTTCCAATATCAAAAAAAAAAACAAAACATACTCGTGCTTAAGTGGTTCTTTTCTTTATGAGGGCAGCCCCGCCTAATCTATATTCCACAAATTGCCTGCATAAATGAAGTTGGCGAGGTGGGGTCCCCTCTTGTCAAAGTACTACTTTATACATACTTGTACGTCCGGGGATTATTTCCATCTGTGTTTTGTGGTTGATAAAAGCCCGCGTGAATGTACTGACGGGGGTATACGAGTAGATAGCGGTGGATGTACTAATACCTATTAGAATCTACCCAATTTTCCCAAGGTTGTCATTTCAGACACGTTCGAATACTGGGTGAGTGGCATGCTATTTTTTTCCTAAAAACAATCGATCCGTTCCCCAGCAACATCTGCTCTGTACTCAAATACTACTTGTACTCAACCTGGGAAATACCTGTATCCTATGGACTCCACTCCCACTAGCCAAAAATGACAGGTGTCAAAGGATGCAAGCCACCGGATCCGCTCCAAGTCTTGACGACTGTGGCTCTCTGCTAAATTAAGAGACCCATTCGTTAGCTTGCCTCCGTAAATGGGGTCTATTTTTCCGTGTTCTTCCATTATGGATCTCCTCTAACTACTAACTACTCGTAGAACTCCAGATGGGATCCAGGAACGATCACCAACTTGAGAGGGTAAGTTTGCGCCAAAATAAAGCCAAACCTGGGACACACCTGGAGACGAACAAAAAACCTTGGAATGCGTATGGGTTAAACCTGTAACGGTATGTTTCGATTCGGTACGTAATTCTGTAATTTAGCGAACAAAAGCACCTTCGGCGCCTGGTACTTTTGTACGAACGAGGTTGATCGCTCCTGGAAACGCCCGATGCTCAATTTATGACTCTTTGTGTCTCGCTTCTGGTGATAGGTGCGATATGACGAGGTAAGATAGTCTCACTACTTCGGGATTCTAACCAATTTACTCGTAGCCGCGCCGAGTGAAAAAATTACAAGGTTCTCAAGTTTGACTCCTTCGCATCCGAAGGCCTGGGGGTAATCAACTTACCTGTATGGATATAGTTATGCTCAAGTGCTACTTTCATACTCAGCTACTTAAGTAGTTATTTTAACATTCCAGGTTAGAGCGTGTGCTCAGGTGTTCTAAAGTTGATTCACGTCCTGCTCAAGTGTCTGCTTCTAAAGTTTACCCAATTTTGGCTCCAATTCATGGATGTTGCTCGGTTTTCAAGGCCCATGTTTCAGATGCCGTGGGTGCTAGACCCCAGGACCAGTGGGGATATACATCTACATTGAGGGCAAGTCTAGACTCAGATTAGCCTTATTGCGAACTTAGAACGTTAGAAGCGTAGCGAAGCAATTATATATTGGCTCTTACCCAGATAGGTAACTACTCAATATATACTTAAGTACCCACCAGCAAATCCTAAAGTCAGAGGGGTGCGGTCCATTCTGTTGAATTCCTTCCTGCTTTTACGCCACAGTATGGTGTAAGCCACATAGTGGCTCAGCAGGGAATTCTTGGCAATATGCCCTCAGGTAGCCCGTTTGGCCCTGGGGCAGCTTCAATTGACGAAACTGCACGCTCCCGCAGGGCGAGAGAAGCCTGGATTTGCGCTAATTACATGAATGCAGCCTACCACTGAATTCTAGTGGAAGCTGCTTCTGCGGTAATTACTTCCAGCCCTCATTCGAATCAACCAGGATTCACCATTCGAGTGAATTCCATCAGTTTCCCATAGAAAAGCATAAATAGAGTCTATTCTCTGATTGAGAGTAGGCACACAATACAATACTTCTTACTCAAGAGTCCCTATTCTGTCATCCTTTCTTTACTTAGCTCATTAGAAGCATTTACATGCTGAGTGAGCATCTGCTTTTTCAACACATTCTACTTTGGAGGACAAGGACTGCTATCCATGGATATAACATGCTGATGAATAGCCCATACCTGTATGCGGTTCTCCCACTACCTATACTCAGTAAGTATACCTAGGTAGATAAATCGCGAACACCTGCTGGTTAAAGGGGGCAGTACCTGCACTGAAGTAGACGAACCTTTACCATTTGACTGTATTCCTCGTCCCAATAGAATGAAAGGCGGCGCGAGTCTCTAACCATGATACTGGTGAACTCCAAGACCATCATCATTCTTGTTGACTTGGCCTGTCTATCAAGTCAGACCCATGCTGGGGAATTACTAGCGTTGGCAAGAGACAACCGTAAAAACCAATGTAAAACCAATATTCATTCACAACCCCTGTCCCTCGAGGCATACATATACTACATCATAAACGTGTTCAAGTAGAACCAAATTCCAATTTCATGGACAACATCCTCGCATACATTATCGACATGACGCGCGAGCCACCAATTACATTTAAAAATTATAGAGAAAAGAAAAGAAGTAGAGACGGGACTAGACTCATCCAGGGGTGTGGTTCTCACCATGCGATTGGAGAACCACACCCCTGGTTCGAGTCCGAAATAAGACAAAGCCCATATCATAGCCGGGTGGTCGGACTCAGACCACCCGACCGGGTATCAAAGTAGACCAATAAACCGATACAAGGACAATCGGAGACAACGTACGAAGTAGACCATCGGTTGATCTAGTAGGCGATCTTCTCCTCGTAGATGGGAGGCTGGCCCTTCTCCTCGTTCCATTGGATCTTGCAGTTCTCATCGAGATACGCGTCCTCATCGGTGATAGGGATGACACGCATGGTGTGTGCGACTTCCTGAGAGGAAACACCGAGGGCATCACGCGGAACCCAGAGAAGAGGAGGCTGCGAGGTGATGGATGGGTGGCAGTAGGCGTCACGCTCAGCTTCAGTGGGGTATGTGGTAGGGTCCGCGGTAGGGACAAGTTTGCGAAGCTGTTGGTAGTTGGCGTACTTGTCAGGGCGCAGGAACTTGGTGAGGAAGTTCGGCTTGGGCTCCGCAGAGGTACCGGTCAGGCCCTTCTCAGCGGAGTCGACGTTACCGACACCGTTGTCAACATTGATTCCGCTGTCACGGGGAGCATCAGTGGAGCCAGTTTGGACCTGAAGATCTTCCGAAGTGGACTTGGAGATAGTGTTGCGGTCTGCGGCGAGAAGAGCTTCCTCTTCGGCCTCAAGGTTCTTGGGCAGGTAGTTCAGAAGGGGCTCCATGGCGCTGTTCATCGACAGGTGGTAGAGAATGACGAAGATCAAGAAGATGATCATGAGAACCAATGGGCCGACAGCGAGCTGGTTGGCGCCGGAGCCCATGGCGAACAGACCGATCAGACAGACCATGGAAAGGTAACATCCGACGGTGAGTTGCTGAAGAGCGCGGGTGTAACATCTTCCCTGAGTGTCGATGCTTGCGTTCGACACGTACAGGATGTTGTACCGGTAGGCGAAGTAGAACAGGTAGAGGCCAATGGCGCCGAAGCCCATAACCAGAGGGGCAATGCAAGAATAGGTGATAGCTATGAGAAGTTAGAAGCATGACTAGAATCGCTCTTCTGTTTTGACTTACCGATCACAGTCAACAAGGTAAAGATGGGGTAAACAGTGCCCCAACCAAGACCAGCCAAGCTAGCCCATCGAACGTACATCTTACGGGGGGTGCCATCGAGGATGCGACCGAGAACCTTTCCAAGGATCAAGGGCACAATCTGTAGGAGAGCTCCTGCGCTGAAGGAAAGACCTTGCAGAATGATGTAGGAAATGTAGAAGTTGGCCGCCTTGGGGATCTTCGTCGCAAGCAGTGTGGCAGCCTGCGAAGGATCGTTAATGATCTTCGTGACGACACTGGTTGCTGCGGAGGCAAGTGTAACGACAAGGAACACCTGGACAACCTGGAAAGCGAAGAACCAGTTCTGGACTGTCAATTCAACAGCAGCCATGCTAGGGTCACCACCCCACTTGGCCATCAGACGCATGATGATGGGCACCAACGCAATCAAGACAGACATCAAAATAGTAGGCAAAAGACCAGTGATCACACCCTTGATCCAGTTGGGCACGGAGTCAATGAACTTCAAGAAAGGAACCATGTCGGTCAACGAGTCGATGTTGGAAATGGCACCAACAACGGCGGTGGGGATGGCCCAGAAGATGATCATTGCGCAGATGAAGGCGATAGTAGCGGCATGGCGACCGAGGCGCTCCCACCACTTGATGCGAAGGTTGGACCAGATAACTTGAGTAGGGTCGAGACCGATGTAGCGAGGGCTCATGTGGAGAGGAAGGTTGTGAGCGACAGACTGGTAGGAGGCCTGCGCATCAGCCTGGTGGTAGAATTCGACAAAGATAGAGGACACAAGCTTGACCTCTCCAGCGCGGTGCTTAGCCTGCAATTCCTCAATCTCAGGAGACAGACGCTCGATCTCAGAACGGGCCCAGTTGATTGTGTCGACCTTCTTGCCAATGAGCATCTTGAGACGGTGAGTAGGACGGTTCTTGGCCTCAACCCAGCGAGCAGCGGTGGAGCCAGACTCGTCATCGAATTGACCGTCACCGATCTCAGTCTCGGGGTTCTCGGCGGAGCCCTGCTTCTTCAGGGCCTTGTTGCGCGCCTTGTTGGCCATGATGATGAGCTTGGTCTCTGCACCCTCGAGCTTCATCGCAGCGCTATCGCGCTCCTTGACCTTCTCCTCGAGTTCCTTGGTGTCACTTGCGATCCAAACGTTCTTGACCTTGTCGCGACCGAACATGGTGCGAACCTTCTCCTTCTGAAGCAGATCAGGAGTCACAGCAGTGAAAAGAACAGTGCGCGAAGAGATACGGCTGGCGTATGCGGGCGAGAAAAGGTAGGCCTGGCGCAAGTTGATGTAGTAGAGATGCTCCCGAGTCACCATGAAGAACACGAAGGCGATGAAAATCCAGGCGACGAAGCAATGCGCAAAGTAGCGACCGGCGGAGTCACTGGAGATGTTGGAGATACTCAATAAGTCCAGCTCCTTACCAGTACCACCACCGGTGGCATTGACAGGCCACAGAATGGGGAAGGTGATGCAGCAGCCGACGAAGAGAATCACGGAGCAGAGCTTGAGGAAGCGCAGCATCAGGTAGGCGTCCATTGAGTGATGTTGCAGCACGTATGTATCAGGGATCTTATACATGGATAGAATCCAGTTCCAGGCGCCAGTGGGAGTGTCGGGGGAGCGTTGCCAGGGCTTCAGGTATCCAATATAGGTTCGAGGCATATACATTCTGCGGAAGCGCTTGCGCAGGATGATAAATCCGAGCACCATCACGACAGCGATGATGAGGGAGGGAATCAGGACGGTGACCAAGCTGGAGAGCGACGGCGAGTTCTCATCTTCGGAACTCTGGTGCCATTAGCATGTAAACACGAGCGCATATTTTCACGGGGAGCTTACCGCACGCGCGACCAGTGGGTGACTGTCGAGCACCATGGTGTGTATGTTTCAAAGATCACAACAATGTACAGTAAAGTTCTGGGATCCCCAGGTTGGCTGAAGAGGAGAGAAGAGGAAAAAAGAAGCTTAAACGAAAAAGAGAGGGGCTGCCACGATCTGCGATGCCTACGTAATGGAGCTAAGCAATCTCTGCTCGCATTCTTTGTATTTTATTTTATTTTATTTTTTATTGTGATTTCAGATCGGCCGTGCTACAACGCTACAAAAGGTCTGCTCTGACGGGTTAATTACTCGAGGTGTTACTCTCTCGGACATCCACTCCCTGCAGCTTCAGCGAGTCACTGATCGTTCCACACTCGCTTCCGCAATGGTTCTCCCGCGACTCAAGGGCTCCCTTTTGCGTCCGGTTCCTGTGGTTCCTTGCAGTCAATGACTCCATCAATTCCTCTCTACGAGTATTCCCATGTCTTCACATGGCTCGGAGAACACCGAGTACCGCCACACTAGCCACAACCCCCCCCTATTTGAGCTACTCTATCCGACGCCGATCATGACGATTTTACAGGGATGCGGCTGGGCGCAAGGGATACAGCATAGCAACAACTGCTTTACACTCTGTACTTCGTGTCTGCTCCGTTATTCTGTCACACACGACTCGTACGAAAGTCTCATATCTCAAACACCTCGTATCTTGGTAGAATCCAGGGGTACTCTAGCTGTGTCAGGTCTCCACCAGTCCCAAATCCCCGAGTACACGAGGTGCGGTGTGCTCATATTGTCATATTGCTTTTTGGGACTTGATTTCCTTTGTCCAGAATCAATAATGCGGTCTGGGGAACGTGTGCCATGACACGCAGCAATAGTCGTAGATGCGCATGTCCAATTCAGCACATCGAGATCGTCGAATGAACAGGCGCGACACATCCAAAACTCAATACAATCGAATGGGGGCCCAGAGACGCTAAAGTTGCTAGTGGACTGCACTATCGACTCCCGCCCTGCTCGAGGGATCTGGGCCGAGAGATTCGCAAACAAAGTTGGGCGACTCGCCAGCTGTATTTGCCACTTCATTTAATTTGTCCCTTGGCAGCAATTTCTGCCTAGGTATTTCCGTGCCACTGATTTGGCAGATAATTGATATGACATACCCCAGGGTTGAAGTGGTATGTGATATTGAAAGACAATGGGTAATGAAAAAAAAAAAAGAAAAGAAAAAAGAAAAAAGAAAAACTCGAGATGAGGTATGCCACGAACCATGGGCCCAAATTGATTGATTCAATCAAAATGATTGGCAAGGCTCTTCTTATGGAGAGGTGTCGATCGATCTGAGGTTGGGTCAGGTTCAGGCCCACGAGGTACCGAATTGGTAGCGTGTGTGCCGTTTTCGGTGAAAAAGGTACCTCGGGGTTACAGGAGATCGGGACTCCGAGACTAAGTAGAACTAGTGGCCAAAATGTGAAAGTAACCAGACTAGGATTGGATATCGGGAGTAATTCGACCTGCTCCACTGGAGATCAATGACGCTAACATCACCCACTGGTCCTGGTTCCCGGGTCTGCCAAGCACTCCGGAGTCATACATTGATCTACGAGTGTATCATTACACTTGATCACGACCTCACTGGACAGTGTGGAGTTTACCGATGTGTACATAGATTGGATGCATTGGGATATCTATTAATATAATCATCGATGTTTCCTCACCCTAGGTATGATCATTGTGAGGTACTATGCAAAAGTTCCTCTTCAAACGCTTCAATCCCACGGATAGGTGTTTGGAATGAGAGGAAGTTCATGAGGATCTCGTTCCAAAGGAATTGGAGGTCCGGTCGCAGCTGTTTGTGCACTTTAAGCAGCTCACCAGTTGACCACCCACGCTCAGGGTCTCGTAAATCAGAGTCACAACCCTCCTCCAATAACAACCACAGGAGAGTTTCGCAGGCTGGGTCGCGATCGAGATGGTGTTGCTTCACCAAAGTCCAAAGGTAACGAAGAAACCGGTCGGTTTTGCTGGGCGACTCTTGATAGTCCCACAATGCAGCCGTGATATAGATGAGAGAGGCTGTTCGACTGGGTTCCTGGGTCTGCGCGTCGCGGACTACGTAGACGCGCGATGCCTGTGGAACCTGAGAAGGACGGGGCCCGCTGGAGAGAAGGGTGAAAAGGGGGCTTGCCATTTCGAAGGCGTGGACGCGGTGTGGGGCCTGTCGAAGATATTCGGGTGTGTTGTGTCGGTGCATAAGATCTTTGGCGGCACGAAGGAAGGTGGTTAGCCATTTTTGATCGGCAGGGTTTGGAGTCGGAACTTCGGGCGTCATGAGGTATCGGATGTAGTGTATAAAAGTTTCCACGGCTGGATTGCTTCCTGTCCGCGGTCGCAAGACCTTAACAGCACGTTCGACATACTGCTGAGCCTGCTCCTTGCTCCCAAACCGTTCTTCCTGTAAAGCCATTCCACCCAAAGCCATGACAAGGTCGTCAGGACTGACTATCGCAGAGCCAGATGTAGCTTCTTCGATGAGTTTCGCCGCCTGTCTAACGTGACGTTGAATTTCGTCGCTGTCGGTCATGCCGTATAATTGTGCTTTCCAACGAGCGCAGTAGGATAATACCACTGCTTTGAACGAAAGAGGATGGCCCATGGCCGTGCGAAAGATTTGGTTCTTCACATGGACATTTTGTCCGGACCAGTACGTTAACTTGTTCCTCCAGTAATCAGCCAATTCGATATCGGTACTGTCGTATTCCATTGGTAAACTTGAGAACGGATCTCTTCGAGAAGCATCAAGTATTGTGACTGGCGAGCCAATGTGTTGTGGCAGGGAAGGGTGGGGCTGTGTCTTCATATTTGAGAATCGGATCTGGAGCTACAGCACCCGGTGTTAGCATTTATCTCCAAGCTCCTTGTCGCTCTTAAGTCCCAGACGGCTTTGGTTCAATGCCAGAAGAGGTGAGTCCCGTACCGAAGTTGTCAGGTCAGAGGCCTGCGCGGCTGGCGTGGATGTTCCTGGCTGATGGTACCTGGCGATTGCCGCCTCAGAGTCGACTGAGTGGGCCGTGCGTGAGGTTTTGTGCTGCTTCCTTTTTTCCTGTACATGGTGGCGCATAACATGGGCGCGCTTTTCTTTGGAAGACGAGTTCTGATCAACAAAGTAGAAGTGTTGGTTCTTGGAGTGTTTGTTCTTTGAATCAGCGGTACGCCGACGCTTCGTAGGCTTGGGGACTGATGAGACATCGTTGATGGACACTGAATCTATGCTCTTGTTAGCTTCTTGGTACAGTCATCGTACAATTCGCTCGCAAAGGTAGACAAAGCGTACCCGAAGCATCCGCGCCAAGCGGGCCCGACTGAGAAAAGGAGCTCGGCTTGGTCAAGGTCGACGGTAGTCGTTCGTTTCCAGACATGTCGAGCGGATATTGGGATGTGGTGAGTTCGGTCAGTGCTGGGTGCCCAACCGATTACCAAGATGCCTCCAGTCAAGGACCCCGGGTTCGGAAGAAACCATCGCAAGGCGCAAGTCCTAACAGTTTAGCCAACGGGTTAGCCCGAAGAACACGAAAGAGTTTTTCAAGCGAAAGACAATTATACATACGGCGCAATGCAATGCGAGGGGAGAGATAATTCCCCGAGAGGGAATAATGGGATGGTTTCAGATGGAGTGCGGGCACCCGGGTTCCAAGGTCGAGGAGGCCAATTATATAAGCGCCAAGTATCAACCCTGCAATCCTGGACTATTCAGCCACTAGAGAATTTCGGTAATTAAGGTTGTATTGCTGGCTGGAGGGTGGAGAGGTAGGGTTTACTCGCGCAGGTTGGACTTTTGTTGGCGTACGACTGCCCAAGAGGAGCATATTTGCCGTTGTGGCCTCCAATCTTAGAATGGTTCTCTCACAGAAGATATATTGGTAATTGATTTCGAGGCTGAATGCCATGGACATTGTAGGTGAAACATCAAAGAAGTCTTCATTGTACGTTCTATGTAAATATACCCGTGAAGTCGCACAGAGATCCCTCCAAAGCCACGGAGGCCAGTGGATCAGGTATCCGGGAGGCGGTCCAAGTGGTAGCTGAACATGAGGTCATGGGGGAGGTGAAATACGCTGGTACCTTATTTGGATTGGGCCTTGAGATGTATCGAATTTGGGCTCTTTTCTCGCTCACCGAAAGACAAATGTCCCAAGACCGACGTGTAAAGCATTGTGATCCCAACTCATCAGGACCTTCGTACCCGGATACTTTTTAGAATCGAATAGATTATTAGATAGTTCAGTCAACTAAACTCTCCAGCTGCGCCTGCTGGGATTAATCGAGTGTCGGTGAATATATGGGGGCCGTGTGGAAGGAAATTCTCGCGCTAAAGCATAGACCTCAGCTGTACACGAGTCGCCTTGAACTCGGATTTGACATTGTCGTATTACCCTCATTCGTCAAGCCCGGTGGGGCTGCGGGAGACGACCAACTACCTAAAATAGCCTAGCGTGCCTTCCCTTTGCCAGATCCCGAGGTCAGTTCCCGGCTGACGTAACTCAAATTGATGCTGACATAAGGAAACCACTTAACGCGTCGGAAGCGGATTATCTACTGTCCGAACACGCGCTCGCGTCGCGCGTTGCCCAAGGAGACCTGCAGACGGGAGACCCACGAAAAACTAAGATAGCAATCCTGCTCGGCATCATCGCGAAATCGACCCTCCACATTCCTTTCCCACTTCCTCGTCGAGGGTTTATTTAATTGAAATCATTGGCCACATCTAGGCCCTTTGTCATTATCATGTCTTCCCTTTTCGATGCCGTGATACAGTCCGAGTTGGGCTCAGGGCCTGCTAGCGACAACCTGCGGTCTGACCACCTCCCCAGTTCTCGGCGCTCTGAGAGCAATGGTCCCATGAGTGATATGCATGCATTTGCCGATGATCAGGTCGTGTCGGGCGGAAATTCGACCATCAATCGTCTGCGCAACCCTTATACTGCTACCCCCGCACAATTGATCGATGATGCCGGAGAGAGGGTGAGGGGTGCATTTGAAACGTTGCTAGAAGAATACCAGGAGGAGCCTTCATCCTCTGCGCCGGTCTCTTCGGGTGAGGTTCTGAGCACTAGATACTACATCGCTCAGATCAAAGGAATGGCCAAGTTCGAGTTGTCGACTCTCTACGTTGATTTCACTCACCTCACAAGTTGGAGAGATCCCATTCTCGCCGATGCTGTTGCCACTCAGTACTATCGATTCCTGCCTTTCCTCACCAAGGCGCTGCACAACCTGATCGCCAAATATGCATCGGATTACTTCGTTTCCCACAGATTGACCTCCAGCAGCTCGACGGAAGCCGGTAGCTCAGCAACAGCAGGTGGAAGTTCCACCGACAACCCCGAGCTTGACCGTCATATTCGCGAGAAAACGCGTCACCAACAAACCGATAAGCTCTTTGCGCTCGCATTCTACAATCTTCCTTTGGTTTCAAGACTTCGACAACTTCGCACCAAACAGATTGGACAGTTGCTCTCTGTTTCTGGGACTGTCACCAGGACATCTGAAGTTCGCCCCGAGTTGTCCCTGGGAAACTTCATCTGCGAAGGCTGCAAGACAGTGGTCCAGAATGTTGAGCAGACCTTCAAGTACACAGAGCCATCCGAGTGCCCCAACCAGACCTGCGGCAACCGCGTGGGATGGCGTCTCGACATCGGCAAGAGTACATTCATCGATTGGCAAAAGGTCAAGCTCCAAGAATCATCACATGAGATCCCCACAGGTAGCATGCCTCGTACAATGGACGTTATTCTGCGTGGTGAAATGGTTGACAGGGCCAAGGCCGGTGAGCGCTGTATCTTCACTGGTACTCTGATTGTCGTTCCCGATGTCAGTCAATTGGGTCTTCCCGGTACACGACCTGAAGCTGTCCGCGATGATAACTCCTTCCGAGGCGGCGACGGCAGTGGTGTCACTGGCTTGAAGGTTCTGGGTGTGCGGGATCTTTCTTACCGCATGGCATTCCTCTCCTGCATGGTCACCCCAGACACGACGACCCCTGGCCAAAAGCCCGAGCAGCAGCTCAGTGGCCAGTCCAATAACATTCTTGCCTCCTTGAACCAGAACCAAGATGACGATGGCGGGGACGATAAGGCCCAGGAGGCCTTCTTGCAGAGTCTCACCCCAGCTGAAGTTCAGGACCTGAAGCAACTGGTTCACTCCGAATATATCTACTCTCGTCTCGTGGATTCCATCGCGCCTATGATCTGGGGCCACAGGCAGATCAAGAAGGGTCTGTTGCTGCAGTTGATTGGTGGTGTTGGAAAGTCCACATCCGCGGAGAGCCTCAAGCTCCGTGGTGATATCAACATCTGTATTGTTGGCGACCCTTCGACCAGTAAGAGTCAGTTCTTGAAGTACATCTGTTCTCTGCATCCTCGTGCAGTTTACACAAGTGGTAAAGCTTCCTCTGCGGCTGGTTTGACCGCTTCTGTTGTCAAAGATGCCGAGACAGGCGAGTTCACTATTGAAGCTGGAGCCCTGATGCTTGCAAATGGTGGTGGTATCTGTGCTATCGACGAGTTCGATAAGATGGACGTCGCTGACCAAGTGGCTATCCACGAAGCCATGGAACAGCAGACCATTTCCATTGCCAAAGCCGGTATCCACACCACTCTCAACGCTCGTGCTTCCATTCTTGCAGCTGCCAACCCGGTAAACGGCCGCTACGACCCGAAGCAAACTCTTCGCAACAACCTGAACTTCAGCGCTCCTATTATGAGTCGTTTTGATGTCTTCTTCGTCATCCGTGATGACCCCAAGGAGTCTGTCGACCGCTCCCTGGCTGAGCACATTGTCAATGTGCACATGAACCGCGACGAGGCCGTTGAGCCGGAGTTGTCCACAGAGCAGTTGCAGCGCTACATCCGTTTCGCTCGCACTTTCCGCCCCGTTTTCACCGACGAGGCCAAGACGCTCCTTGTCCAAAAGTACAAAGAGCTGCGTTCCAACGATGCCCAGGGTGGCATTGGCCGCTCTTCTTACCGTATCACTGTTCGTCAATTGGAGTCTTTGATCCGCTTGTCTGAGGCTGTGGCAAAGGCCAATTGTGTTGAGGAAATCGTTCCCCGTTTCGTCATTGAGGCATACGATCTTCTTCGCCAAAGTATCGTAACTGTTGAGAAGGACGATGTTGAGATCGACGAGGAGCAGCCTGCTGCTCAACACGAGGAGGATGAAGAGATGGCCGACGGCGATGCCGAGGGTGATGATCAAATGCACGACGAAGACGCACCCCCCGCTCATAGCAAGCGTGAGGGAACCAAGGTTAAGGTCACATACGACAAGTACCATGGCGTATTGAACCACCTTGTCAGACGACTGATCGAGGATGAAAAGACGGCGGCCGAGGGTGTCGAGCAGGAAGATCTTGTTCTGTGGTATCTTGAGCAGATCGAAGGCGAGCTGGACAGCGAAGAAGATCTCGCCCGTGAACGCAAGCTTGCGAAGATGGTATTGAAAACTATGGTCAAGGTATCTTTCCTGCATTCCCGATTTATTCAACACACGCTGACAAGTCCTAGGATAACATCGTGCTCCGCATCTCCGGGACTGGCCTCACTGAAGGACCTGATGATGTGCAGGAAGACAGCAGAATCCTCTACGTCCTGCACCCCAACTGCAATATCGATGATATGTAAGCTGGCTGCTTTGTCCTTCTTCGTGTTCGTTTTTAGTACTTGATGTTGGGCATTTTCTATGATTTACATACATGGAGCAAGGGGTTATGAGTGATGATATCCGTTTAGTTGTCTTGTTTGATAGGACTCGAATGATACTCTGTATCAATTTTACCGTTCTGGCCACATTCCCGGCCTTCTCTTCCGGAGTAACCCTTAGGCTTCTGAACACTCGAAATCTTTTTTCATGATACAAAGACTCGGTGTTCTTCTTTAGTGATGCGCGGGACTCCTCAACATACGGATAACATCTATGGAAACGCAGCCCGGCATTTGAGGTCCAGTTTACCCCCAGTTTATGACACGACAAACATCTACGTCTGTATAAACAATTGCTTTTTTCTGAGCATATAAACCCGAGGACATTTGCACCATCACACTCTCTTCTCACAGCGCTTCTCATAACGTTCATACTCTCACACTTAAATCTCTTCCTGTCTTCATCCTTTCTTTCCCGAACTCTTATTGCGTTCACCTCAGCTTGTTCTACTTGAACTGGAACATTACCACCGTCTCGACTTTGACTCGAGCCTCTCAGCTTGACAGTAAGTGCACTTGACCACCCTGATACTTTTGTACCCTCGTTTTCAGCATCTCTATCACATGCACACAACTTCATCACCACGGCACTCGATCTCTGTTCTCTAACTCTGGGGCTTGTTCACTCAGCGGTTATTCCCAGAACACCCAGAGCCATCGTTGCCCTCGCCCTGAGCAAAGACGCTGAACAATTGTTCTTCTTTCTTTCCGGATCCTTCATCGCTCATCTATCTCTCCCTTGAGGTCCGTTCTTTCAGATCCTTCGTCACTCATCTATCTCTACACTTGGTTTCTCCAATCTTCCTGCGCTCACAATTCCTGCACCTTGATCACATACATACACACCACCTCGCCAACAGACCTGCTCTCCTTACCTGAGGCTCAACTTGACAGCAAGTGGACTTGGTTACTACACTTTCTGTGCGCGCAATTCCTACATCTTCATCACCAGCATGCACATCAAACCATCAACAGAGACCGAAGCTCGTCAGCCCTGCTTCAGTCTTCAAGGCATCTCCACACATCACTCTGCTTGATCAGAGCGCACGAACCCTTTTTAAACTATCCATTGACTGTTCAGACCCTTCGCTGCTTACCAGCCTTCATCCAGGCGCACGGTAAGTAGTGATTTCCTGCTACAATTCCTTGTTCCTTGGCACATCCCCAATCTTCGGCTGTTCGCTGATTTTCGTCAATCACCAGGGGTTTTTTTCTCGACAATTAGCATCCGTCAAACTCTTGCACTGGAAACCTTCATCAGGCTGGTTCTTTCACTACAAACAGATTCAGAGCATCTCGACGCCATGGAAGACTCTCGGACTCCCATGGGAGAACACCCTGAGAACAATCTGGAACATCTTTCCTTATCCAATGACATTGAAAAAGACGTTTCGAACAACGTTTCCAAAAACGGCTCCAAAAACGGCTCCCAAAACGGCTCCCAAAACGGCTCCCAAAACGGCTCCCAAAACGGCTCCCAAAACGGCTCCCAAAACGGCTCGGCACAAGCCTCTCGAGCTGCTTCGCATACCCGCTCAGATGGAGGCTCAGGCGGCCTTGCCCTAGAGAGTTCGACATCCCGACCCAATTCGAGTCCTCTGTCCAACGAGTTATTTGTGCCACAAGACAGCACACTTATAGAGTAAGTAAAGAATGCGGATTTATTACAGCAACACCAACAGCTAATGACATCAGCCCCGCGGAAGCGCAAATATACCAATCCACCCACCAACATGAACATGGCAAAGAGTCCGATTCCTCTGAAGATGACCAATCCTCGGTGGCAGCCTCACTTGATGTGGAATCCTCACACCAAGATGCCGAAGATATGTCTTCGTCGGCTCAGACCAATTCCCAGTCAAGCTTTTCCCCGGAAACGAACGACGAGGTGGATGAAGTTTTGAACTTCGATAGTCCCGTGGGCAGTCCCTTAAAGAGGGGTAAGAGAACCCGTGGTCCTAAACGACCAAAGAAGGCCCCCAATCGGCAGGCCGTCGCGAGCACGGATATTGAAGAGCTTTGCACAGTGGATTACGTCGGAGCTGCCAATGCCAATGTGTTACTCGGCCCTACTCCAGAGTCCAAAAAGGCAGACAAGAGAAAGGCCATGAATGAGATAATTGCCAATGTTTCCGAGGAGGATAAACCGGTCGCAAAAGCAGACGCTGCCAGGTTGATTGAGGCCTCCAAAAGATTTCGTGGACTGGCAAAGCACACATCAGGCAGATGGGCCATCAAGGGAATGAAAACAAGCCTATACCATTACCAGGTACGCTCTCGGATATATTCCAAAACCCCGGGTTTTGATTGCTGACGAACTTTACAGCTCGAAGCGTGGGCTTGGATTGTGAGGAAAATCTTGATCAACTTTCTTTGGGACGATATGCTGACAGAGACAGATTGATCCTGAAAGTTCAAAAGCTGGGTCACATGGTGGGCTGTTGTGCCATGAGATGGGATTGGGGAAGACGTTGACAATGCTAGGTATCAGCCCTAAAAGAATTGCTTTGATGTCGCCAGGCTAACAATCCTCAGCGGTTACCCAAAACCAAAGAAAATTCTTGAACGACAAAAGGCCCTCTACTACTGAAGCCCGCTTAGGTCCAACTCTGATTGTTGTTCCGAGCCCTTTGGTCACCCATTGGTTGGTCCCCAAATTCAATGGCAACGAAAGGAAAGCCCACTGACCGAGTACGACAATTTAGGATTGAAGAAATCAAGAAGCATTGCGAAGAACCGATCGATTTCGTCAGGTATGACAGCAGATCACGTACGGAAAGATCGGATGTGAGCAGGTTCTTTATGGACCGAGAAATTGTGTATGTACAATGATTCCATACTCACAACGAGAGAGATCATTAAATCTGACTGCCTGCCAGGGTTACTACCTATTATCAGATTTCTGCTTCTTATTTGCCAATTCGACGCCCCGGTGCGACCAAAGGCCAAGCAGAGATCGAAGACGGGGGGCAAGACACTAGCTCACGCGAGCCTGGACCATTTCACCAGATTAAATGGCACCGAATTATCCTGGACGGTACCAATCCTGCACCAAATCTATATCGACAAAGAAATTAGCTGATCAAACATTACAGAAGGTCATGTTATCCGAAACAGAGATGTCAAGGTCTCTCTCGCGGTCCGAGCCTTGACGGGTCAGTACAAGTGGGTAGTGACTGGAACGCCCCTGCTGAAGTAAGTCGGAGTGGCTTCTTGAGATTCAGCCCGCAGGATTGCTCGCAAATATGTGTCTCTGACTGAAAGATATTTAGCCGCACTGAGGATGTATATGCCTATCTTGACTTCATAGGGGTATCGAAATGCTCCAGCTTCGACGGGTTTACCAACAAGTTCAACAATGTAAGTCGGTCAATCTTTTCCCTGCCGACATTTCTAACGGTATCTCCCATGTCAGGGCTCTACTGGCGCTAAGAGCGCGTTGAAAGAACTCCTGCACAAAGTTATGCATCGGAAAACACACCAAAGTCGATTGTTTGGGAAACCTCTTCTGGAGCTTCCAAAGATTGTCGAAAATACTGTTGCAGTTGAATTTTGTCCAGCCGAAGCATACATCCATCAAGAACTTCGGGACTACTTCATTGAAAAGGTCAACGGTAAGAGTGCAAATAGAACCACAAAAGGCAAAAGCATGGATACTGACTTCATGACAAAGACCTCGTCAACAACTGCGAAAAGCAGAAACTCTGCATCCTTGAACTGATCCTTAAATTTCGCATGTTTGTTAGCCACCTCCTTGTGGCTCAAAACTTTATCGAGATGATTCTCAATGGCCGCATCATGAATCATCTGAAGAAGTTAGCGAACGAAGATGCCGAATGTCACGCTCCATCTGCTACGATCGCGCGGCTTCTCGTGAGCGTGGTTGAAGAGCCTACCGTCCATGTGACTCTGCCATCCGACGATGCCCAAAACGAGCATGCACGATCTAGACCCAGGGAGAACCTCAGTCTGGTGGAAGAGTCCAATGCTTTGATGAGCAGCCTTTTTTTAAAAGCGAACTATATGGAAATACTACAACGGAAGAATTGTGCGATGTGCCACAACCCTCCGCTCTACTTTTTCACCACCTCCTGCCATCATCGATATTGCGAAAGATGCTTTGACAGTCTTGCAGATGAACACGGAAATTTTAACGCGACAAACCGACAATGCCTTGCATACGAAAAGTCAATTGAGAGCGTTGTTTTCTGTTATGATTACTGCGAATCAAACAGATCTTCGCCGGAGAGAAAATCTGCGAAGGCGTCACCCAGCAAAAAGCGTTCAAATGTGGACACCAAATCTTCCAAGCAAGAGCTCAGGAGCAAGAAGCAACGAACGGAGAATCGGAAAACCAATGACCAATACACCAAGTGGATGGGTTCTCCACAGCCCTCGGGAGAAACGAGAGGGCCTCAAGGTGCCCCTACTTGGGCCCAAATTGAGGTGGAGCCTGAACCTGAGCCCAAAATCAATTGGGTCGCGAAGATTGGTAGTTTGACTCCAGGAGCCAAGCACACCGCGGTTCGCAAGCAAATTGGAACGTGGCTCACCGAAGACGAACACGTAAAGATTGTAGTCTTTGCGGAGTTCCTAGGCTCTATCAAATTGCTCCAGGACATGTGTATCACAAACAACTGGAAGTTCACAACGGTGAGGAGCTTGTTCGACTCTACATTGACATGACTGACGCTTATCGACCTAGATCACCGGCAGACACTCTACCACGGCCCGTGAAGTCGAGGTAGAGAAATTTCGAAATGACCCAAAGATGCATGTTCTGATCGCCACCATGAAAACGGGGGGAATCGGTCTAAATCTAACCATGGCAAACAAGTGCATCATTTGTGACCAGTGGTGGAACGCCGCGATGGAGCAACAAGTAAGTTATACTCACAGACAAAACGATGCGACCACATTTGACAGTCTCTGATCATGATTAGGCATATTGCCGTCTTCATCGAATTGGACAATTGCGTGATGTCGAGTATGTGAAGATCGTGGTGACAGACACGATCGACGAGTGGATACTTCGACTGCAGCAGAAGAAGACCAACGAGATCAATCATTACGTCGGCGGATCGCAACTTTCGGACCATGAGATGCTGAAGGAATTGCTGTCGGTGTTCGGAGATGTCAGCGAACGTGAGGGAGGCGGTTTATGGATCACATGCAAGGGGCCAAATCCTTCCCGAAGACAAGGAAAGATGCCTTCAAGTTCATAATGGCGTTAAGAGCATCACAGCGAAAATGGAAAATCGAGATCGGGGGGGTGGCATGAATGGAGAAGAAAAAAAAGGAGGAAGAAGAAAAGAAAAGAAAAACCGGAGGAGCTGGTGTCGATGGGAAGACAATGAACACGAGCAGGATGAATTCTAGGAGTGGGAGCACTTGACTATTATTATCAAGATACTAGGGGAACTGGAGAATACTCTATCAATGAACAATGCGAAACAAATGTCAACAGTAGGACGTCGGAGATGCCCTGGAGTCTCACTGACAAATCTGTGCAGGCTGATTCTTGGATCATCTGGAACTGATCAGATTTCTAAGAAATAATGATAGAGCTATTCTTAGCCAGCATGCATTACATCTAGTTTAGTATAGATAATTATCACTCCAAAGAAATTGGTGGGTTAATGTATCAGTGGTAATGGCCAGGGTCGCCCACTAGTGCAACTCCAACACTGACCTAGATTTTGTTTTAGACCGTGATCTATAGATGAAGGGTGCACTTAACTATCAGCCAAGTGATCAAAATCCCAGGCGAAAATACTTGACGACCTACGAGCAGGGATTGTAAGATCAGAGTGACAAGACACTCATTCTAAAGTTGTTTGATGGGATATTGTCATTGTCATTTTCATTTTCATACTCGTACAAATACTCAAACAGATCCTCCTCTTCCTCCCCTCCCCCCCTCCCCCACATCCCCCCCCCCCCCCCCCCCCCCCCCCCCCGCCCGCCCCCCCCCTCCCCCCTCCCCTCCCGCCCCCCCCTGCCCAGCGCCCC